AAATTAAGGCATTAATCATTACAAATATATGCATGTTATCATATTTTAAGTATATTTCTATCATTTTGTGTAAATTCATGTTATGATCTTAAAATACACCAAATTATGGATTATTATAAATAATTACACATTAAAATCTTTAATCCTAATTATATTTATGATCATAATCATGTTTTAAGAGTGAAAATATGAGAGAAAAGATATTTATTAACATTTATGTATTTAAATAAATTTATTTTATATAATACATAAATGTATAAAATTAACTAAAATTTATTATCTTCTTATTTTAATAATTTGACCTTTTATAATGATAGATTATTCAATTTTGAATCCAACAAAACAAAGTTGAATTAATTTGGAGTCGTATTTTGAAAGTTATGATTTTTACAATTTTATAGAATTTTCTAGAATTTTTCTGAATTCATTTATATTTATTTTCATTTTTTAAATGTTTTAAATTAATTAAAAAATCGCAAAAAGGGGTTATATGTCGCGCGTGTACACGTGGATGCGACGTGGTACTCGAGGCCACGTGGCTCTGCCATGTGGACAGCACGCGGGCGCCTGCGTGGCGCTGATGTGACACGTGGCGTATTTATATTTACTATATATATTTATTTAATAAAGTATATAGCTCTTCCGATTATCGGAAGCCAAAGTATTAATCCCTCTTAATCGTCATATCTTATATACCCGAATATACTCCTTTGCTTTTCCCGTGTGGGACTAAAGTCCCTTAGTTTTCTTATGTGCATGACGCGTGGCGTGATCTCGTACGTCCGATCGACATCACGACAAATAGCGTGCGTAGATCACGTGGAATCAAGGTCCACGCGATCAGAGATCAACCACGTGCCTAAATACTCACTTAAGTGAATAAATCGCGACCGTCTGATCGAGAGTTATAACGGTCCAGATTATTCACATCAGATGGACATCCAATCACATCTTAACCGCACGATCATGATCGGACGATCGTCGAATCGTCGCGACGATTCGTGAAGAGGCGTCTCATCGCGATCGTCCATCGCAATCAACTCCATCAGATCAGACGGCCACGATCATTTCCGAATTTTATAAAATCCGTTCTTCGCGACGAAAGAATCGCCCGCGATCAATCTTCAAATTCTCTTTGTTTAGAGCTCCAATTCGCGCTCTATCTTTTGCATTGTGTTCGCAACTCATTTCCGCTTCTGTTGGATGTTTAATTTTAATTTTTGATTGAAAGAATTGGAAGAAATCAAGTCTTGAACTCCTCTTTCGTCTTCGAAAATTCGGAATGAAAAGCCTTGCATCCGGCGATTAATTGGATCATTTCAAAGGCTAATTTGGGTTAGATTGTTTTTTTTAATTTTAATCTTTCATCATTTAGTGTTAATTTTACTTTAAGTATTGTAGATTAAGTTTAATTTAGTTTTAATTTCTGTTTTTAATCATTTCGCGATACGAAAATTTCTCTTAACTTCAAACTTCGATTACTCTTCGAATTCTAATCCAAATCACCTGATTGTTGATTCCGTGGATTCAAAATTGAGTTATCTTTCTTAATATACTAAATTGCCCAATTTCTAACCTAATTTCATCGTCCGATTTGACCGAATTTCAAAGATATCTCTCAAATTTCCCTAATTCTCCGTGGATTCGACCCTTACTTACCATTATACAAATTAATTACTTTGATTAATCATAAATTGGTAGGATTAGGACTTTGTTTTGACACTGAATCGTGTGCATTCAATGACCATACAATTTAGTCTCGTCAAATGGCGCTGTTGCCGGGGAATTAAGGCGTATTTTTGAGTAAAATCATCGATTTTGACTCGGTCAACTCTGATTTTGCTGTTTCTTTTTATTTTATTTTAATCTAAATTGATCCTACACTGAGCTATTTGTAGCAGAAATATATCGTTTAGATACTCAATTTCGACGAGATTAAGTGATTAGTCCTTCTCTACGGACGACGGACAATCATCGCATCTTACTCGAATTGGGAGAGCGTAACTCTGACGAATAGTGACAATCAGATACGATTAAATTTGTCATTGTTGAATAATTTTATAGTATCTCTTCTTAGTATTATTATACTATATATATTTGTGCATATTTATGAGACGAGAGTCTGATTGGAGAACGAGGGATAATCCTTTACACTTAGATCTTTTTGAACGTTCCTCGCAATCACTTTCATCTTCCGCGTCATCATCGACCTTAGATATGGCCCTGAATGATGAGGAAAATGTTAGGAGACGCCTGAGTGATTATGCTAGGCCTGTTCTTCAAAGATCCGTTACTCGTATTCATGCACCCTTAGCTAGAAATGCGAATTTTAGGATAGATTTGCATGTGATGAGTATGTTACCTATCTTCCATGGTAAACCTTCCGAGGATCCTTATAGACATGTCGACGAGCTTAGTCAAGTATGTGAGATTAATCAGATTCATAATGTGTCGGCAGATGTAATGAAGATGAAACTCTTTCCCGCCACCCTTAGAGATAGAGTTAAGGATTAGTTTCTTAAGTTAGGAAAGGAGATCACTTCTTGGACCGAGATGGAAAAGGAATTTCTTAAGAAATACTATTCCGTAGGAAAGACCACCTCTGTTAAGAAGGCGATGCGTGAGTTTACCCAAGGACCAAGTGAGACATTTCACGAAGCTTGGGAGAGACTTAGAGACCTCACTAGAGAGTGCCCTCACCATGGAGTGTCTAACCATGAGCTTACACAGATATTTTATGATGGGTTAGGCCCGCAAGATAGATATCTTTTGGATGCAGCTAACGGCGGCACCTTCATGAGCAAATTTGAAGATGAAGCAATGGAATTGATCGAGATTGTGGCGGAAAATAGCCACCACAACTCGGCAAAACCATTCGGAAGAGGTGCAACGCCGAAAGGAGGATTAATCGATGCGAAGGCAGTAGAGACAGGCATGCTCCTAGAGAAGATCGACAAGATGGCGGAGGTTCAGAATCTTTTATTAGATCGATTCTACATCCGCAACGGATCTGAAGGACTTGCACCCGTTGCTCTACAAGAAGCGTCGCCATGCGCCCATTGCTCACGCCTTGACCACGTCGAGATAGATTGTCTGATCATGGCAATTAAAGGGCAGGGCATGTACAGACAAGGCCCGCTAGGAGGGCAAATTCAACAGGGACGACCGAACTATCAAGGTACATATCCAAATTATTTTAATAACCCTGTTTATAATCCTATGCAGCAGCAGCAGCAAGGATTTAGGAGGAGTACGGATTAGACGTATCCTCCATATAGTACCGGTCAGCAACAAAACTCGCAACAGCAACCCTACGTGAATGCAAGACAGTTGACGTATATTCCACCACAGTAGTCATACAACCAAGCTCCACGACCGACCGCACCATCTGCAGATCCGATTCTGGGTGCGCTCTCTCAGTTGATGGAGCAAATGAGCAGGATGAACTCGCGTGTGGACAAGATACAGGATTTCGTCAAGACGAACATCCCTACCTCGACTGACAATAAGAAGGGTAAGCAAGTTTCATTTTCTAACCAATTACCATCGCAGGCCACTATCAACCCGAGGAATCAAGGGTCCTCATCGAGTCAAACGCACAATCTGAGTCATGTGCATGTTGACGAGGAGGAAGTGGAAGCTGCATTAGCGATATCGAGCCTTAGGAGCGACAAGGATTTACCTGATCCTTACAAGGATCATCCTTTACATAAGAGCTCGATAGATGATGAGACACCGACAGTCGTAGTAGAGCCAAACAGTAGTTCAGATGATGAGGAAGAACGGGTGCAAGTTGAGTCAAATCCAGACACATACAAACCACCCGTGCCATATCCTCAAGCATTGAGTAAGCCTAAGGCTAAGGTTAGTGAATCTGATGATCATTTATTAGAAACCTTCCAAAAGGTTACCATTACCATCCCTTTAGTAGATGCAATTAGGCATATACCTTCTTATGCTAAATTCCTTAAAGGCATATGCACACATCTTGATGCAGCGTTAAAGTACTTGTTTTCCAAGAAGGAGGCGAAGCCACGATTGATACGATGGGTGCTGCTTCTTCAAGAGTTTGACTTGGAGATTAGAGATAAGAAGGGCAGCAAAGAATTGATGCTTCGATCAAGGCGAGCTTCAACATCTTGAATGCGCGCTCCCCTTCTTTATCTATAAAAAAGTCTTTATCCTTGCAAAGAAGAGTGGTTAGCGGTTTGGAAACTTTAGCAAAATCTCGTATAAACTTGCGGTAGAAACCAACGTGTCCTAAAAAAACTACGTAAATCTCGTAATGTAGTGGGGAGAGGAAGGTTTTGAATGACCTCAATCTTGGCCTTATCAACCTCCAAACCTTTGCCCGAGACGAGATGCCCGAGCACTACTCCCTCTCACACCATAAAATGGGATTTCTCCCAACTCAATACCAGTCGTTTCTTGACGCAGACCTTGAGGATCTTTGTCAGGTGAGTTAGACAGCTATCGAAATCATCTCCAAAGACAGAGAAATCGTCCATGAAGACTTCGAGACTGTCGCCAAGGAAATCGGAAAATATCACCGTCATACATCTCTGGAATGTCGCAGGGGCGTTACACAATCCGAATGGCATTCGCCTAAATGCGAACGTGCCAAAGGGACATGTGAACGTCGTCTTTTCTTGATCGTCTGGATGAATCGCAATCTGGTTGTACCCTGAATAATCATCCAAGAAACAAAAGTAAGTCTGACCTGCTAGTCGATCAAGGATTTGATCGATGAATGGCAATGGGAAGTGATCTTTCTTCGTCGCTGCATTCAACTTCTGGTAGTCGATACAAACTCGCCACTTCGTCGGGAGGCGTGTTTGAATCTCCTCTCCTTTGTCGTTCACGGTCACCGTAACTCCTGCCTTCTTGGGAACCACGTGCACGGGACTAACCCACTGGCTATCCGATATGGGATAGATAATCTCTGCATTAAGCCACTTAAGAATCTCTTCCTTAACGGCTTCCCATACCTTAGGATTAAGTCAGCGCTGGGCTTCCCTCACGAGTCTGGACTCGTCCTCCAAGAATATGCGATGAGTGCATAATGAAGGGTCTAATCCCCTCAAATCTGCTAGAGTCCATCCGATTGCTTGCTCATTCTGTCGTAATACGTCGAGTAATCGTTTCTCCTGCTCCTCATTGAGCTGGGAAGAAATGATCACTGGTTTAACCTGTTGAGAGTCAAGGAAAGCGTACTTGAGTGTAGATGGAAGAGGCTTGAGCTCCCCTGTCAGATCGTCCAATGGTAGCTCCTCGAAATCAGCTCCCTCGTTGACCGTCATGACTTCTTCGATGCAAGTCTCTATGTCTTGATCATCAAATACGTCGATGGCGCCCAAATCCTCGAAAGCTTGTGAAGGATACTTCATCAACTTGTTGATGTTGACCTTCACCGTATGCTCTCCCACCTTAAGAATCACTTTTCCTTTTCCCCAATCTGTAACGGCTTTTGTGGTAGCTAAGAAAGGTCTTCCTAGGATAATTGGGGCTTGACTAAGCTCCTTAGTGATCTTCATATCTACAACTAGGAAGTCTATCGAAAAATAACATCCTTCTATTCTAACAATCACATCTTCTACTATGCCATGAGGCTTCCTTACCGATCCATCCGCTAAACATAACTCTATAAGGAAAGGCTGCAATTCCCCTACATGATGACGGTCATATACGGCTTTAGGGAGGATATTGATACTAGCTCCGGTATCTAACAACGATCTAGTAAAAATCATTCCTCCAATCTCACTCGTAATCATGGGAGCTCTTGGATCTCTCTTTTTAATAGGAAGAGAATTCATCATTATGGAACTAATATTCTCACTCAATTGGATCCTCTTGGGGCTTCTATGGTGTGTGCATATGCCTTTAAGGAATTTAGCATAAGAAGGTATATGCCTAATTGCATCTACTAAAGGGATGGTAATGGTAACCTTTTGGAAGGTTTCTAATAAATAATCATCAGATTCACTAACCTTAGCCTTAGGCTTACTCAATGCTTGAGGATATGGCATGGGTGGTTTGTATGTGTCTGGATTTGGCTCAACTTGCACCCGTTCTTCCTCATCATCTGAACTACTGTCTGGCTCTACTACGACTGTTGGTGTCTCATCATCTATCGAGCTCTTATGTACAGGATGATCCTTGTAAGGATCAGGTAAATCCTTGCCGCTCCTAAGGCTCGATATCGCTAATGCAGCTTCCACTTCCTCCTCGTCAACATGCACATGACTCAGATTGTGCATTTGACTCGATGAGGACCCTTGATTCCTTGGGTTGATAGTGGCCTGCGATGGTAATTGGTCAGAAAACGAAACTTGCTTACCCTTCTTATTGTCAGTCGAGGTAGGGATGTTCGTCTTGACGAAATCCTGTATCTTGTCCACACGCGAGTTCATCCTGCTCATTTGCTCCATCAACTGAGAGAGCGCACCCAGAATCGGATCTGCAGATGGTGCGGTCGGTCGTGGAGCTTGGTTGTATGACTACTGTGGTGGAATATACGTCAACTGTCTTGCATTCATGTAGGGTTGCTGTTGCGAGTTTTGTTGCTGACCGGTACTATATGGAGGATACGTCTAATCCGTACTCCTCCTAAATCCTTGCTGCTGCTGCTGCATAGGATTATAAATAGGGTTATTAAAATAATTTGGATATGTACCTTGATAGTTCGGTCGTCCCTGTTGAATTTGCCCTCCCAGCGGGCCTTGTCTGTACATGCCCTGCCCTTTAATTGCCATGATCGGACAATCCATCTCGACGTGGTCGAGGCGTGAGCAATGGGCGCATGGCGACGCTTCTTGTAGAGCGACGGGTGCAAGTCCTTCAAATCTGTTGCGGATGTGGAATCGATCTAATAAAAGATTCTGAACCTCCGCCATCTTGTCGATCTTCTCTAGGAGCATGCATGTCTCTACCGCCTTTGCGTCGATTAATCCTCCTTTCGGCGTTGCACCTCTTCCGAATGGTTTTGCCGAGTTGTGGTGACTATTTTCCGCCACAGTCTCGATCAATTCCATTGCTTCATCTTCAAATTTACTCATGAAGGTGCCGCCGTTAGCTGCATCCAAAAGATATCTATCTTGCGGGCCTAACCCATCATAAAATATATGTGTAAGCTCATGGTTAGACACTCCATGGTGAGGGCACTCTCTAGTGAGGTCTCTAAGTCTCTCCCAAGCTTCGTGAAATGTCTCAATACTTTATTGTATAGACCTATTTACACTCCACACATCTCATTCATATAGATAGCATTAGTAATTCTTAAATTTTGTTCTTATCTCATATCTCAATCTCCTCATTTATTACTTTTTTTTATTCCTTATTAGACAAAGCCTTAGATAAAGTGTTAGGTATGACAATAGTGTTTACGCTAATAAGGAAGGCTTTATGAGATGGTAAAAAAATGTTTAAAAGACATGAGTTGTGAAAGAGGAAATAAAGATTGTTTTGTGCATTCTCTAGTCCCTTGCATAATAGCAATGAAAAGCTCTTCATTATCATTGCTTACTTGAGATTTACTTTCATTATTATAAATTGATACCTCACTCTCATGATCTAGGTTTAAATAATATGAAGTTAGTATTTGACTAAAATAATTCATGTCATTATTTTATATCGACTCTAATGGGATTCTTAGTCTTGGAATAAAACTTTGGGATAATAATACATTCATCAAATTTATGACTGAGAAAAAATATATCTAACACAAGTACAATCATCAATGAATATTGCAAACCATCTATAGCTTCAAAAACATTAGAAACGATTGAAAGACCCAAAAATCACTATCAATGTGAAAGAAAGGAATAAAACTTTTTTCATTACTAGTTGGAGAAGACACTTGTTTGTGTTAAACAAGTTTGCACACATCACAATGAAACTCTTCAATGCTTAAACCATGGAATAAAGAAAGAAACATAATTTTAATATCCATAAATGATGAATTTTCAAGTCGGTGATGGTGAAGCCAAATTTTCTCTTTATTAGATGAACAAGGCTCAAAAGACATCATCATTTGCAATGTTTGACTAGCTCAGTGCTTTAGGCTAGTAGAGAGTCCATGTTGTTCTCTAGCATGTCTAATATTTCTCCCCAATTCTTTATCATAAAATAGACTAATTTTGATGAAAATTACTTTGCTATATAAATCTTGAACAAGATTTTTCATAGACACATTTTCTGAACAATCTAAAGACATGACAAATGTTTCTTGAGGTTAGAAAAGAGTTAACTTTAACATTTCAAAACACTTGCTATAGTAATTAAACGACCTCAATTATTGTTATTTTCTACTGCTTGAACAAGAAGCATATATGGAAAAGACATTTGATGAGTGGGTCACATGGTTGGCAGCTCCTGCATCCATGATTTAAGAATTACAAAAGGTGTAATTGAGACATTTAATCTAATAGAAGATGAAAACTCACCTGACTATGTCAATAATAAGAGGTTGTGTATTTGTGAAGATGCTCAATGATGGATCTCACACTCTCACTCTCATCTTGATTGTGACTGCCTAATTCCTTCGGTGTTGTTTCATTTGACTGTATTGTCATGACATTGCCTTGATCACTATTCCTTGACTGCTATCTTTTATGTCCCCATTCTTCACTCATAGGTCTTTCATGAAGCTTTCAGCACCTTTCATGCGTATGATGCATCTTTCTATAGTAAGTGCACTATAAAGTATCTTGCGATTTTGATCTAAGACTTCACTTGCCTATGTTTTTCATTTCTGTCAACTTGTTCTCTTTCTGTTTCACCTCCTGTCATTACCAAGCTGTCTCTTTTTGCTGGTTTGAGCATTAGACTTCCATTTTCCTCTCATTGGTCAGTGTCACCATCTTATTAAATCATGTAACCCTCTTTTTTGCTAACAATCTAAATTCTTACTTGATCAAATTCTAGATTAAGTCCAACAATAAAATCATAGACTCCATCTTGCTCAATGAAATTAGGTTTCAATTACCCAATAATGGTCAAGTTCTTGCCACGATACCTTCAATTGATTTGCACATGCAATAACTGTTATGTTTCTCTACTTTGCAACCATTGTCTTCACCTTTACTTCATATGCTTGAGCTTCATCTCTGGCTTTATACTATGTTTGTTAGATTGTATCCCATATATCCTTAGCTGAGACCAAGAACATATATGTAACACTAGTCTCAAGAGTCATATAATTTCATAACCATGGCATAATCATGGAGTCTTCTTCATCCTATTTCTCAAACTGAGCTTCTCCTAGTCTTGGCCATATACTTGTGAGTTGGCTGATCTTCCCTCTCCTTTCAGCACAGTACAAACAAATTGGGACCAATTGAGGAAATATTTTCCAGCCAATCTACATGCAGATTGAATGCTCGTCAATTCTCTAGATTGCTGAAACTGTACGAGCCCCTCAAATTGTGTTGTAGCAGTCATCTCAATAACTTTTAACATCTGTAGAAAAGCTGATAGCTACTTGCAAACCAGAGTGAAAGGATCAGCCATGAAGGTCAATGACCAAACAGGGGTTATCACCATTTAAGGCTGAATGATAGGAATATCCACCTACTGTGATTACTAACAATGGAATCAATGACAACCCTAGACTGCTTTCTCACTGCCAGCACAAGAGAGGAGAAAGAAACATGAACCAGGCTTTCATGTGCCTGGATTAAACCCTAGGCTACAGCATCCAGAAAGAAGTGAACCATAGAATCCTCGAGGTTCTGATAACATGTTGGTGCAAACCTTAGGAGAGAGAATATCCAGAGAAAAAACTCACTTTGTATTCACATCAAAGGTGACTGTTAGATACACGCACCAGGGCCACAAAACAAGTAAACCACCTAACAACTAGGAAACCAAAAAGAAATAGGATTCAAAGAAGCTATACTAGGAAACAGTCCAACTTAGAACCGAACTCCTAAATATTATATTCTTTCCCACAGTTTTCTTTTGGTAGAGACGGAAAAATATATCCCGAATGAAGGGAACAGTTCATCTGATGGCTACCTCTGAAGCCTGAAGTGCAGAAATTTATCACCATAAGATCTATCAGCCCGATATTAGTCTCGTGATCTTGAAATTTTTGGGGCAGCTGCTCTCCATTTTAGCCATCTGTCCTCTGTGCGTAGCAGTACAGTTCACATCTACAAATACATCTAATTTATGTAGAAAGAAGAAGAAGAAGAAGAAGAAGAAGCAAATGTGGCAAAGGAAAGCAACCGAACCATTAAAGAGCTGGATACAAATTAGCTTCAAGCAGTAATACCTCTGAAAGGAGATCCCCCTGAAATAATGGATAAGATCCCTAGAAAAAGCCAAGGTTGTGTGATCGCACCTACTGGACAAATGATCAACAACTTAAAGAGCTGAATCAGACTGTATGGGCCCTTTCAAGAGCGGCAAATAAGCCATGATCATGGTAGAATGCTGGAAGATGGCCAAATGAGGATGGATTGTGCCGAGCAGCATAAGAACAAAAATTTATGTTGAAAGTAGACAAACGTGTAGCGAAGGAAAGAGAAATAATAAGCATTACACTGCTTGTGACTAAGCTTATACCAGCGAGGATTTGGAAGTAACGTTTGATTGATCATCCATTAAAGCATAGGGCTGTATAAGCCAACAGGTGAAAGGGGTCGATGCCCAATGAGTTGAAGAGCTTAGCTAACCTGTATGAGGCAATTCAGGAAAAATCAACAAGATGTCTGAGTGGTAGAAGAAGGATACATGTGTTGGATCAGATGAGTTTCTTCAAACGAGATCAGTAAAAAGTTTGGGGGGAGGGGGAGAGAGAGAGAGAGGTAATAATTCCAGGGCACATTGATCATATTACGATCAACAATCACATGAACAAGTACCAAGAAGTTGAGCAAGATGTTGTGAGCCAATTCATACTTGGATCGACCATCGGTGATCTCATAAACATGGTTGAAGAAGACCAAAAGTTGTGGCATGAGTGAAGAAAAGGCTGAAAGACCACAAACTTTAAAAGAGGGCCCGATTGACAATCCATCCACTGCTGAAGCAAATGTACGAACTACAGTTCGATTTGACCAAATCAAGTTAGAACAAGGCATTGGATTTGCAAAGAATTTTACATTAACATCAGCATTGCTCTTTAAGGGCAATATCTTTTACTTTAACGTAAACAATCATCCACCTTAATTTGGCCATAATTAGTTAAGTTTCCGTAATTATATATTAATGCAAATTATGTGGGAAAACCAATCGGCATGCCGAATTAAAATATGGCCTTACCTTTTTAGTTGAGGCATGGACGGCAGACTTTTTTCCATCTTGGCTCGGTATGAAATCCTTAAAAGGGCATGTTAGCGTCTGGCTCCGTGAAAATGTTAAAGTGAAAGATATCAGTGCCAAGAGCATGTTAACTTCCAGCTTTGTGAAAATGTTACAGAAAGTGATAAAGAAATCAGTGCCATATCCGACTATGTTCAACCATCTGATAATGAATATGATAGAAAAAAGATTCGCTTTTTCTTAAAAAAGAGGAAAGTCAAAAGTCTTATTGCCTGTTACGTTCCTTGAAGACGAATTTACAGGTAGGAACGAAACAGGGGCTGTCTCAGACAATATTTTTAGATCGCTAAGCTCCCAAATTGATTGTTCCACTGCTCATATGTACCGAGTTCATTCACAGAAACAGAGGGTCTCACTTCCTGCAATGCCTTCTCAAAATCCTTGAGAAGCCAGTAAATAAATCCAAGTTAGGATGAATAAATGAATAAATCAGCCTAGTGTTTGTGAGTGAAATAAGGTTGAAAGATTATGCAATACCTGAAGGGTAACCGGACGCATGTCTTCTTTTTGGAGCTTCGTAATGTCAATACCTCGACCTAAAGCCTCCCTCAGTGGTCCCATAGAAGCATCTTTTACCAAATTTTTCATGTCGGATCCCGAGTATCCTGGAAGCACAAGGGAACTAAGATTAAACATACAAAAAGAGGGAAACTTCCATATTGTGTTGAACATCTCGTCGAAAGAAGCATTTACGAAGTTGATAAGACTACCTTCAGTCAGCTCGCAGATTGAGGCAATATTTTCTTCTGACAGCTTGAAGAGTCCATCCTTCTCCAAGAGATTACGAATAATCCAGCCTCTAGCTTCTTCATTGGTTATAATATTTTATTTTAGAATCTTTACTAAGTTCCAAAAAAAAATGAAAGCTACCTTTACCTGAAGAAGGAAGTGGTATATAAAGTCGTTTTGTAAGCCGCCTGCGTGCTGCTTCATCAAGTTCTTGGGGTCGGTTTGTGGCTCCTGTTTTTCAAGGGTCATATTACAGACAATAGGAAACAGAAGATAAATTTCCCATTCTGTTTCTACAAAAACTACACCAGAAATCAAAATTAATCTCGACAATGAATAAACACAGTGTATAGTAAGCATCCTTAAGCCGCATCGGCTTCCATTCAACTACTATTACCAATAAAAACCTAATTAGATACAAAAAGTAGTTGTAGCTCATCAGTTACCTATTAGCAAAATTTGCTCATTCCCACTATCAAAACCTTCCATTTCAATCAAGAATTGTGTTTTAAGTCTTCTACTTGATTCATGCTCTCCTTCAGACTTACGCTGCAATGAAAAGAATTGACAATACTGAACTGTGACTTCTCAACAAAAAAATAAAAACAAAATTTTTGCGAAGACAGTAAGGGTACCTGAGAGAGTAGCGAGTCTATTTCGTCGACAAATATCACAGCAGGCTGGCGGCAGCTTGCAACCCCAAAAAGTGCCCTGACTAATTTTTCTCCCTCACCAATCTATAAGCATCAAACAAGAAATGGAAAAAAGTCACACAGTGATAGCTATGACACAATGATTCGGCAACAGCATTATGTTCAAAGCCGTCATCTAATAGGAACTATTACTGCGGTAATACACCTTGCTATTTACTCACAACATGTTCTTTTCTTCAAATTCTGCAAGAAGGTTACACATCCAATTCGGAAACGATTACAACGTGAATAGTGGATCTGTTTAGCACATGAAATTTTAAACTGTGGAAGGAACTGTGTAAGGTTTAGGCAGGTTGATGACAGAGGTATGGTCGCACACACATTGGCAACTCCAGAATGATGGGAGAAGGAAAAATGATGGCTTCAAGCAGAGAAGTGAAGCAGCAATTGACCTGCCATTGAAGAGGAAAGGAGAGTGACGACTGATGGCAAAGAGATGTAAATAATGTTCCGAAACATATCACTGAGTTGGAGTGGTTGGTAACATGACTAGTAGTGATTAGCGTTATTTCCACTTTCATGTTTGATTAATTCCCGGAGTCAACATTAATGGGTCTTGCATGATGAATATACTAGTTTGTTCGAGATAAGATTCCATCTATATCCAGTGACCTCTCATTGCCTCGACTCTCTTCCTTGTGTTAACTACAGGATATTGGACTTTGCCGCATCAACATTGTCATCATATTTGCCACAAAAATAGATATTAGATTAGGTTGCATCTCGATTAATTTCCAGAAACCGCTTGATTTCATTAGAAGAAAAAATGCTGAGTAACCTAAGCCAGATAATTAGGGAAACTCAAAACGGAGCATGTAGTGACCTTTATACTGGCAAGAATCTTCTATTTGTTTCAAGGGCAGAGTTATCCATGCGTAGGTAATGATCCAATAAAATAAAGGAAAAGCTATTTTCCAACACCAGCTCCTTTCCTCTTCGTTTCCACGCTCTCCACTTGAGCAAAGAGAATATGTACACTTGAAAATAGTCATCAATACACAAATTTATGCAGAGTTTTTACCACTTACTGTGTGGAAGCATGTACTTTTCTACACCATTCTTTTTAGTCAACTTGTAAAACATTTTCGTAACCTACGGTAAGAAATCTGGCACTGGGAGAGTTTTATTATTTGTACCAGGACACATTTTTGACCATTTGAATCTTCAAACCGGTAGGCTATTACATAGACGGGCCCAGAAAGAAAAACATAAATGAGGGAATGGTACATAGCAAGATGTGTCTATGTTATGAAACATGTAGCACTAAGTGTAATGTGTCAGGTAACCCTCACAATCTCGAAATGTAGTTCAGCAAGTTAGAAATAAAAAGCCAGTAAAAAGACCAAAAACTAGGTAACTCGAATGGAAACAAAGAAAGTACTGATAAAAAACTAAACCAGTAAAAGAGAAAGAAAATGGGAAAAAATGAGCAGCATAAACAACTATCAAAAGATGGGGGGTGAGGAAGCAACATTATCTACAACAGACATTTTGTAAAACAGAGAGGCATACCAAAATAATAAGCCATTACGATACAGAAAAGAAAAAAACTAAACAAAAACAAGAAGCAACGACAGATCGAATAGGCAACTTGATCGTGGAATTCCTCAGGTTGTACTAGAGTACTGCCTGTGTGTTCATGCCAATGCAATTGGTCAAGGAGACTAAATTAGCTGCACAGGTTTCACTCTTTGCACTACAACCATAGTAAGTAGTTCTGAGTCATTAAGAATGTTGCCTGGCGACCCTATTAAATAAATGATACTCTAATTGACATATTGCCACAAACGAAATGATTGATTATCACCTTTGGTCACAATTTCGGAGAAAACTTGCAGGTCTGACAAAGTGGCCTAACGAGCTTAAAGACTAACAATATTTCATCAAAACATAAATGATTGTGAACATGGTTCAAATCACAGATAATTAGAAATTTTAAGAAATTGCTGGATGTGAAAAGAACAGAAAATTGCTGTCCGCTCAAAATCCTACATCCTCCATCATCTAATACAAAAACATTCAAAACAAGAAAGTCCAACAGACTGCTAGCTACATGATGGAATAAATACCCATTTACTAGTCAATGAACTCGCTGATATGTAGAAAAAGGTGGCCTTCGCTTCCCCAGCAATGGCCTTCCCAATCATTGTTTTACCTGTACCCTAAAAAATATCATGTTCTCAATAAAAGATAGAAACAGACAACAAAAAGGTGCACTACAAAGGTACTTGACAAAACTTACAGGCGGGCCAAATAAAAGTAAACCTCTTCCTGGGGAACGACAACCCTGAAATATGTCAGGACGTAAGAGAGGCCATATAACCATCTCAGTGACACATTTCTTGGCATGTTCCAAGCCAGCTGCATAAGGAAAGGATTCAGTATTGTGATCAGTATTTCTTCAGTGTGCAAGAGCCCAAGTTACAAGAAATGCAAACTCTGAGATTGACAGTAAGCTACCAATATCTTCCCAACGAACGTTTGGGTCTCTATCCATTATTTCATTGCTGACATGTTCAATTAAACGTGGTTCCAGATTCCTTAGCTTTTCAGGTAGTTCACCATCAGGTCCACACAACATTTCCAAACTGAAATCCACAATCCCCAAGATATTATATTTATAATCTTCACGAAAACATATATAGAAACACAAAAATGTCTACAAGTCAGGGCGCCAGAAGTCCTAATGTTAGGTAGTAAAATTGAACAAAAACACAAGCATTTTAGCAACTTGTCATTAATATTCCAGAGTTTACCCGATGAACTGTAGAGAAGTTAGGTCCCTCTGACCTGTGAGAAGCTAAACATAATACCCAGCAACAATACGCATCAGAATCCTTCCAATCCTATATTACTGGCCTACCATTGCCTTTTGACAAAGGATCCCGCCTAAATCTTTATTACCTCCTACCCATAACACAGCACATAGCATCTAATTGTGTCCTAGTATTACTATGTGCTTCGGTAATTTCTTTTGCATGAAACATGCAATTTACCCTGGGGATGAGGAAACATTAACCCGGGCATGCTTGAGTTATAGGAAGATGTAAAGATGGTAAAGAAAGAGGCTGATGACCATGCGGCTTCTCTTTTGCATCACATACTCTCTAGTCTTTCATTCATTGATTTTCTCTTTTCTAATTTTTTATTAAAGGCAGATTCCTTTATTCAGCCAACTCCTACCTGGATCACAATTGACGCTACAGTAAAGTCAAGATAATCAGGAGCCTGATTTCTGATCATTAGATCTTTGTTTCAACTTATTGTTTTGATTTTACCGTGAGATAAGGGAAATCTTTTTTGAGGATGTTTCTATTACTTACATTCATAAGTTATAAATGGGAAGTTCTTCACAAGGACATAAAAGTCTACTGATAAGTATAAATTCCAAACATATCTATAAAAATAGCAATAACTAGAATGTGTAGCAACTGCTAACAAGCGACGTCAAATATTTTTATAGATAGCCATACACAGATCAAACAAAAATAAATGTTGCCTTTGGTAATTTATACGTTTCTGCTAATCAATTTCTTATAATATCTTCACTATTTTTATGTGAAAGTAGAGTTAGGTCAGCATATTACAAAGAGACAGTAGAACTAACCATTTTTTTGTCGAATCCTCCAATGAATCATCACACTTTCCAGCAACTCGTGAGCTTATTGATGCAACATTTCCTCCATTTGACCTAACAGGAGGAACAAAGTTACCTCGGATACCCCGGCGAGAGACAGTGTTGTACTTTAGTCCATAGCTTCTTGTGTTTCCAATGGGGTTTCCATCAATTTGTGACGGCAGAGATGCACTAGGAGAACCCATAAAACCATGCCTCTGTCTTGAATCCATTTCCTGCAATGAAAAGAACATTGAAGATTAAACAAATGAAATGTTGTGAAAAAACTAAAGACTCACATATCAAATTCGAAAAATGTAAAAGAAATCAAAAGAATTGATGATTGACAAAGTTTGCCGATCATACATCGTTGTCTAGTACCACAACATATTCGTATGATGGTGAACACGAACCTAAAAGCAAAGCGTTCAATGACTGACCCAGTGAGCAAGTCCCCGGGGGGAGGGGGGATGGTGGGGATCAAGAGGAGTTGGCTAGAATGAAGATGGTGTAGGAAACGGTCTTGGAACAGGTTAGGCCAACAGAAAGGAATGTGTGTTCAATCTTACTCCAATATTAAATCAAAATACTAAATTGAAAATCCAATTGCAACTGCTTTGCTTGATAGCCAGTATATATCTTCATATTTCAGAATCTTGTAAGAAAGCTCTTGTAAATCTTTTTACACACACACCATCTTATTCTGAAAATCTTCTTGGTTCCTATTTTTCGAGGTACTCAACCGTACTCCAGCATTACACAATAAGAGCAAATAAAATTCCCTTTTCCATTATTCATTTCATAAATCAAATCAATTCTCATAAAAATCTCAAATTGAGTTCTTTGGTTTTCTATTCCCCACCGTGGATCTTTTCAAAATCCAAAATGCATCTGTATTTGCATTTTCTTTTTAAGAAAATAATTGTGATAGGAAAAATAACCCCAAAACACCTGCTTTAAATCAAAGAACCGTACATCAATACTTCAGTTCAAAGCCAAAAACCAACTTTATGTCATCCAAAGTTTCAGAAATTTGGATACTAAAATACACGACTTAAAATTTTGTTGTCCATCCTAAAAAGGCGGAATCTCTATTCCATTATGTTTCTCCACAGACGTACAGAGAGGGGATAATACTATCAATAGAAAAGTGCTACAGCTAACTGCTTAAACTTTGGGCGATCTCAAATTGGACTTCCAAGAAATTCAGCATCATATTGGAATTAAAAGGTCGACATGGAAGTGTTGCCATAACAAAACTAGCTGGTCAAAAAGTCAACAATTACGTAGACACTACAACACATGGATATGTTGACGTGCATAAACATGAAAGTTCAATTCCGTGATGTCCCTGAACGAGGAGAAGGCCAGAAGCTCATCAGCGGCCCTAAAATAAAAATAATGCAGATAGAAGATTTTCGGAGTAGGAAGAGAAGCTGGAAGCAACTTGTAACCCTTTACAGTAAGCATAAAAAATAAGCATACCAACTTTTTCCTTGCAGTAACGAATCCACTGGCAGATCCTTCAACATGTGCCTCATCATTGCTTGACGGAGACTTCCCATTTCCACAAACTGGGCTTGTAAATTCCACATGCCTACGCTTTGATTTCAGAGTGATATTGCGAGGTCTTTCTTCATCATCAACTTGCAAAACTTCAGGAGCACCAGAGCTCTTTGAGAGTACCATCTTCACATTTTCTACTAAGTGGCAGGGGCCTGAGTCACCGCTCTCAGAGTGCAGCATTTTGTTGTAAGAGGCACCGGTAGGTGTGCTAACATTTTTAACATACAGGGATGTTAATTTTGACTGGGTCAAGACTTTCGAGAACCTTCCACCGAGTTTCTCGTTCTCCCTCCCCAGTTGGCTTGCCTGAGAAGTCCGATGCACATCTTAGCCAGCAGAAGTATGACTCACATTCAAGTTTTGTCTGATAGTTCCTTGAGAATCTAGGTAGCATACAAGTGGCATACTACCAGAGAGTGTAAATTGGAAACGTTAAATCGAACATATATATTTAGAATTATCTAAACACTCGTCGGTTAAAATTATCAGATTGAACCAAAGTGAATCAAAAATATTCCATACCAAAGGGCCATTGTCAACGGAGCAATCGCCGGCTTTCTTCAAGAAATGACTGAAATATTTTGACTGGATGACCTTGTCGATGCCAATATCCCTCCTCCTAGTAAAAATTCTACCCTCATCTTTGCTTGCCTGCTCAAATGCCTGACTGCATCACAATCAGAAGGCAGACCGCGAAATCAGGACTTAAAAGAAATCTCTGTTGGGACAGGCGAATCAGAGCGGAAAGTCTAATTCACTCTTAGATACTCGAGTGCAAGAGAACATGACACATCACTAGTGTTGTTAGGTACTCAGTTCACCCTCCATTACCGATCGGATTCAGGTGCAAGAGAGCGGCGAGCCGCATCTATTTTTGAGCAGACGTCAGCACGGATGGGGGCAATGAAGGCAGCGTCGACGGCGGTCTCGGTGCGGGAGTCGAGGAAGCCGAGCAGCCGGAGGCCGAGGGTCTGGGCGCTCGCGCAGTCTCCCCTCTCAAGAGCGACGTCAGCCGCGAAGATCAGAGAGTGTAGCCTCCTCAGGTTGTTGTCCGCCTCCTTCCTCCAGCTCCTTCCGCCCTCCCCGCCACCGGGAGGCGAGGCTCTGGAACTGCTGCTACTTCCCTTCTCCATCTCTCCCGCCGCAGGACGAAAAAGCGAGGGAACGCGCCTTTTCCCTCTCACTATGCAAAATCCACATTTCACAAGTATGGCTACGTTGTTTTAATAATTGTGTACATATCCACCTCTTGCGCAAAAAGATCCCTATTATAACAGGGATTTGCAGAAATAGCATTGCATTCTATGTTTGCGTATATAGCCCTTCATTCACGGCATGGTAGCCTCTGATTAACACGTGAACGCCCTCATAGAGATTTTGTTTTTATTTTTACAACGATAATATTAATTAACTAAAATATTAATCTAGTTGGTACCGATGCTTACGTTAATACCCTTTATTGTATGGGAATCTCATAGTTACTCATCTCCCGGCACTGATCAACTTTTCTGCAAAAACCTTTCATTATTTAAAATTATGCAAAAACCCAAAACGAGGGCTCATTTCCTTGCAATGTAGTGGCATGCATCAATTCTCATGGCTTTCCATTCCGGCAATTTGATATATATTTAATTATTTAAACCCGGTCTAAAAAGTGAGCTTAAATGCTCGGGAGTAAAATAATAAATATTTAATAAAAATCCTTTTTTTAAGATGCAATTTTTTTTACCTTGAATAAGCCATCTCCATGGGCTTTTCATGCGATTTTTGTGCCGGATTGGCCCGTCATAGAAGGTAAATATACAAAGTTAAAAACGAAAGAGGGGGTTTATTCAAAATTACCACTTTGGTCTTGACTTCTCCTTCCCCGTTGACTGCCTTAATGCATGCAGTTATAACTGTCGCCACCGTTGCGATGAAGTCAAACGCAGGTAGTGATTCGGGCGCGGCCCGCCCCATTGACTGCCTTAGTCCAGTTGCAACTGTCCCGCCGTTATGGTGAAGGTCAAACGCCGGCACTGATTCGGGGCGGGGCCGCCCCATTGACTGCCATGCACTTGCAACTGCCGCCGCCGTGCGGGGGGGGGTTGACAAACTGACAACTCCATTTAGTAATTTCCGAAGCCCAGATCCAGATCCAGTTCCGTACAACTCTGGTACATTACGTCACACATGATGTCACATGGCGTTAAGTATATATGTTAGTAAACTCATTATAAAGGGGGTAAAATACAATTATGTGAGATAATCAGGGTCAACTGCCGAGTTCGGACAGAGGACCTGGATCTTGAGTCGGCCGATTCGGACCCGGCTGGGCCGAGTCAGTACGTCCCCGGGTTCGCCAGAGGAGAGATAGACCTCGCTCTGCGGAAGAGTTTCTGCTCGCTGCCGGTTGCTGACCAGTAAGGCGGCCGCTGCGGGAAGACATCTCCGGTTTTCGTCGCTCGCTGGAAGGATCTTCTGGTTTTGGTGAGGAGCGAGTACCTCGCGTAGACGAGGAGGCGGGACTGGTCTGAAGCCGGTGGCCATTTCGGCACTGTGGGCGGGAAGCAGGGCTGGCAGTCTCTAAGCCGGGCGCATCTGGAAAAGCAGAAGGGATTGCATGAATGGTCCTCAATTCTCTGGATCTCCTTCTTCGTCGTCTCCAGTTCTAGCAGAGGATCTTCGACCAGAGCAGAAGAGAAGAATGACGCTCCGGTGGTGGGCCTCGCGGGATTCCGCGGCGTTTAAGTGTCTGGTGGGGCTGGCGATCTTATACGGGGTCATGTCCTACGTCGCGTACAACGTCGTGTATGTCCGTCACGTACGTCCTCTCGGCGTCGACGCGCCTCCCGATCGCTTCTCCGAGGCTAGGGCCATTGAGCACGTCCGGTACCTCACCGTGGACATTGACGGGCGACAGGTGCGTGCTCCGGGTACCTTGATCCATCCTTTTATGGTTGTTTGTCACTGCGGTGGGAAGTGTGATGATTTTGTGTTGTTATTTCGGCCAGGAAGGGAGGCCGGGACTGGATGAGGCGGCGAGGTACATCAAGAACCAGCTAGAGATGATGAAAGAGCGGGCGGGACCTGGTTACAGGTATGTGGGGTTGGTCTTATATGGCCGACGCTCTGTGTGAACTTTGAGCTTTAAATGACAAAATATGCGCAGAATTGACTAGTAGTTATAATTGGTGAGATAACGGGACTTTCTCTTCCTTGCATGAAGAAATGGGTGCACAATAAAAGGCAAAACTTTGTTGAGGGGCTTGGATGTTCTTTAGAGCTCTAAATTCTTTTTGTTTCATTCTCGCTGGAACTGCTTATAAGACCGTTACAGTTTCCAGGTTGAATGTCTGTATGAAATGTTGGCGGGAAATATTCCTGTATGCAATATTTACATGGCTGTAGGCCTTATTTGGCTTGCCTTTAATTCCATCTTAATTGAGCTGAAGCCCCTGGAAAGTCTTTGGAGTCGAATCTCGTATGCTGAATGCCGTGATAGATCCATTCAGTCATGTCTGTTGTCCAGAAGCAGCTTGGTTGTCAGTTTAATATAAATGAGCCTTGAATTGGTAAGGAGAAGAATAGTCAATATAGTAAAGGAGGATATTCGGTTAGCTGCTTGTATGAGAATGACTTGATAGATATTAAGGCCTGCTGGTATGATTGCTGATGTTGTTTTCAGGTGGAGTCTTCGCATTTAATGTTGAAATTGCATTTCTGCAGGGTTTCTCTGGTATTTTGACTTTTTGAATCAGGGTCGGATGTTTAGTGCTTAGCCAAAAAGGCATCCAACTGTTGGAGGGGTGATATTTACATAATATTTACGGATTATAAGGAAGTGCTATCAGTTCAATTTAGAGTGTAGGGTTAATGCCTTAGTATACAACAAAAGAGAAGCTTTTATTACCAGAAAACTATGGTGATATTCATAATAAATTCCAATTAAATATGTAGACAGTCACATCATTGTTCTTTGCTTTACGTCTTGAATTTGTGATCAGTGATGTCACTTGCCCATGGTTATAAGAGTAAGTACTCTGAGGAAGAGATTACTAAATGCACTCTCATGCAAAATTTGGAGTCTTCTTATTTTCTTTTAGAAAATCTGTTGGATTACAAATACAATTATTGTCCTGAAATGGGTTTCATGTCAGTCAGGGCACACCAAATTCAGGGGGTTATGTTTTCCCTTTGCTTCATTCTGTTTCTTTTCTAAGAGCAGTTGCAGGGTTCTTTGTACGTAGTACTATCAACGTTCGATGCTCGAACTTCACTTTTTGAATATTTATTGTGCTTAGTACTGGGATGTCGTAAGCATGCTTATTTGTTAAGAGCCTTTTCTTTTTCCCACACAAAGAATGAACCTTTCATCACAATATCCTATCCTGTTTTGATTGATTTTATGATTTTTTTTTCTGCTTTTCTTACAATTTTTAACTCTATTCAACTTGATGCTACAGGTTAGACATTGATGAGATGTCAGTGTCTGGTTCCTTCAACATGATGTTCTTACGTCATAGTTTATCACTTGGGTATAGGAATCATACCAATATCCTTTTCAGGTATTTTTGCATAATTTTCTTTGATCATAGGGTCTTGAAATACGGTATTTTTACTGGTTTGGTTTTGTTTAAAAAAGATGGCGAATTTCTCACTCTGAGTTTCCTGAGATTTTTTTGGTGTTTTTTTTTACTTTTATATGTTATGTTACTGGAACATGTTTCCTTCCTACACTTTATGATATATATATATATATCTCATTTATCTTGAGACTTGGTGGAAATGGAGCTGTTATTTACCTCATTTGGTGTGTTTTCTTTTGTTTGTTTTTGTGCATTGTCCAAAATTTTAAAAGTCTAATGTTGCGCTATTCCAAACATGATATTAGAACTAATGGCTGAAAATCAATAGCAACTGCTACTGACTGGCCATTAATTGGTTTTATCTTGGTGTGGTCTCTGATATAGGTTTCTTAAAAAACTTTAGACTGTCAAACTCTAAATCATTTGATAGTGAATGGAATAGTCCTATCTCTAATCATAACATTGAAAATTTTACTTTTAATATGAGACTATTCTTGCAGACGTTATTCACACGCCAACCTTTTGTTGATCTATCCTGTGGACAGCGTAAGACCCATCTAGGGAAGATATGTTGGAAATTTGAAACCATGTTGAAAACTAGAAAGTCCAACTTAAAATCATTTTGCAATGAATGAAGGATTCACGAGAGAGAGAAAGAAACAGAGGGTTGGAGAGGAACAGCTGTTAGGAAAAACAAGTAGAGGATGTGGGAAGAAAGTGGGAGGAGGGAGACATCCAAAAGCAACATTAGGTGCGCATGTTTGTGTGTGGGTTCTATTTCCTTACTAACCAAGAAACCCTATAAAGTGTGCATCCGCTTCCCTGTGCAGGGATACATCACTTCCATGTGAATCTGGCCAAGCTCCTGTATCATCAAGCCTTCTGCATTACCATCATGAAACATCAACAGGTAGAGAGAGTGTGTGTTTCTTGCATCTGATGCATCTGGACGGAATGTAGTGGTGTTGGTGAAGGGGGGAGGGGGGGAGGGGGGGAGCAGGAGTATGTTACTAATTTTGACTGGTACTGAGGAAAATAATCATAATGCAGCAGATTGCTATGCTAGTTTTGCATGTGCTGGTCATACCTGATATCCTGGCACATAAAATTTAAATTTAGCCAGTTTCATTTGGTTACATATCTTTGTTTTGTATAATGCTTAAGAAAAAAAAAATACAAACTTCAAAATCAGAGGAACCTAGGAAGCAGTAAAGTTGGAACAAAGAAAAATAATTATTTTCAGGGATTAAGCTGTCTTATTTTAAGAGTCCCAATGGCCTTCTCTAAGTTAATCTGAACTGGGTGACAGGATATCATCTGCAGTCTCCAATTATACCGAACCAGCTGTTTTGGTAAATGGCCATTTTGATAGTCCGCTTGGCTCTCCTGGTGCTGGGGATTGTGGCTCATGCGTTGGTCAGTTTTCTCGAATTTCTGATTATAATTTGTGTTTATTTTTATTTTTCATCTTTCTAATATTACGGATTGTTCATGTCTTGACAGCTTCGATGCTTGAATTAGTGCGAGTTATACTAGATTCAAGTTGGATACCTCCTCAACCTATAATTTTTCTTTTCAATGGTGCAGAGGAGATCTTTCTTTTGGTAAGATCGCTCTTGTCAATGGCTTCAGTTTTGATGCTTTTCAAAGTTTTTGTTACATAAGGGTTGCTGATTGCTTGTGTGAACTTGAACCGATAAAGTAACAAGGCAATTCTTTTGTTTACCCGAACTTCCTGTGGGTTACTTTTGTTTGACGCTCTAATGTCTGCCTGGGACAAGCTGGCCTGAAAAACTCTGCCACATTCTTGGTTATTCACTGCATATTGCTTACTCTAGATTGCTGGATGCCGTATAGAGAATATAATGTTTACTTCTCCTTTTATATAGATTTTTATCATTTAAATTATCAAGTCTGTAATGAAGAGGTTAAAAGAATTTACTACTATAGTGACTTCCAGGGGACGAGAATGAAGAAAAAGCCCTAGCAAAGAGTTCTGTGACTTCTTTCTTTTTTCTATCAGGGAAGAGGATGAAAACTTGTGCTTTTACAATGAGCAACCACTCCTAGTGACATGAACAAAGAGACCTTACAAGTCTGATGATTGGGTAAGCCACATTCTACACAGCTGTCACTTCATAGAATCGAGAAACTCAGAAACATGGCGTCAAGTAGAGGCCAAAACATCAGATGAGGAAGATAAAAGATCTGTTTGCTGAGTTTTCTTTAAAGAGCTGATTGAAGGAGAAATATGGAGGCGAGAGATGTAAGGATGCATTCTTCTGAAAACCAAGAGGATCTGATCACTCCATTCACAAGAGAAGGAAGTGAATCAGGGTTGAAGGCCAACTTCATAATTAGATGTTGTGGAGATTTGTATACATGAAAATAGTCTAGAACATGCTGCGGCCATTTCAGTTCATTAAAAATGTCAGGTTTCCTCCTTCCAGAAATAAGATGAGAAAACAACTATGGAATAATATTGTCTGAATATTTGAACTTTGACAAGAGGGATGGAAGGGGAAACTATCATATGCTGATGGGAGACAGATTATATTCAAACCTGAGTCCTGCATCTTATAAGATTTCTTTCTTATAACGCACATAGTTCTATGAAAGGCTTGGTAATTGGATTCTCCAATATTCCAGAAAGTGCCTTACAAAAAAGGCTGTTCCTCATCTTGAGGGATCAAAGAGTGGCTCTGGTGGAGTTTGAGATTTAATGGCAAAGGATTGGTGGGTTAGTGGTTCTGTGGACTTGCTGAAGTTTATTTATTGTTAGGCATCCATTATCAAGAGAAGATATTCTGCAAATTATCCTCGATGGTGTTTTTATCCAGACGTCTGATATCTTTGAATAGCTGCTCATACCTAAAACAGCTTTCTTAAATTACCAGTTGGCTTTTGAACTGTAATATTGTGGTATAATCAATAACGTACAGATTAGTTTCCAGCTCGTAGAATTTCACAAATTTATTAACTATCAAGATATAAAGGTAACATTTAAAAATGATGACAGGATGTTCCGAATGTGAGGTCAGCCACTGAATTTTAAAGGGCTTACCCTGAAACTTAAATTGAAGAATACTGCAATCTTTTCCGACTAATTGATCAGATTAGAGTTCAACCCTCGAAGAAGTGTGATGATCTAATATCTTGTGGGTAAAGTTCTCAGCAAGGATGGTGCGGCATGTAGCTGGTGATGTGCCACTGGACTGTGCAGTATGCAGCATGTGTTCCAGCGTGTGGTACCAATGAATGAGGTTGATGGACACGTCTATGTATGCAGTGCCTACAGAAGCATCAACATTAATGTTGGGATGAGACAACAAGAGGATCAGGCATGCATGTGCAAGTGCAATGAGGTGGGCTAGTTCAACAGTATGTGGGCCCTGCACAGACAACTTCATAGTGGTTGTGTGCAAACATTTGCACCGCGTATTTCATGGATTCTCTGGGGACAATGTGGGGTACATCGTGTGGGGTAGAGTTGTGCGAATCTCTTAAGCGGCATACATGATATCAACTTAATGTTTCATGCGTGTTGCAAGGATATGCCATGGTTATTGTAGGGGCCCACAGAAGTTTATGTAGTAGGTGGACTCAAAAAGCTGCGTATACAGGGAGGGGATCGAAGAGCTAAGGGCCCTTGAAGAGTGAGGGATTCCTTAACGGATTATTCTATTCATTATACTGTGTTCCTTGAGTTCCAGAGTGAAAGATCCTTCTTAGGCATCTTGTGTCAGTGTGCTTGTGCAATGTGGTCAAGTGTATGGGTCTAGCCTTGTGACATTTGGTCAGAGTCCGGAGATAAACAGTTAATGCGTTTTTTGACTCTTTCAGCGTAAAATCTTTTGTAAATGCTAAAAACGATGGAAATTTTATAGTTTGGTGATACAAGTTGATTTGGCTAAAAGGTAAACCCTGAAAAAGATTGTTCTCAAAAAACTATCCGTAAACTATAGCACGTGAGCAAATTGCACGATTCATGGAGGATGTAAATATGACTAGGATACTTTATGGAAACCACGTGGACATAATTGACCAATTGTTAGAGGACTGGGATTTTCATGCCCCTACATAAGTATTTCATAAGATGGCTGTATTTGCGATTCTACAACATTTAGGAGTCTGCAGCTTGATGAAATGATGGACTTAGGAAATCAACATAAACCGAATGTGACTAGCATTTCATTATGTTTCCCTCAATTTTTTGGGGAACCTATAAATTAATGATTAGAAAGATGCATCTGCGCGATTTGAGCTGAAAGATCTCCTGAATGTCGCACTTCAGCAAGTTGATGGACAGTTTTTTTGTGAACAAATCCAAAGGTTAAATCAGTTGTTAGGCTTATTATTCTTATGCATAGTATTTTCTTTTCCCGATCTAATACTGTGGTATAATCTTCGGGGAAGTAGGAATATCTTTGTATTTTTAGTACAGAGTGTGATTTTTCTCTCTATTCTTGATGTACGCAAAGAAATGTGGATTTTCTGCCATGAAGAACATCATGACTCCTTTAATTTTTGGAGGTTAAAAATTTAGAGGGGTCGAATAGTGATGAAATTTGGGCGCTTCCCTGTCCAGAAGAGTGAATTGAAAGAAATAAATGAAGCTTCCTACTTTGAAGAGAGATTCTTGCGAATTATTTCAACGGAATGCATAGCGGAATTGATGTAAAACAAGATTATATCAAGTGTAGAAGGCCTGAAAGGACAAACGCTGAAGACCCAAATAGGCTTTGTCTGGGTGCCCAATTAGTCCGAAACATTTACTCTTTTGTTTGGTTTAATAGTTATTTATTTTTTCCCGGAACTGTTGACTACCGATCAGTGGAATTTCACTGCAGGAGGGGGAGATTTCCTGGACTGAGAGTTGGCAGTTAGGGGAGAAAAGAAGGCAGGGGTGGGAAATTTGCTGGAATGAAAGTTTCCAGGTGGGGGAGAAGAGGGGCACCAGCATAATGATTCTCGCCATTATTACTTAGTCTTTTGGAACTTTTTCGTGATTTTGGGCGTCTAGTTTTCTGTAAATACCTGTTTTCTTCAATGGAAGGTGGACCAAATTGATTTGATTCTTTATCCTTGCATGCGAGCCTCGGCTTAAGATGTGACCATTTGAGGGGTTTATCTTGCAAATCTGATAATGCACTCGGTTATTTTCGAGGTCTGAGGTTTATCCTTGCAGGAGAGTCAATACATATGGTTTTTAATTTATATTTGATTTTTGTAGGGTTCACATGGCTTTATGAAAACACATGAATGGGCGAACTCCCTTGGAGCTTTTATTAATGTTGAGGCATCTGGAAGTGGTGGTCTTGGTATTTTTCCTTTGAACTTTGATCAGTCCTACAAAGTAGATTTCTGTCTCCATGCTACTTGCGTACTTACAAACTTCATGGTTTTGTAGAGCATCAAAATGTTGATTCCCTGACTTTACTTTTTAGATTTTTTCATTGGAATAGAGATGATGTTAATGAATTGCTTAGACAAGAAAGTGAGTTCACCATTGCACAAAACTGAGATAGATGGTGAGATGTGATGAGGAGGTGGAAAAAATGTGGAAGACGTCTTTTGGAAATGTGATGGATGTTTCGTGAATGCTGTCAAGTGGAAATCTATGGTTGCATGATTCTTGAGTGTCTTTCGAAATCTTGACATTTTTTTCATATTTTCCTCAGGCCTCTGAAAATGTAGTGTTGTGCCACTCTTTAAGGGAACGAGGCATTGTTTGAGTTCCAATTGGGATAGGATTTATCTTGTAAATTTAGCCAAGAGTTTGTCTTTAGATTGACCAAAGGGGTGCAAGATTAGAAACTTTATCTATTTAAATAGAGTCTCAGCGTTTGAGAATCATATAGAAAATCTGCAAGGATTCTAGAGTACTCTCCTTCCCACCATGTTCACTTTTTCTGGTGGGACCTCATCCACGGGAAAAAAGTCGAGATGAAGATCGGACGGGAGAAAGGTAAAAAAACAGTAGACATGAAGAGTTATGTTTTAAAACTATCTGGTCTGAGAGCTCATTCTCGAAGGGCAAATTTCAATTGCTTTGAAGGACGGCAGAACCTGCCCAAGTTATAGTGATGGATAAGTTTCTATTTTCTCGGCTGTGATAGGAGACTGATTATGAAGATCTTATGAGAAATGTAAGGGAAGTAGAAGTCTGTGCAAATTGGCTTTCTATTTGACATAGATGTAGATGGAGTTACCAGATATCAAATGGCTTCTCAGATCTAGCTTTTAGGTTTTTGAATGAAGATTTTGATGTGATGAATCCGTGTTATGGAAGGTATCTTGTTTTGGATGTGGCAAAGTCAGAAAGTTATAACACAGAGAAATGATATTCTGTAGATTTTGCTTGATGTTTCCGTGAATGCTTTTCTTTCTCAATGCATTTTAATAGGAAAATATACATACACTCTATACGTTGTGCTAAGTTTTTTGGAATTTACGAATGCTGCGAGCTTTTTATATAAAAAGTAGTTGTCATGGATAGCTTGTCTTTTTTTTACCTTAAAATTTTTGTGATTCTACCAGTACATGTATGCATTGACATGACTATCATTTACATCTGTCTGCCACGATACAGTGTTTTGTGGGTCTCAGGTTAACATCTCAAATTTTAGCACATTGCATTTGGCTTGGTATGAGAAAATTGTATGCACTCTTTTTGAGAAAGAAAATGGGTTTCATCTAAATGGAATTATTCGTAGTTTCATTACAAGTTTTATTATGCATGTTTCTCCCCTATGATAACCAATTGGTACATCAGCCTGCTGGTGTATGATAGTCAAGGTAGCACATAATTTAGTTAACATATCTGTGTGTTGAGGTACACTGTTAGATTGTGAAGTACACCTGTTTGTAGATATCACCAAATAGAGTCATACTTATTCTATGGCATCTAACATAAGATGGTTAGCATTTCCCCCCTTTTATTTGGTTGAATTTTCTAGTGGTGGGGGTGGAGTTTTAGTGTCAATAATGAATACATTTGTGTGCGCTTACCAAATGTTGCATGCATGATCCTGGAAGAAAGATTTCTAAGAGAGTTTCAAGGGCAGTAAGAGAATAAGAAAATGGTTCTTTCTCTATTCGATCAAATCCCGTATGACGAGAAGAATCTATGCTAGAGCTAGAGAACAAATCCAGGTGGTAATCTAGGAAATATACAGCTAGAAAATATGTAGAAATAAATAAATAAACAATAAAGAACCAAAAGATATAAAACATTCGAAAATAGGTCCTAGTCTTTCAAACAAATTCAGTCAGTTAATTACGCTTAGACACCAACATATGTTCACTAGGCTCGGATCTGAATACTGCACATCTGAACGGATCTCAACAGTTTCTTTACAGGAATATGCTCATATTTTCCCTTATTCTGTTGAAGACTTACGCTATGTGACCCCTTTGCTTTTTGTAGGAAAGAAATTTAGAGCTTTGTGAAAAATATGTTGTTTTTCTCCTAAAACCTGTATCCAGCTATTTTAGCTTGTAATTCTGCATATTGTTTTCCACTGACAGATTTGGTTTGCCAGTCTGGACCTGGGTCTTGGCCTTCTTTAGTGTATGCTCAGTCTGCTGTATATCCTATGGCACAAAGTGCTGCTCAGGTTTTAAAGGCCTCTTGTGTTGTTAGAATTACTGTATCAGCTTTAATGTATGGATGACGAACCTTTTAGTTGATTCTTGGTGCAGGATGTATTTGGTATCATTCCTGGTGATACGGATTTCAGAATCTTTGCCAAAGACTTTGGAAAGATTCCTGGGTTGGATATTATCTTTGTTCTTGGTGGTTACTACTACCATACATCCCACGACACATTAGAGAGACTGATGTAAGGACTGATTTCAGTGCTCTATTTGATTTTTTGTGAAATTCTTATTTCGTGAACTTTATATTATAAAATATATTTTCAATTTTTTTCTATGTATATCTTGGAACCAGGCCTGGAAGCATCCAAGCACGAGGCGAAAATTTATATGCCCTTGTTAAGGCCTTTACAGCGTCCCCATTGTTACGAAATGCAGAGCAAAGGTCTCAAGTGGACGCTGCCAAGGACCCTGGAAATGATCGAGCTGTTTACTTTGACTACTTATCGTGGTTCATGGTATGTCGTCCGTTTGGCCTAGGGCACACTTTTTAACTCCTTTCTGTCTGTCCACGTTTTGGCCTCTAAAATGTTGTGATATGATGGTATCCGATCTTATAGATTATGGTATATTTTATTTGAATTGGATCTACTGAATAGATCTGTTGAACTGTTTTAGTAGAATCTCGAGTGAACTAGCTGTGGCTACACTTTCTTGTGTGAACAATTGTTTTCCGTTTTGGGGGGATTGATGGAATTCCATGGCGTCCAACTGATTGTGCTTATCAACGTTTTGGTGTTAAATTTAGACTATCTAATAAAAGGGTTTATTATGCGATATGAGAATAGCCTGTGGTTAAGATGTTATCATTGATGATAGCTGTCATGTGATTCAAGGTGATGGTAACATAATTTCACCTTTTGTCATTTCAGATAATCTATTCTAGAAGGGTCGCTCTGGTCCTCCATAACCTTCCTGTGGTCATATTTCTCCTGATGCCTCTGCTTCTGCATTTCCAGCATTGTACTGTCAGCTCTGTTTTCTCCAGTTTTCTTGACTTGACAAAAGGTATGTTGTTTGTATTTGCCACATTTTCTGCAATTTATTGAAGTTGATACATTTATTCTGCCCTCTGATACCTTTATTTTCTTTTTGGGATTATTTTATGGTACCTATCTGTTTTCTTCCATGTAATGCTATTAAACCAACTCCAAGTTCACCTATTATTCAACAATGAAATTTTTTCTTTAGTTGATTTGTGAGTGAATAAAGTCTTGTTATTATATATCATGGAATGATATTGCCCAATTTACGACACCAATAATGTTCTCTTCATTTTGTGTCTAAATCATCTGAAGTTTCTGATATAGTACCCGTCAAGACATGTTCATAGTAAGTGAATAGTCTAGAAGCTTCTATAGTGAATATTAGGGAAGGGGTGGACTGAGAGGTATAAATACCCCTTCCCTGTGAATAAAAGGGGGTATTGTGGTAGAAGTGACACGAGAGAGGGAGAGTGGGAAACTATCTCGGACTAATCCCCACTTGTTACATTGTTTTCTCTGTTTTCTTGAATCCATTGTTCTTTTTCCTTTCATTGTCCAAGAGGAGAGGAGGGGATCATATCAACTAGTATCAGAGCGAGTTCTTGGAAGCATAGGACTATGAATTACAGAAAACTTTCTGGAGGCATTGAAGATAGATGCAGAACATATCAAGGAAGAACAAAGACGTACAAAGGAGGAGCTACAAAAATTGAAGTCTGAATCAACAGATTTGCTACAAAAATTCCTTCAACGAATCCATGAGAAGTTTGATGAATTCAAGAACTCTGTCAATGAAAAGTTCTTAGCATTAGAAAAAAGGGATCCAACTACAAGTATGACATCTTGATTGGTCAGGAATTATCTAGAGAATGAGCAATAAGAGAGAACCAATCTAGGACTAGAGGTACAAAACTTTGTGCTGGCTCCAAATCACATTTCAGATGAAAATCAACAAACAAGGAAAGGAGATGTCCGAATCTTCAGAGTCAATCTAAAAGATGTCTCCGATGTGCAGAATGATATTTTCAGATCAAAAAAAATATAAGAAGAAAGAATAGAGGTAATCAGCTTACACTTGGATGATATGACATTAGAATGGTATGTCTGGATAGAATATCGATATCCTGTTTAAGAATTGACAAGATTTTCATATTCAAATTGAGAGGCATTTTAAAACTTCTAAATCGGGAAATGTGTATCAATAGTTTCTTGATATTAAGCAGGAAGGAACAGTATCTGATTATAGATAAGAATTTAAACTCTTATCCACCGTCCTCCCCAAGATTTCAGAAAAAGTCATAGAACAGATACACTTGAAAGGCCTGAAGCTGGAACTTCAATCTGAATTATCTAGAACTAAACCAATGTAATTATTAGAAATTATGGACGCTTCATTGGAAGTAGAGGAGCACCTACGCACACTATGTGAAGCATGACATATCAGTCTACCAAAATAGACAAGAATGGAGACACATTCAATATTTGGTTACACACTAACAACAACAAGATTGCTTATGTCAAGAGGAATTCATGTAAAGAACAATGAGAAAAGGTCTGATTCTCCCCACAAGTCAACAACTCTACATGAAACAAAGAAAACAGGGGTAGAAACCATACCTTTCTAAGGTTGGCACAGACGACAAATTCAAGTAATTGATGTTGAAGTTAATAAACGCAGGATCAAGGGCTTACGTTTCAATTGTAATGACAAATGTGGACCCAAGCATTGTTGTAAGAAGCTCTTTCACATCTTAATTGTCAATTCTAATGATAAATTGACTCAACAAGAATTAGAAGTTATTTAGGGTGATCTAGAAGAATCATACAATGAGGGAATATTATTTACTGCACATGTATCATTGAATTCAGTGGTTGGACTTACAGAACCAAGATCAATTTGGTTAAAAGTGACCTTGCAAGGGTGAGATGTTACCATTATGGTAGATTGTGGGGGCACACATAATTTCATATGTGTGAGTCTATTGAAGGAACTTAGATCACCTATAAATGAATCAATGAACTATGAAATCAGTATTAATGAACGCAGTCAAAAGGTATGGTAATTCCAAAATTGTTACTCTACAATTATAACGGCTGTCTATTACCAAGATTTCTTACCTTTGCAGTTGGAGAGCACAGACCTCATACTTGTCATGAAATGGTTGGAAATTATAGGGTGGATGCATGTCCATTGGTGGTTATTAATTATGAAATTCATGGTGGATGAGAAAGTAAAAACTCTGAAAGGAGATGTGAGTTTGTCAAAAGCTACTATTTCATGGAATCCTTTGGAAAAACTAATCAGGAAGAAAGATTCATTTGATTGGAACCAAGTCACTCGAAATACTTTTGATCAACTCTAAAATGCAAGTCCTAACACCCCATATCCTTATCATAGGTGGTTGGTCAAACTGATGGACTTGAATTTTAAAATAAAATTTTGACGAAGGGAAGTATAATAAGGTAGTAGATGCTTTGTCTCACTTCCCAAGTATGACAGAATTATAGAAAATGTTGGTCTCACATTCCAGCTGATCAATGTCATTAAGATAAATGAGGAACTATCATCAGATTCAAGGTGCTGGAACCCCAAGATCATGTGCAACCATTTCCTCCAAATTTCACACGAGCTTGATTGGAGAACGGTGCCGAAGTTATGCCAAACAATTCAGCCTACAACTGCAAGACTAGAGGTCTTCATCAAATAGACAGGCCTACTAAATTTTGAAGCTACATGGGAAACATCTTCAGATATTATACAACGGTTCCTGACTTCCACCTTGAGGACAAGGTGGATTTGAATGAGGGGAGTGCTGATACAGTATCCCTCAAGATGTATGTTCGTCATAAGCAAATAATCTAGAAGCTCCTATAGAGGACATTTGAGAAGGGGTGGGCTGAGCAGTATAAATACACCTTATGAATAAGAAGGGATCTCATGGTAGAAGTGACATGAGAGAGGGAGAGTGGGGGAATTCTCTTGAACTAATTCCTGCATGTTACATTGTTTTCTTGAATCCATTGGTCTTTTTCCCTCCATTGTCCGAGAGGAGAGGAAGGGATCATATCAGTTCATGTTGTGTTCTTTAAATACTTCTTGGTCTCGTGCTTAATGTTACCAGCTTGTTGTTCCATTTGTTCAGTTCGGAAGCTTAGTAGCTGATCATTGCAAGAGTTGGCATACTTAACGAGGTGCCAGGTGTTTGAATTGTAATTTGGATTTTGTACCATCTTTAAAAGGGAAAAGCAACATGAAGAGGACGTAACACCTCATTAGACGATTGAAGAGACTGATGCTACAGAGGTGGAGATATTTGACGGTTGAGTTCTGGATGGAGGTTCTAGTACAAGTTTTAGTAGAAGTTTGAAAGAACTAAAAACTGTGCAACCTGGCGTTCTCTTTTTAGCATATTTGTGAAGACCCATCTCATTGGGGAAAAGAGATTCATGGGGATGTAAAGATGATAGAGGAAGAAATTTTAAAGCGTCATCTGCCTGCTATATTAGCACTTGTGGAAATACCAGATGCTTCACCGTACTCTCAAAATAGAAGGGAAACATTAGGGTACAAATTTTTAACCTCCTACCTGTTTACATTGAGAAACGGCATGGCATCAAAAGGTTGCTATCTGCTTCCATCTGCCAATCTCAATGCAAGCATATATACAATTCCACTTCACCATGCAAATGAACCGCATTATATTCTATGTGATAGCATCATTAGAATGGAAACAAGTATTCAAGAAGTGAAAAAACTTATGTCTCCTCCTCCCCTCGTATCATCAGCTGGAGTTTCTAACATTTTGGTTTAAATGAGTAATCTAACTAACTCTTGATAGTCTATTATCTAAAAGACTCATGAAAATACGTGTTAAGTCTGGCAGCAATTTGTTATTTCTGTTTTTCCCTTTTGTGCATGGTATCAAAATGTTCCCATCTGTTTCTTCCCTCTTTCTTTTTCCTCTACCTTCCATTGGCAGGTCTTTTATGTTTCTGTAAATCTGGTCGGCAATCAGCTGATAAAGCTGAGATTGATCAGCTTGTATTAATTTTCTCTAACTTTTCTGAGGATCAGATATCTCCTGACCTCTTTTGTCTTAATTGGCTGGTCCCATCAGGATCAGCGATTTCAGAGCAAATCATTGAAGGCAATTTGTATCTTGTCTTGCATGTGTACAATTTGAAAGAAGTTGAGAGGAACGTATTACAGTAGCATTGTTTGACCAAGAAAGTGGTCATTTCAATATTGCTCCCGACAGCTTTTGTTTATAAGTGTTATGTAACCAGGTGGAGAAAAGACTGATATTTAATATGTTTGTAAGTCATTTAGAATATAGGCTACTGATTCTAACCTAATTTTTTTCTTTTTATTTTTGGCAGTTGTGAGGGAGATAGAAAAGTCAATGATCTGACCATGAAATGGTCGGATTATGAAATGGCTGGATTATATATTGTGTGTTCATTTATTCTAGACTATTTTTTTAACCACTATTCTATACTTTTGGATTGCTAGTCAACAACACGAAAGGAGAATTGAATTGATTAAAATGGACTTGAACTTATTCAAATTGACCTGCCTTTATGCGAGAAAGTCATGTCAAAGTAGGCTCGAGTTTCTTCGCATTGGCTTAAATTGCTTGTTATTTTGATTGACGTGCCCATCTGTAGAAAAGTGATCCAAGTCCTCACTGTGCTGCTAGAATCTGCGAGTGTTGATAGTATGTATTTGAATAAAGAGCAGATGACATATAGGGAGATGTCTATATGAGACACCATGTATCAGTGCCCTCACCTGCACGATGCCAAATTTTTCCAATTGCCTCCTTTTGTAGCAGCATGATAAGCTGATGTATTTAAACATTTTAGCATTTTTATTTATCAGTTGGAATTGGCTTCAAGAAATTTTCGATTTCTGTGTGCAGGAGTGTTTTTTCATGCGATGGGTATCAGCCTCGGTATTTTTGTCCCTGTTGGTTTTGCAGTACTGCGACTCTGTTTTTCAAGATATGCAATGAGTTGGTAGGTATCATCTTTCAAAAATATTCTTACCATTTAATTTATTTCATACCACGATAATTTAATTTTTTTAAAATGTGGTGATATAATTTTCCAAGTTTTGAATTTCTTTATGTCAATGTGGATAAAGGAATACATGTCATTCCAAATAGATAATGTACTTGTTTTTCTTCCTTTCTTTGTGGAAACAAACAAGTGATGTTTTCTTAACATGAGACATGTGCAGTCAAAGTCGGGTGATACACCACTATGGTCACGTATGTATCAATTATAATTTTTGTTAACTTGAGGATTAGCCAGAATTTCCCTTGATCATGAGTTTGATGGTCATTTCTTGCTTGATATTCATCTATTGTCAATATTGAGAATTTTCCTTATACTAATCTTCCCTGTTTAGGTACAGTCATATCCTATTATTATTCTGTTATTCTGTCGGTTTATACAGACTTACTTTCCCTCTTTTGTTTGTTGCAAAGTCTATCAAGAGACTCTAAAAATACCACATTGGGGGCGGACCATCACAACCAATTCAGTTTGAATAGTTCAAACTCAATTTTCTGGTTGACAGTTGACCCAATGAACAAGTTCTTCCTTGCTACCTTCTATATGCTTATTTAAGTATCTTTCCTTTTAAGTGGGCGCACATATTGGAAAGCTGAAGGATATCTTGTATTCATTTGGTGTGAACATATTCTCTTTGCATGATTCTCTAATGAATGTAATTAGGGGCTTCCCTATGCACGTCCATATTTATGTTCTTTAGCTCTTGTTGACAAAACCTAGCAGATTATTATTTTTTTGGATTCAGTAGTGATATCTTATACATTGCAGGTATGCACGTCCATATCTGGCATACATGATGTTCATCCCTTGCTCAATTGTCGGTTTATTGATCCCTAGGACTGTGTGGGGATCTTTTTCTGTCTCTCAGGAAGTTGCATTTCCAGGAGAAACCAATGAGGTACATGGTAATCATTTTTACTTTCAACCTTGTGTGCTAATTATACGGCGGCTTATGATATAGTAAACTAGTTTTCTAATCTTGCACTATGGATTGCTGTAAATTTGTTCTCTTTTGTTATAGTGCTTTAGGAATAGGCTGTATATTTGCCCTAACGATGACAAGAATGAAGCTTAAAAAACTCAAGAAGCGAGAGTAGAAAAAAACAGGAAAATTTGTGAAAATTTAATTTTGTGATAACATGTTGTCTGATACCATGTTATCTAAAGTACCGAGTTAGAACTGTCACTAAGATCTCATTAGTCTTTTTCATTTTATATTTTTTATTTTCCATAATATGGTGATCATAATGAGGACAGATGCAGCAGCAGTGGCCCACATTCTGTTTTCCTCTTTTTGATTCTTTCTTCTCCTTTTTCTTTCTTCCTTTAATGCGTATAAGGGATGGATTTTTTAAGCTTTTTCTTTTTTACTTGTCTCCAAGACATTTCCAACTCAAAAATCTCTGGTTTTTTTCTGACTCATAAGTCAGGATCTAGTGGGTAATGCCCAATATTGTTCTAGTGATAAGATGCCAGCACGGCCCACTTTACCTCTAGGTTAATGAGGATAAGAATTTTCTATGAATGGTTACGTGTCATAAATTTATGTCCTCAATAAAAAGTAATATTTCATGGAAAAAAATTATTGAATTTGTTGACTGGAGACAATCCTGAGGATGGCTTTAAAGTTTCTAGAACCTTTCAGGGTCTGGTAGCTGTCTAGAACCTTCCAGGGTCTGATATAAATACCAGATCCCTCTACTTGCAAATAATCCTTTTGAAGAAAGAACATTTTCTGCATGGACGTGAGATGGTCTTTCCAGTGCACCAGTCGTAGTATGAAATTCCTGCAGTACTCAGTATCATGCTAATTGGAAGGAAAAAGACTTGATCATGGGGTTCCTGCTTTGGTCTGACTAGTTATCTGTATCCTTCAATGAGGTTCATGTAGTTTTCTTGGATCATCATACGTTGTTCCAGCTAAGTTTTTTAATGACTCTTTATCTTGGTATTCTTTTGTTGTTGAAGTGTAGATTGTTTCCTGACATGTTTATTTCTGAGTAATTCACCCCACATAGATAATCCAGATCATGTGTTGTTCCTCATGTAATCTTCGAATGTTACATTGAACATTGTGAAAAATTTAGCTCTTGTTCCTCTCTTCCCTTTAAAAAGGAGTGTTATGCAGAACAAGTTTTGTTTTTTCTATATTAGGCTTTCCTTCTATTTTCCTATTATCAGATGTATTTTTCTTTTTCGTGTTTCTATTATCAGACCTTTCCGGAATACTGGAAAGGTTTATTAGATGCCAATATAAATACTGGCATACTGTCTTGAGAAGGGTTAAGTCAATTTTTCCCTTTCTTGCTTCCACTATATCTCGTGACATGGTATCAGAGCTGTCTCTCTGATCTTGTGTGAAGACCGCCGATAGAAGATTAACCAACCTTGGTGGCAACAACGACTCCACATTGTAGGGAATGTTGCCTGGTGATCTTCTTCCTGCTGCAGTACCTGAAATCGTGAGGTTTCTTGGTCGTAAGTAGACCAGCGAATTCCTTGGAGAGTTGCTACACCATTGTCGTTTCTTGACAGTGGGGGACATCTATAATTACACCATTGTCGATTCTTGACGGTGGCAGGACATCTACAAATACATTGTTGTCATTTCTTGATAGTGGTGGATGTTTGCGAATACACCATTGTCGTTTTCTTGACAATGGCAGTTATCCTTAGTTTCTTGAATAAAAAATGTTTTTCGAACCACATCAGGGAATCTCTATTTGAGAATTTTTTTAGCTATCTAGTCACAGGTGAAGAACATGGAGACAAAGGTTAGTGAATCTTCCTCCTCTAGCTTAGGACATTCATTTGAAGTAATTAAGGTATAGTCAGATCTACCTATAATTGCTGAGAGATTCCAATTTGACGAAATCAATTTGTTCCAATGGACATCATATGTGGAACTTATTCTACATGGGAGAAATCTGGATTGTCACCTAATGCAATCTTCGCCAAATATTGACAACTCAAGATATTTTCAGTGGAAAGAAGAAGCACTAATTCAATATTGGATACTAGACATATTTCACCAAAGATAAGTGATTTATTTATTTATTTTTGAAATTTATGAAGGAATTATGAGACAAGGTTCAGTGGAATTATGATGTTCACTTTACTAAACATGACGAATCCCAAATTTATAGATTGGTACAGAAATCTCTGACTTTGGTACATGGAACATTGACTGTTCTAGAATATTATTGCGAATTAGAATCCATCTAGAGAAAAATCAACCACTACAGACCAATTAAGAACCTTGATACTGAAGAACGAAATTATATTATGAAAGACAAGTTGTATAAATTTCTGATGGGGCTAAATCTAGAATATGAGGCTCTAGTAAATCAGATCATTGCTCAGGAAATAGTACTAGATATTGAAGAGGCAATTGCATTAGCTAGACAAGAAGAAAATACTAGAAGTTTGAGAAATGATTTAAAGACAAAAAATGCTGCATTCAGCATTCTCAAGAGCAAAGATACCTCGGTATTAAAAAGGGGGATAGTAAAGTATCATTCATCAAAGGAGGTCCTAAGTCTGATCCAAAACTAAATCTATTTTGCACTTATTGTCAGAAAAATCGTCACACTAGGGAGACATGCTGGAAGATCCATGGCAAACCACCGAATTATGGTAAGTTGCATTTGGCAAATGCTCAAATGAAGTTGCATCTTGTTAATCGTCTCCCATCAGAAGCATTATTATTTAAGACTCCCAAAGCCTTATTGCAGGATCATTATCTGACTATGCAATATGGACCAGATTTATCTCTTCGAATATTTGGGAGTGTTGCATACATCCATCAATCTCAAAATGGGACTGTCTAAATTTGCCCCTAGAGCCATAAAAAGAAGATACACAAAAAGAAGATAGATTTTAAGACCTAAGATATCAAAAGTTTATTGTGACAATTAATGTCACATTTGATGAAAGTAGCATGTATTTTCAACAGACAACAACTCAAGTATCTAGTTGTGATATTCTTGTGCCAGAAAAACACGATTTACACATTGAGATTCTCAAAGAGAATGAAGCTCCTGAAATGATACTAGTAAATTTTCCAGCACCCTTACCTCCACCAAATCGATTTAGTCAAAGTTATTATCAAAGAAAGCCAAAGATAATTAGAGATACCTATGAATAGGATCTACCTGATGTAGTAGTTGCCTATGAACAACCTGACATAGCAGATATCCATGAACAAGATCTGCCTAAGGTAGCAGATGCTTATGATTCTATTATTGAATGTGACAATTCACCAATTGATCAACAGAACCTTCTTATTACTCAAGGAGATGCAGTCTGCCCTGTTGTTCTTTGCAAAGGAATTAGAGAATGTACAGAGAAAATGGTATGTCCATCCTGCAATTATGTATTTTATCATCACCTATCTCCGCAATACAGATCATTTCTGTCAGCTATTGATAAACACAGTATTCCTCAAAACACTAATGAAGCTTTAAGAAGCCCTCAATGGAAAAAAACAATGAATGAGAAGATGCTGGCTCTATTGAAGAATCAAACTTGGAAAGTCGTGCTACTTCCTAAAAGAAAGAAAATTGTGGGTTGCAGATGGGTATCCATTATTAACTATAAATCTGATGGGACTGTTGAGCATTTTAAAGCTCGGCTGGTGGCAAAAGGCTTCACCAAATGTTATGGTATTGATTACATGGAGACCTTTGCTCCAATTGCGAAGATGGGAACAGTTTGCATATTAGTATCTTTGGTTTTGCATTATGGATGGTCCGTATTACAATTTGATGTGAAAAATGCATTCTTGCATAGAGAAATCTCAGAAGAAATATATATGGAGCTTCCACCAAGGTACAAAGACCCAAATGATACTCTAAAAGTATGTAGACTTAAGAAGGTATTATATGGCTTAAAACAGCCACCAAGAGTCTTGGTTTGGCTGCTTAACCAAAACAATGAGAGCTTTGGGGTTCAAGCAAGCCAATAGAGATCATACCTTATTTTATAAACGATCAAGTTCAGGAAATATGACAATCTTACTACTATATGTTGATGACATGATTGTCACAGGAGATGATATGCAAGAAATCACTTTTCTTCAAAAACAATTGACGGCTGTTTTTGATATCAAAATGTTAGGACAACTAAAATACTTCTTGGGAATTGAGGTAGCCTACTTTCGTGGGAATTTGTTCCTATCTCAAAGAAAGTATATTGTAGATTTACTCAAATATACAAGCATGAGTAACTATAAATCAGCATGTACACCAATTGAAGCAAAGCATTGTATTGGGGCTTCAAAGGAAAGCAATCAAGTAAATAAGGGGTCTTATAAACGACTAGTGAGAAAATTAATTTATCTAATTCCATACTAAACCAGATATTACTTACTCAGTTGGAGTGCTAAGCCAATATATGCATGACCCTAGGGAGGTACATCATCAAGCTGCTCAACGAGTCTTAGCCTATCTTAAAGGAACAAGATTCTCTTACAACAGGCATCTATACCAATGCTGATTATGTTGGTTCAGTTGATGATAGGCGCTCTACTACTGGTTATTGTTGTCTCATTGGAGGAAATTTGGTCACTTGGCAAAGCCAAAAATAGAGAGTTGTAGCTCGATTAAGTGCTGAAGCAGAATTTAGGGCTATGGCCCTTGGGATTTGTGAAGGCATTTGAATGAAAAATATATTCAATGACTTACAAATACTCATGGAAGGTTCAATTACCTTGTTCTGTGACAATCAGTCCACAATAAATATTGCGCATAATCTTGTCAGCATAACAAGACCAAACACATTGACGTAGACAGACATTTTATTAAAGAGAAACCTGAATCAGGGATGTTTTGCACTAAGTATGTCTCATCTACAAATCAGTTAAGACTGATATTTTAACTAAAGGCAATTCTGCAACAGAGTTCTGCAAACAAAGGAGCAAGCTGGGCATGAATGATATCCACGCAACAGCTTGAGGGGGAGTGTTATGAAGAACAAGTTTTTTTTTTTTCTACATTAGGCTTTATTAGGCTTTCCTTCTATTTTCCTATTATTACATGTATTTTTCTTTTTCGTGTTTCTGTTATTAGACCTTTCCGGAATACCAGAAAGGTTTATTAGACGCCAATATAAATACTGGCGTACTGCCCTGAGAAGGTTTAAGTCAGTTTTTCCCTTTCCTGCTTCTGCTGTATCTCGTGACAAAGAGTAAAGAAAGAAGATAAATGAGTAGTAATGGGAGTATGACGCCACGCTGAATGAGTTTTGGTTTTGGAAGCTGCCATCTTTACATTTAATAATTAATGTGCTTGCTGGATGAGGATCTGAGCTAAGGAAATCTATTTGGTGGAAGAAATTTTGTATAACGACTCCTTTTCGATTTGTTTTACTAGAAAACCAAATATCTGTAAGTTCAGTTATTGAGATTCTATTTTGTTACTGAGGCCAACTATGAAACTAATTTTACATAGAGATTCGTACCTTCTTACTTATGATTTACTTGGTGATCTATACTTACAGGTGCTGTTTGACAAAGTATGCTTCTGGGGGGCTTTTGGTCTGTATGGTTTCATTAATATGGTACGCATGTCTTCCTAAATTAACTGACTTTCCATAATGATATATGTTTGTAATGGTCACGGAGGTTAGGAGGTTGCAAGAGAAATCAAACTTGTCCTATTCGCATCCTTGTCAGTTGAATCTGCTTAAATATGTCCTACTAATTTGAAACCTACTACTGAAATTTTTCAGAGTGTGGACTAGTACGTCTGTAGGTCATTTGCAGCCTAAAACTGTTGTGTCCATGCACCAATATCATTTATTTATTTTTTATTCAGTAATAATAGTGATGTCCACATTATAGTATCTGTTTCCATTAGGTTCTTTTGGAAATTTTGTTGTAGATTTTAAAGTATGAGCGTTTACCTGGCTGTATCCAATAATCTAAGTGAAGATGGAGAGCATATCTTTAGCATGTGTGGTCTGCGTAAAATGAAGCAGTACCACGCTAGTAAAGTTTATTGAATGAGCATTAAAGAAATTTGTGCTCAGATATCCCTTTTCTAAAGTTTAGTTCATGTCAAAGTTTTTCTTGGCCTGGTAACCCAAAATTAATTCGTAAACAGTGAAAGAGCTCCATCTATGTAGCCACTTGAGTTTATTACATCTTCCAGTATGTGCTGCCTACATTTGGCTTTTTCTAGACAAATAAAATGAAGTGTATGCCTACATGTTATTCAGCCGTACAGTCAGAAACTAATTATTTAAACTTTCTAAAACATATTAAAGTACACAAATATTCTAACATCAGTTTTACCTTTCAGCATGCGTCTATTCTAACAATAAGCGTAGCTGGGTAAGGGTCTCTGATAGTGGGCTTCAGATTATTAATTTATGGTCTTTCCTCATGTCATCTGAACGAGCAGGTTGTTTATTGTCTTAAAATCCATTGGTAAGAAAGTAGACGATCAAAGAAAAGGATATTATTTCTCTTTGTATACCAAGCATTCAAGAGATATTGAATAACGATAATTGATAACAAAAAAAAGTCAATTTTATAAAATTGTGAAATGATATCTCTGATAACTGAAATAGTACTATCAAGCCTAAAGTAGTATTTTCCTTTGTAGAAAGTGTATATGAAAGGCAAACTAAGTGGGTGTTGGTGACAAATGGTTGTGCCCTTCTTCTAGAAGAAAAAAGAACCACAAAACCTAACAGCAGGGAGGGTTTTGAATTGAAACTTTAGATAATAATGTTGATAGTAAGATCGGATCCTTATATTATGTTTTCTAACCTAACACTGGTTGGTCGACACTAACATGTGTTTTCTCTATTACCCTTGCCACTACTTTCCTTGCTATAAGTTACTCAGGTGTAATTGTTGTTAGGACGGGGGGTTATAGTGTTTTTGGATCCGAGAAAAATCTGTCAACTGGCGGGCAGAATTTTTGTAACAGACAATCTTGGATATCTTTCCGTTCAAATGGCTGAAAAAGTCTGGGAAGTCACTACAAGGCATTTCAAACCCCAAAAATCTATGGAGAACACTGAAATCAAACAGGATTCAATCGAAGGGACAAACTGAGGTAAAAATAATGTAACAGGAGAACATGACATTTTCCCCTTGGCGTTCACTTTCCATGTGTAGATGGAGCTCTAATCAAAGATTTTCTCAATGGTTTTGGACTAGAGGGAATATATGTTTGTTCATCATTTGTAAGTTCGTGTTTCTCAATGGTTTCGAGTACTCAGATGGTGGACGTTATCGTATGGCATTCTTTGATCTTTTTTATATATTTGGTGTAAGCTTGAAAAAATTGTTATTCAATGGGATTCTTGTTTCAACTTTTCAGAGCAATGAAATATTGCTTTTTCCTTCTTTCTAGCCAATTCCCATTACATTGAAGATTTGGAAATTGCTTTTTTCTATATCTGAATGTTCTCTTCTAAGTCATTGCTGCACCAAAAAACTGGTCAGGCTTATACACTATCTGGACTTGGTGGAGGCTTCGTGACATTTTTGCATGCAGCATCTATGCTTCTGGCATGGATTTTCTTCTGTTTATCCAGCAAGTATTTTGGCCATAAATCGTTTAGGTAATCCTCGACTATATCTTGGTATTGTGATTCTGTCTTATGTACAGTGGAAATTAATGAAAATGTTAATTCCACTGTCTTATGATCAGTGGATGCAAGAGAGATTCTGTCTCTTGGTATTACATCCCTCTATATTCCCTTGAGTCTTAGATAAGTATGAGTACGATTATGACCCTCTTACTAAAGAAGACAAGATATTAGTGTGTTTATCTTGTGCTTGATGTAAATGCCATATTCTTGCAAAATGCTAATTCGTTGCTAACAGTCGCATAATCCTTCATGAGAATGGAAGCTTTTCCCATGGTGGCTGTGAGTAAGAATGGCCGACATTATTGGAGCAGGTACCAGTACAAGCCAATATGAATATGCCAAGAATCGTACATCTCTGTGATTTATGGCCATTCTTTATACATATATGAGGCAAACCATACAAGGATAAGCAGATGTGAAAAATGTCTACTTCTCATATCATAGAACAATCACTAGTTATACGCAATTGCCCTGGCCACAAGAAAATGAAACTACCATGGTTAAGGAAACTGACGAACTAGGAAACTAACAAACTAGGAAAATGACTGAAAGAAACTAATCTCCTAATTACACGATTTTCCCAGTCCCCCTTAAGCTTGTGAATATGCATTTTCCATTCCCAGCTTGGATACAATACTTTGCAATATTGAACTACTAAATCCCTTAGAAAGTACATTCACAATTTATTCATGTGTAGACACCTAAGGTGTACATATTAATCCACTCCAAATTCTCCTTACTGTAGTATCTCTCAATTTTAATGTATCTCTCAAATTCCAAACTTGTTATCACAATAGAGTCTCATTGAGCCATCTTACTTAATCTTGAATTCCTCTTAGATGATCTTCAACCAAAGTAGTTCACACAAACTTTGAGTCATTGTTTGAAATTCAGCTTGTAAACTGGATTGTGGCACCACATTTTCTTTCTTGCTTCTCTATGTCACAAGATTGTCACCAAGAAAGGTGAAATATCTAGAGGTTGATCTCTTGTCAACCACAATCAGCATTTGCATGTGCCTTAACATCGACCCTCCATTTCTCCTGAATAGAACATCTTTTCTTGGTGTCACTTTGAGATATTACAGTATTCGGTGAGCTGACTGCAGATAGTCTTTCTTTGGACTGTGTATGAACTACTAATCGCACTCATTACATATCCTATATTTGGTCGTATATGAGATAGATAAATGAATCTTCTTACCAGGTGTTGATACATTTCTCTATCTATCACATGTCCTCCTTTGTTTTCCAAGTTTACGATTCAGATCTATTGGAATACTTGTTAATTTGCATGTGGACTCGTTTGCTTCTTTGAGATTTATAGCATACTTCTGTTGGGAGGTGAAGGTGCTCTGCCTTGAGTAAGTTACTTCAATCCCAAGAAAACGTCCAGTCTCCCTAATGCTTTAATCCCAAATTATTTACCCAAACACCCACTTAGATATTGTCGCTCTTTATCCACATTTTCAATCACTATTATGTCATCAACCTGTACCAAGAGTGTTATGACTATCTAAGGATGAGTGTTTACTGAACAACATGTGATCCCTTTGGTTTGTCTGTATCCCATGCCAATCATATCTCTTGCAAATCAACCGAATCTTTCTCAAGGTGATTGTTTAAGTTCATACAACACTTTTTTCAATTTACACATTATAGGAATAGCCAAATTATTCTCATAACATGGAGAGACCTCTATATAAGTTTTTCTCGTAATTCACCATACAAAAATGCATTTATACCATCAATTGTTGCAACTTCTAGTAATATATAACTAATTAACTGCTAAAGACAACAGAATTTTAGTAGTATCAATCTTTGCAACTGGAGAAAAATGTCTCTAGGTAATCGATCTCAAAAGTTTGAGTATACCCTTGGCAGCAGACCTAGCCTTGTATCTTTCTATAGATCCTCCACTCAATACTTCATTATAAAAAATTATTTACACCACACATGATTTTTTTATGTTGACCACCTTACTAAATTCTAAGCTTTGTTTTTCTCAAATGATGTAGCCTAGTTTCAACCTAGTTCAAGTGAACCAGAGGCCCAAGACACAGAAAAACAAATTTTGGCCCAAATTCAGCTCAAGATGGCCCAATAAAAGATATAGACGCATCTGAAATGAGTCCAAATTTTAGTTCCCGCTTTGATTTTTCGTTTCCCACCATTGATTATTTCAAGTAACATATTTCTCGTTATCTATTAAGGGTGTTCCTGTTCCTTAGGGCCATTCTAAAAAAATCTTCCCTGTACTTTAAGGGTGTTCTAACAGACCCCCCCCCCCCCCCCCATCTTTCTAGGTTAGTTATAATTAAATTTCAGCCTATTTAGAGGCCCCACTTGTAGCCTTTGTGGCATTCCAATTTATTTCAATCTATTATACGAATTCTTTTCCTCTCTCTACTCGTGGATTCCATCAACCTTGTCGATTCAGGGACCCTTTTTGATCCTATGGACTCCAGATTAATCTCTTGTGGACTCAAGGGATATATGTGGATTCAGGGCAAAAAGCTTTCAACAAAATCGTGTTCCTCGTGGATTCAAGGTTGTGATTTTGTTTCAAAAATATTAGGCAAAGATGAACATGATCAAATTGTCAATTCTTCCAATTTCTGATGCAGCATCAAATACCTCCATTTTCACATTTATAGTCTGTTTCCATTTCTTATTGGACAAAGTCTTAGATAAGGTAGTAGGGATGACAATGGTGTTTAAACTAATAAAGATGGCTATATGAGATGGAGAAAATAGTTAAAGGATAAGAGTTGTGCAAGAGGAAATAAAGGTCGGTTTTTGCATTCTCTAGTCCCTTTCCTAATAGCAATGGGAAAATCCTATTTATTATTGTCAATATAAGATTCAGTTTCAGGTTGCAATGGAGGAAGAAATTGTTACCTCATTCTCAAGATAAAGGTTGGATTCTTGGGCCTGCATAGATTCAGTAACAAGCATCTTCTTCCTTGAAAACACTTCCCTTCTTTACCATATCTCACATTTTCAAGGGTAGAGTTAGAATTTTCTTGAGGGTTTTCTAGAGTTTCAAATTTAGGATTTGGCATGGACTTATATACAGGTTCAAATAGAGGAACAATGGAAGACATAGGCAGTGGCAACAAATAAAAATTCTTATCCTTATCTTTGATGAATGAATTCTACATCAGAAAATAAGGTATGTTGAAGTATGACCCTTGTTCATTGAAAGTGTTATCAACTAAGATAGAATTTCTTTGATGAAGGGTGATAACACTAATATCTTTTCTGAGTTAGAATAGCCCACAAAGAGACATTTTTTAACGCCTCAGATATAATTTCTCCCATATGTTGACCATGAGCAAAAACAAATGATTCACACCAAAATATGAACAAGATTATTTGTAGTGTGTATGTTTGGATATAATTATTCAATATCTATTGGACTCTTGAACCCTAAACCTCTAGAAGACAAATAATTTATGAGATAAGTGGCTGTAAGAATTGCTTCTCCCCAAAAGGATTTAGGCATATTGTTCTACAACAGAGAGGTTCATGCTCCCTCAAGAAGGTAACCGTTTTTTCTTTTGGATACTCTATTTTATTGTGGTGTAATGACACAATGACTCATGCACTATCCCTTCTTTATGAAAGTATGAAGTTAAGACTGATTGAAATTGTTCTTGTCATTTTCTGACTTAAACCAATGTAGGAAAAATAAGGTGAAATGTTATTGAGTCCTAGTTAAAATATCAAAAGGATTAGTTCAGCTGTGGACGAGTAAATTTTATGTTGTAATTATATCAAGTAGTTCTATTTTTCTTGTATTTATCCAAATTCTTTTGGGATACCAGACGGGTGGATAACCTTGTATACACCTTTGCTTCTGTATTATAACCTAAACCTTGTTCTTTTTTTTTCTGGGGGGGGGGGGAGGGGGTGATCCTTATTGTCACCGTTTTTATAGGAAGTTGATCTTCACATACATATTTGAGTTGTGATCTACATGAAAATGAAAGTGATATGCCAATAGAGTCACAGGATTAAGCTTCACAATACTGAGCAACTGAATTTGCCTTCATAGATCCATATATTTGAGATCATTTTAAGTATTGTCTTTGTAATTCAAAAAATCTTCTTTGCTATTAAATCATTATGGATTTCTATATCCATCCGTTTGTGCTTCGGATAGTCCACTTGCCAGTATCAGCTTATCTATGTATCTTGCTTCTAATTCACTTGATTAATTACTGTTTTCAGGTCATTGGCAGGTTATGTGATACCTTTAATCCCAGATCTTTTATATTCTGTCTACTTTGGTGCTTTTCTGGTCCAATTTGTGATTGAGAAGATGGGAATGATGGGATCCCTTCCACATCCTTACGGTTGGTTTTGTAAAACTATATTCTTATTGCTGCCTTCTACATTTACATGTTTGTCATTTTGATGCTGGAGACACTATATATGTGACTGATTTTAATAGAAATCAGAAAATGTATATTTAAACGACGGTTCACCAATCAAAAAAGCATCATCCTTTTGTATTCACGGTAGAGTTTGGCTCATAATTAGGGTCACTAGCAAGATACCCCGCTGTCAAATGATAGAAAACACAGAAACTTCCTCTAATTAGGGTGGTTACTTATGATGTGCTAACGGTGGCTAAAATAGGCCACATGGAGGTAGAGCTGATGAGAGGGTCAGAATAGGATTGAAAACGATTATACATTGAACCTATGGGTGAAGGCCTATAGCGAACGATCTTGGAACAAACAGTTCACCAATTAGCATTGTTCTCTGATGATATAGAGACCCCACGCAGCCTAAGGGACGCTAGGGATCAAACAAAAACAAAAAAACCTTCAGCATTGATGCTTTGGGACCCTGAGTTCTCACCGGAGAAGAACTTCCATTGAACTCTTTGAGAAAGAGCTGAGTAAAATTTTCGTTCAAATGACAATTCTTTTAGTTCAAGTTCAGCCTCCTATTTATATTAGGAAATATCAGACCTCCGAAGGGGTGCTCTAGGACCTGGCCTAGAAATCACAACTCCCATAACCTTTGGGCTGGAATTTCGGCCTTGGATCTTCCTAAAAAGTAGGAAAACGGTTGGGAGAACCTAGGGTCTTACAGTTGACTTTAAATACTCGCACTAGCAAAAACAGTAAAAGATAAATTAGGACAGTGATCTACGAAAATCAGCGAGGAAAAAAAAACCTCGTGCATTGTTCACAAAATCCGTAGGATGTGATTCTCCTTATCATAGTGACATCAGTCCAGCCATGTGCTTCCTTCGAGTGTAGATCTCTATGCCCAGTGAATGATTGTATCTGATGTCCTCATCAAATTGTGTTGTTGTGGATTTATTTCTAAAACATGCTTCAGTCGATACATGTCCTCTAGCTGCAAATCTCATTTTCTATCCTACAGATGCATATGCTCCACGTCTGAGGCAGGATGTTTGTGTTTTTTTTCTCAATTGATTTCACCTCATAAGTAAATTATTGTGTTTTGTAGATTGTATACTAGCGATATGGATGGATCCTTCCTTTCATAGACTACATAAAAAAATAGATTTGACCTTGTGGTTTTTGGGAAACAATACATAGGAAGAACGAAAGGACAGCGAAACCGCTTCAAACCATCCTCAATCTCTCACATTCCTTTAAAGAGAAGAAAACCTTACAGAAAATTTCCCAAGATATCCTTAGAACTTCCAATAGAAGTTACACAACTGTGCAGGTCCATAAAGGATTTAGTTTTATGGTTACGTAATCAAACAAGTTTTCGAACTTAGTTCATTTCTCCATATGGATTGCATAAGTGCTTTCACCTGTTAAGCGTGATCTTGTGCGAGTGAAAGATCAAATTTAGTTTCTCTAAATGTCTATCCTCAAATCCTATCATCCAGATTTACTGACTTGTCTCTTTCACTGTAATTTCCTATGGTCATGAGGTAAAGTGAATATGACTGAAAGTTTGCTTTGCAGGATACTTCATCCCTGATATTATTGTTGCAGCTGTTGTTGGGCTTGTGACTGGATTATGTGTAGGCCCATTACTACCAGTGGTTGGCCGTTGGATGGCTAGATCATCCGTTGTAAATTTCTTGCTGCAGGTGACCGTTGTAGCAATGGCAGTGTCATCCCAATTATTCCCGTATAGCACTTCTGCGCCAAAAAGAGTTGCGTTTCATCACACTTTTGTGACAGCAGGTACACCAAGATGCATTGATATCTGCATTCCATGGCATAATTCTTCTTTGCATGCGAATGGATAGAGCAAACCAAGGGTTCAAGTCTGAAAATGGAGATTTCTTCTTTCATTTTGCATCTCTTGAACTCTACTGGAGTAAATCATAAATATCGTAGAACCATCTGTCTTCAAATTACTGAAAAGTATAACAAAGGGTTGTCTGTGGGTTTTATTTTTTTCTTATTTCATTCTCCACGGAAAGGGAGGGCTGAGGTCAGAGTAAATTCATGGGTTCGCACACATAATCTGGATCTTGCTCTGAGATTGCAATCTACAGTTTCTGACGGCTGACCTTGGGATGGAAATGCATGACCTGAGATGAAAGAAGGCCGAAGCCCTAATTTTCATCACTCTAATTCTTACATGCTGGTTGGTAATCTCCTGTTATGAAACAGGAGAGGGTAAACCGGACTGGTTCAATTTGAACCGGTTCAGTCTATTGTTTTGTTACAAGGTACAATGGACAGGGAAATAAAGGACGAAACAGTAAATGAAAAAATACTTCTAACACTCCCCCTCAAGCTGGTGAATGGATGCTGTCCATTCCCATCTTGGACACAAGATGATAGAATATGTTTCCGTGTAGTCCCTTCATGAATATATCTGCGATTTGGTCAGTTGTAGGCACATATAGAGTACATATCTGTCCACTATCTATCTTCTTCTTTATGAAGTGGCGATCAATCTCTATGTGTTTAGTTCTGTCATGCTGAACAGGGTTGTGAGTAATATTGATCACTGATTTATTATCACAATAAAGCTTCATTGGACCATCTATATTGATCTTCAAATCCTTCCATATGATATTGACCTATAGAATCTCACAAATGCCTTGTGCCATAGTATGAAATTCAGCTTCTGCACCTGATCTAGCTACAACATTTTGTTTCTTACTTCTCCAAGTAATAAGATTGCCTCCAAGAAATGTACAATATCCTGATGTTGATCATCAATCTACAATTGATCCAGCATAATCTGCATCTATGTACACTTTAAGTATTAGATAGTCATGTTTTTTGAACAGAATGTCTTTTCTTGATGTTCCTTTTAGAAAGTGTAGAACATGATATGCTGCTTGTAAATGAATTTGTTTCGTATTGTGCATGAACTGACTAATGACGCTGACTGCATATCTATGTCTGGCTGTGTATGTGATAAATAAATCAGTTTACCTACTAGTTGTTGATACATCCCTTTATCCACAGCAATGTCTTTCTCTGCTGTACTTAACTTGAGATTAGGATCAATTGGAGAATTAACTAGTTTGCAGGCTGTTTTTTCAGTTTCTTGAAGCAAAATATTTTTATTGAGATAGAAAAATAGAATTCTTAAAATAGGCATCTTCAGTACCTAGGAAGTATTTAATCTTCCTAAAGTTTTCATCTCGAATTCTTGAGATAAACGTTGACTTAGAAAAAAAAATTCTGCATCATCATTTTCAGTCACAATAACATCGTCCACATATACTACTAGAATTGTAACTCCTCCTGAATAGGAAAGTTTGACAAATAAAGTGTGATCACCTTGACTTTATTTGTATCCCATCTTGAGCATAACCTTCATAAATTTACTAAACCAAGCTTGAGGAGATTATTTTAGACCATACAATGCTTTCTTCAACCTGCACACAATATTAGCATCTAAATTTCTCTCATCTCCATGCGGTACTTCCATATATATTTCTTCCTCTAATTCACCATGTAAAATACATTCTTAACATCAAATTGCTGAAGATCTTAATCAGAGTTAATTGCCAATGACAAAAGTACTCAAATTGTATTCATTTTGCTACTAGTGCAAAAGTTTCAAGATAATCAACTCCATAAGTTTGTGTGTATCCTTTTGCAACCAGCTTGGCTTTGTATCTTTCTATGGATCCACCTGAACGATATTTAATTGTATACACCCATTTGTAGCCAACAGTTTTTTTCCCAAATATCATTTTTTTAAAAGCTTCCATCTCCTTATTCATAGCTTGTCTCCACTTCTCATGAGTTAAAGCCTCAAAAACAGTCTTTGGGATTGAGGTAGAATTTAGATTAGACACAAAGGCCTTGTGTGAAGGTGATAATCTATTATATGACAAAAAAAATGCTATAGGATATGGTTTTTTAATACATTCTCTTACCCCTTTTCAAAGGGCAATAGGTAAGTCTTCATCAATAGGTAAGGTGCTGGTCTGGGATGTCTCATTTGATTCATCTTAGGAGGATTCTTGAACATGCACAGATTCTGGAGTATTCTCTTTTTTTCTGAAATACTTGGCCAAAGCTTCCTCTTTCGAAGTATACATTAGGAGTAGATTCAAGAATAGGTGGTTCAATGGGAGCCATAGTGAGGTCTGATAATGAATTGGCAGTAGGAAGTAAAAAAAATAATTCTGAATCCTCTAACATTTGAATCTTATCATGATGATTTGATGTGTTATAGTATGCTTCCTTCTCATTGAAGGTAACATCCCTTGAAATGAAAAATTTCTTTGTTGGAGGATATAGCAATGATATTCTTTCTGTGTTTGGGAATATCCTACAAAAAATATATTTTACATTGTTTTGAATTCCCTCACCCCAAAAATATTTTGGTACCTTGTTTGAATAATGAGAGCTCTAGTCATCCCTAACAGATGACCATTTTTCCGTTCAGCCACCCCATTTTGTTGGGGTGTACAGACACATGATGATTCGTGTACTATACCTTCTTTTTGGAAGTAAGAAGTTAAAGTATGATTGAAGTAATCTTTAGTGTTATCAGATCTAAACCTCTGAATTGTTGTCTCAAACTGAGTTTTTATTAAAGAACAAAATCATATGAGTGTCATACTTATGTCAAATTTATTTTTAAGCAAATAAATCCACATCATCCTTGTAGAGTCATCAATAAAAATGATAAACCACCTAGCTCCACGTGAGCTAGGTGTTGGTGCAGGCCCCCATACATCGCTATGAATACGGAAAAAAGGTATTGAACACTTATTATTATTTACAGGAAAGGGTATTTTTCGATGTTTGACAAATTCACATACTTCACACTTGAATTCAGAGGTGTTCAAGTTGTGAAACAAAGAAAGACACAAACTCTTGAGAATCAAAAAAGAGGGATGTCCTAATCTTTGATGTTGAAGTCAATTTTTTTTCACTGTTTGGCAGGTCAGGGTTCTTGGGAATGTTGTTTTGATCTACTGCAATGTTTGATTAGCTTGGAAGCTCCAAATAATAGAGTCCACTCCATTTTCTAGCATGTCCAATCGTCCTCCCAGACATCTTGTCAAAAAACAAACAACTATTAAGATCAAACATAACATTACCTAGGTCAACATAAGAACATGAAGTACATTTTTCAAGGTAATATAAGGTGATAGGCAAATGTTTCTTATCCCAGCAACCGTGACTGAGGAGCCAAAAGCTGTGGTAATTTTTCTATTGCTTGGACAAGGAGCATATGAGTTAAATAGATGGGAGACATAAGTCATATGTTTTGTGGCCCCCTGAATCAATGATCCAAGGGGAAGATTTACTATTTGTTGAGGCACTCAACCCAAAAAAAGTTGAAGGCTTACTTGAATAGTTAGATGAACACGAAACTTGTAATACTTGAGCTTGTGGAACTTCTTCTATGACAGCTGAGATTTTCACTCTTTTGTTGTCCCTTCTTTTGTACCCATTCATGACTTTGATGCTTTCCATGTAATTTATAACACTTGTCAATTGTGTGCCTTGCTTTCTTGCAATATGTACATCATAACTTGTCTCTAAAATCATTGCTAGAAGTCCTCTCTTGTCCTAAAGGTTTACCCTTTGTTTTGATACTGTTATTGTCATAATTTTTTTCATTTCAAGCCATAAATGTTAAATTTTGCCACATTTTGAGAACCAAGCATTAGGTTCCGACGACTTTCTTCTCCTCTCACTAGGGAGATTACTTCATTGAGAGGAGGTAATTTCTCTCTTCCTAGGATCTGAATTCTGACTTGATCATACTCAGAATTCAGTCTCACAAGATATTCGTAGGTTCTATCCCTTTCTGTTTCCTCTCTATACAAAGCTGCATCAAATGGATCTCTCATATCAGCAATTTTATATTGATGAAATTTTTGCCATAATGTTCTTACTTCATGAGTGTATTCTGTCACTAGTTTTTCGATTTGCCTCATAGTCATCATCTTTAACTTTAATTCAAAAAGTTGTGCAGCATCTCTTGCTCTTGAATACGTCTGATATAAATTTTTCCAAATTACTCTAGCTGCGGGAAGACAAACATGTTCTACGGATCTCAGGAATCATGGTTGTCCACATCCAAGCCATGATTCTTGAGTCTTTTTGATCCCATGCTTCAACTCCCGGATCTCTAGCCTTCAAGCTTGGGTTAGTTAAATGATTTGTCATTCCCGATTCTTTAAGAACAACTCAAACTTGCTGAGACCATCCAAAGTAATTCCTACCATCTAGATGATCTGTTTGTGGTATAACTGGCAAATCTCCATAGATCGGACTAGGTTCCACACTCACATATCGGTATTGTTCTTGTTCTGCCATAGAAGTCGCTTCAGACATTCTTGAGAATTTAAGAATTAGGTATGTTTGTTTTAGAAATGAGTTAATCTACAGATCAAGACACGAGCCTACAGTTCGTGTTCTGTAGATCAATAGCGTTAGATTCTCACCTAGATAGTGCAGAATCAGTGAACAACTAGTGACTTGTTTTAACAATTCACAAAGAAATATGTTCACTCTCGAAAATGAAAAAACAGTTGTTCAAGAAGAACTCAGAAGATCAAAGGAGTCTGGAATGATCACACCTGTGCTCTGATACCATGTTAGAAATCGTGCTGAACTTTGATCATCTCCGAACACCTCCCTTCCTTCTTGTCTGTGCTAGCAGTGAACACGAGAGAGAGAGAGACAAAAAGAAGAAGGCAGAAGCCCTAATTTTCATCACTCTAATGTAAATACTGACCAGCTGTTATGAAACAGGAGAGGGTAAACCCGGACCGGTTCAATTTGAACCGATTCAGTCTACTGTTTTCTTACAAGGTACGATGGACAGGGAAATAAAGGACGAAACAGTCAATGAAAAATTATTTCTAACAGCAGTCTTAGAGGTTTCGTTGAAGGGTATATCTCTCAGATGGTGGATTCATCTTCCTCTGAAAGTGGAGATTGCTGACGATATGTATTTGCTAGCTCTATTTACCACAACTCAGCTAGTAACGGGTCATGAGTTGTCAATATATTTTCTACCATGGAAATATTCTCCTGATGGCCTGAAGGGATAAAAAAGTTGGTCGCCTTGTGTCTTTACAGAATTAGAAGAATAATAGTGAAATAAGAACATGACAACATGATTCAGCTACTAATTGTGGAGCCATTAGCTCTGTAAATGTCATCCATCGAGAATCATTAGTGGTTAATAAGTGTAGTTGATGGTTTGTTAAGAATTTTTGGTGGTGGAAGAAGGATGGAGGAGAGAAGCATTTTCAAGGTTTGATTTCGATTCCTTACGTAAGATTGTGCAACCACTGATTCCCTCTTCTAATGTTAAGTCGGTGGAGATGTACCATCTCATCTGTCCAGAAGATCTATTTAGAAGACAATTCCACCTTATGGATATTATTTCATATCCATGTTACCAAAAGTAAATGGCTATAACCTGGTTCCTGGCACCAAGTTCTTCAACAGAGTGATTGATTCTCTCCACTTAAACGTTTGGATAGTTTTGCTACAATCTCTCTCATCATATTGCTCAAGCAAAGTAATTGTATGACTTCTATGTCCAGATTGGTTATTAACTCCTTATTTTAGTACTTTCTTCTCTGTCATTGTGATATAGCTCACTAGTCCTTATGATCCTTTGATGCCCTGTTTATATGCTGTCATTTTGCTTTGATGTTGTCACTGATACTCTTAACATTTTTGTCATCGACCTTCACAGATTCTGGAAAACTTTTGGAGTCCAGCTATGAGTTCTCAGTTCTAGATGCCAACTCATTGGGGTTTCTTTTCAAGTATTCACCAGAAGCAGCAAAACTACTGGAAGTAGTGCCAGAATCGTCCATTCAACACTCTGATCCCAGTTCTTGGGTGGTACGCGTCTCCTTCACACACTGAACATCCAATCATCAGTTTATTTTACCTGCTTTTGTGGCAAAAGGGGAGTGATGTGATTAGCTTTCCACTTTGATTCATTCTTAATTAGGAAAGCCAAATTAGGAACTGAACTAGGAATTAGTTTGATTCATTCAAACTAGGATCACAGAAAAATTATCCTAAACTAGGAATTTGGAGGTTATTGAATGAATATCCTAAACTAGGAACTAGGAAAGCCGCTGTAAGGCCGGTTTGACCTATTTTGATTTTTTATCACTTTTTCCGGTATCTTTTGGGGCTCCAGAAATTAGGTTTAGATTGAACGGCCCTTGTCAACACAAGATTTGAAAGGTAAGCCATCAGATTAGTAAAAAACCATCCTTGACACTCATATCTTGACTAGGTGGGAAAGTAGGGAAGCACCCATAAGCAAAGAAACATCAAGAAGAAAGTTAGTAGCGGTTTGATTGGATGCCCCCTAAAAGGAATGATAGCCTAGATAAGGATATCAGGATCATCTCTGGCTCTCTTCTCCCAATTGGGTCCCTTAGTAGCGGTTTGATAACTGATTAGAACTCACATAGCCTCAGCTATCCCAAACTACATAACCTAGAGCCAGGCCTTCTTTCTGCGGCAACTGTGGCAAGTGGCCCTTGACTGCTGCTCTGGGTTGCAGAGGGCAGGGGAAGGAGACGAGGCAAGTTATCTTGACTTTGATTCTTCTTACCGCTGCTATGGGCTCCACGTTGACTTTCTTGTCAACATTGCCTTTTCTTATTTTCTATTAGAAATCCCTCATAACTGAGGTCGGCTCTGACCTAATATTTTTCCTATTTTTGTAAATTGCCTCCCCCTCTTTCAGGCTTTGTTCCCAATATCCTTTTTGTTTTCGGGGAGCTTGAAGTTTCCTGCGCAAGGGGATGGTATTCTCCATCAATATGAGTATCTGCCCAGGTTGAGTCACCTGTCAAGCACAGAAGCCACCACGGGGGCTCGGAAAATCCACCTAGAAGTTGAACTGGGGTGAGCTGAGCTCTCCCATCTGATCGGAGCTGTATCATCTTAATCATCCCATTTAGGGGAAAAAATATATTTCCTTTTGAAAAGAATGATCTTTATACTATTTTTCGTCTGTCTCAGTTCAGTGTCTGAAATCTGGGCAGTGGTCCTCAACATTACTGGCCCCCTGGGTAACTGGTCCTTTGCTGACAATGTAATCCCGGGTATGAATCTCTCTCTCTCTCTCTCTCTCTCTCTCTCTCTCTCTCTCTCTCTCTCTCTCTATCTATATATATATATACTGAATCAGAAGATTGTGCTGTGGGGATTTATTGCAGTGCCCGAGAGAATAAATGGCGGCCCGCCATCATATATTTGCAGGCTGAGTGGAAAGAGCCATGAGAACTGGGCCTTCTGGTTGGAGGTATATCCCCTCATTCCTTGCGTCTTCTTTTCCTTGTCTGGAGATTTTCTCAGGCTTGATTAGGACCCAACTCGGACGTAACAGGCCAGCAGCTCTGAGGCGTTGAGGGTTGACCTAGCGGTGCTCGACCAGTACCTTCTAGATGGCCCAAAAAGATTGAAGGGCCTTTTCCCCAACTGGGTTGATGTGATCGCCTCTTCGGCCTTTCTTTCAAGCTACTACTTTTGATCCATTAGTTCTTGGCCAGTCACAGAGATTGGAGTGGTATTCATCAATCACTAACTTTATAGATTGATGTATATAGTTTGACTTAATAAAGCTCAAATGCTATTCTTATGCGGTTGTTAATTTGGGGCACAGCAAGCTGCATTGGCCGACCTGGAATTCTTGGACCCGATTACCTAATGTAGTAACTTTTTAGCTGCAGTTGACATTGTCGAATGCTATATTTGGTTGACCCCGACGAAATCTGTCTCATCCAATTGGCCGCCGTGATTGTGAGGAGAGTATATCTTTGAACCCACTAAAGGAATCTCTCTCTCTCTCTCTCTCTCTCTCCGGGTCTGAAAAATTTGCAAAACATGGATAATTATCCTGTCTGAAAATTTGGATTTAAAAGAAAGACCAGGACAACTCAGTATAACAACTCAACATGCTGGTTCCCAAAACATGGATAAATATCCATATAACAGGATAATCAAATGCTGATATTACGAAAGTTTCCTCCGACATCAGCCCTAAGAACCCAGAAAGATCAGGAGAAAACATGCAGGGACACATAAATCCCAAGATGAATTCTTTTTTTCACATTCATGATAAGAAAAATAGGGCATGGGGACCCAAGAAAAAGAGATTAAGAGCACTCTTTCAGTAGATTTTCCTCTTATAACAAGATAATCAAACGCTGGTTCCCAAATTTTCCTCCCACCCACTTCCCCCCACCCCAAGGGGCTTCTGATGCAGATTATATTCTTTTACAAAATTTCTATATACAGTATCGAAGAAGACAGACACCATTGCAGAGGACCCACCACTTTCAACGGAACTAACCTCGGAGAGCACCATCTTCTTCAATTTCTTCAGGATCCGTATCCTCTTCCTGGAGCTCATCCAGTATTGACTGGTTGATCCGCTTCCGAGATACCCGCCTATGCTTCTTGGGTTGAAGCCGTGGCTCTGCGTGTCTGACTCCCATCTCGGTCACCTTGTACCTAAAACATATATGACAGAGTCAGAGAGGAAGATGGTGATTCACAAGCTTGGCAGACTGGTGTTCATGCTATTTCTTTCTCGTTCTGACCCATTTTTAGAATGATCAACACCGGTTTTCAACTGGTAGAAACATAAGTTATTATGTTTTGCTGTGTTTTTGGTCTACTGATAAAATGGTTGGAGATAATTTTCAACTAGTAGCAACATAAATTATTCTTTTGGAGAGATAAGCTAATCATGTGGAGGACTAGCCAGGAACATTCAAGTAAGGAAACTGGTCAGTGGATCATAGGCATGTCCATGCTCTTGCCCACTCCACATATTCATTCAATCTGAATCTGGTTTAGTTGTGACAGATCCCTAGAGTAGAGCTGGATCCAAGTTCGAAAGATTGAAACCTAATTGTGATAATGTTGACCTTATAATTGCAAAGATCAATTTATGAGAGAAATGGTTGGCCCGCCAAGAGTCAAATCTGCTTATGTGCTCTGAAATGATATGTAGATCCACTAGCGGAAAATGTTCATGTATAGAAGCAGAATTCAGGAATAGTATAGTTTGCCCATTTAAGTATAGAGGGATACAATAACATGCACCAAGGATTCTAAAACCTGAAACATCAGATACAGATTTTTGCATCACATTTTTACATATCTTCCTTTTATCATTCTTCATATATGCTGGTGTAAAACGAAACATTGAATAATCCCCAAGCATAGTAGCACCATTGAACTGATTCAAACACAATCTTCATCACCCTATTTGATATCTTCCAAATAGCTTCATCATTTAAAGTTCGAATTTGTTTGAAACATATGAGTAAAACAACAACATGAGATGTATTAGCAGTATGTGCAACAACAATCATAATCGTGTGGATCAATGAACATCAAAGATTAGCAGCATTTTTCTAGGTTGCTGTTATGCTAGTGCCAAAGAGAAGCACAAATCACCTTCATTTTTAGAATATCTGGTATAAAAACACTCACTTATATTGCTTGTTTGGCCCCTAGAGAATTTAGATATTGCATGTGCAAACAAATTCATGGAAGAAATGACAAGAGTCACAATCATACTACAAATTTCAGCCATGAGTGGTGATGATGTGAACGGCAAAAGCAAATATAATTTGGGGGAACACGTTTGATAAAAGACAATGTACAGCAAAGCTCTAAAAAGGGCATTAAAACATCTTTAGTATGATAATACGCCCATGCTTCATATTATAAGGTAGGTATGCCAAGGGAAATAAAGATTCAGGACAGAGCATGAATATTCTGCAAGGATTTCTTGGAGCACCAAAGAGGGATTGACAGATATTGATTCATGCAAGTTTTTAGAGATACACTATGCTACGAAGGTTCCGGTCAGATATAATTTGCACTAGAGAAGGAAGACAACAGTTTTTTTTAGATAATGGTGCAGTCTCATCCACAAGATGCAATGGGAGAAATGAATCCCAAACACTCAAACATTTATTCAAACTATAAGTTGATTCAGTAAGAGACTTTGTGCTTATTTTTGGATCAGTTCAGTGGAAAGTTCTTCAGCAATGTAAACAGCTATATGGTTCCCTTAAATTTATCAAAAAAATGGTAAACAAAATGGAGAGAGAATTGTATCAACAGACCTTACATCACTTTCCCTTTTCGTTCCTAATGTCCGTAACTGGATCTCTTCTCTAATTTTTATTTCATCAAGTAATTGAAGATAGTATGGATATCTTTCCCAGTCACCCTTCACGACGCACCCTGGTTCACCAACATGCAAGCAGTCATTGAATGCACATCCTGATGGTTCACTAGCGCTAAGCATCTGTCGAATCTGGAGAGAAACGAACTAGTATCAGCCAATATGAAGAAAAACGTATCATAAAGTTAGAAATAAGCATAGGGTAATAACGAAAATTCAGTAGGATGGTGTTAATTGCTAAACCAACAACCAGATACAAACAGCCATGCATATCCACAGGTCTGACCTCCGGAAATGTTTGTGCAAGGGATTTCTTCGTTACTTTCAACAGATTAGGCTGGTTAAATCCTGGGGTATCAGCAAGAAATCCTTCCCCATCGAGTGGAAGCAGAGAAACATGCCTCGTGGTGTGCTTTCCTCTTCCTGATCTCTTAGATACAATGCCCACACGTTGATCTCCAAGCCATTTGTGCCCTTCACTCTGAAAAATCAGTCCTTTTGTAAATACTGAAAATTATCTTCATTCTATCCGTTAATCAAAATTATTTGAGAGGGTAAGTTATTGATAGCTGAACATCATCGAGGACAACAAGTGGGAAACAGCAGCACACATGACAGCTTACCTGTAGCTTATCAATTTCCTCGCCATCAGAAGTATCTGGAGCACTTCTCAAAGCATTTATAAGACTAGACTTCCCCACACCACTTGGCCCTACAATAACAGTTGTCTGTCCTTTCAGTATGTTCTCAAGTGCTTCTAATCCAAGATTGCGATCAACACTGCAAAAGAGTGGTTTGTAGCCCCAAGAATGAAGCTTAGTCTCCCATGAAGAGAGCATCTGCATTAGGAAAAAAAATCAGGGGGAGTTGGTATAGCTGAAAGCAAAACAGAAGATGCTTTAAAAAGCATAGCATCGACCACGTTATTTATCATGTAATTTCGGAAAATGAAGGTTCTATTGGCCAACCACAGAGTTAATTCTTTGAAGATTAAAAGACATCAATTAGGATGAAAGCTGAGGTCACAATTACGGTTAGGTAAGATTGGATTGAGCAATCAGAAACACGTCTGCTCTTAGCATAAGCAAAATCGGGTTATTTAAATAGTGATGCATGCCATTTGATCGAGCTGAAGTGCATAGGTTCAACTAGGTCCAGCAGATCTTGTTTGGATCCTCTAACGCAGGCCCAATTCACCAGACATCAGCCTCAGGTCAGATAAATTCTAGACTGTTTTCGTTTAAAATTAGCTCACTCCAGTCAATGCCATTAATACACACACGCAGAGATAGTGTATATATAAAGATATATTTATACATATATTGATGGGTTCAGAGACTAGGGCATCAGTGATAGAAAAAGTGTAACGCGACATGCTCCTGGAAGTGCAGGAGTTCTATTCTCTCGATAATTTTGACACGGACTACACAAAGTTTGCTAGAAATTATCAACCGTCGGTTAATTTTTCAGTGTCACCAATGAGACAAATATAGGCAATAGGTAATAGTCATTGAAAACAGCAATCACATGAATATTATAGCCACAAATAGATTAAGAACAGACAAGTGATTTCCAGTTATGTCTGTTCATAATTAATACCGTCTGTGTTAAAGTAAGTGTCGCTCCAAAGAAGCCTGGCCAGAAGGCAGATTTTCCACAAACTACCCATAGATGAACTAAGCCATGAGTTCTGTACTGAATTCATACCTCTTCTCCTACGAGCTCCATCTTGTTCAGTGCCAGCGTTACTGGAATCTCCACCGACTCAGCCTCCACCAGGAACCTAGTTAGATTGAATGGCTCTGCCCTCGGCTGCTCCAGCGAGAATAGCACTAACAGGTGGTCCACATTGGCGATAGGAGGATCCGAGAGCTCTGTCTTCCTCATAAACGTGTCCTCAATCATCCCTCTCCGGTCTACCCAATCGACCGATCCCACCAGTACCCTGTCCCCGACCAGCACCTTCCTCCCTATCTTCTTCAAGACCGCCCGTACCACACAGAGAAGCTCCGATCCAACTCTAGGATCCTGCTCGAGGCGGTTGCCCTCTTCGGGATTGCTGCCGGCCACATCCACGACCACCCTCATGAAGTTGGCCTGGGCGGACGTCACCCGGCCGATGGCCTGTTCGGGGAGGAGGCTCTTCCGCGGATCATCCGCAGACGCCGCGAGCCCTCGCGAGAGCGTGGAGACCTCCCGAACGGTCTCCCGCGCCCTGAGGACCTTCTTGTCCGGCGGGGGCCGCCGGAGGACGCCCCCGGAGTTCTCCCTCCCACCAGAGGACGCCGCAGCGGCGATGCGGCAAGGGAGGCAGCCCAGGGGGAGGAGGCGGCGGCAGCAGGACGCGTAGGGGAGAGCGACGCGGTGGCGGGCGATGGAGATGGACAAGGCCGGCATGGTTCCGGCGGAGACAGAACAAGAAGGAGAAGGAAGAAGCAGTCAGATGACGACGGCAATTTCTGTGCTTCCGGGGAGTCCTTCCATGGCGGAGGATTCAGCCGGAGCGACGACGAGAAGGAAGGAGGAGGGGATGGAGCTTCTCTCCATGGACTCAGCTCTGGTTCTCTTCCACGTGGAGGTCTCAAGCTGCACCTGCGAGCCGAAGAAGAAGAAGGTCAGGATCGGGTTCGGATTATACGCCGGTGAGCTTAGCCGCATCGCCAAGGCACTTGGACTCGGATTTCCTAGGCTTTTAAAATATGATTTTATCTGGACTTGAACCCCAATATATATTATTTATATTCATATATAATAATTATTTAGTTTTTTTGAATTTTTATCTGGATCAGGTTTTTCTAAACGATCCATCTCGCTGATCCTATCGCAACATGGATTGGATGAGCATCCAACCGTCCATTTCAATCACGTGGTCTGAAACTAGTACACCAGCTCGACCACCTCTCTATTTCTCTCTCTCCCTCTCTCTACATCTTTCTCTCTCTCCCTCCTCTCTACATCTTTCTCTCTCCTCCTCTCTCTCTCTCTCTCCCTCTCTCTCTCCCTCTCTCTCTCCCTCTCTCTCTCTCTCTCTCTCTCTCTCTGGAGTGAGGGTACACCGGACTCCACGGGCTCTACCGTTACCGGAACAGTTCCCATGAAAGGTCCGAAACCAGTGCACCAGCTCGACATTCTCTCTCTCGCTCTCTCTCTCTCTTTCTCTCGCTCTCACTCTCTCGCTCTCCCGCTCTGTGGTTCAGTGAGGGATGGGGAGGAATGGCATCTCGTTGGCGGCGGAGAGACGCAGCAGGGTTTTGGGGCGGCAGCCCGAGAAGAACCTTCTTGAGTGGTCTGAGTCTTCGTCGGACTCCGGCGGCGCAAAGAAGAGGGCGAAGATCATCGGCTGGTCAACCGCCGACGAAGATTACACGCCGGAAACAGATAAGGCAGAAAGAAGAGCAACGACGACGACGAAGACAAAGAAGAAGCCCGTGAAGAGAGAAAGCGACCGTTGCCGTAGAGAGAGAGGCGCCGGAGGAGGCTCTACGTCGGAAAAAAAGGAGAGAGAAAGGGAGAGCCTAACGAGGAGGAAGTTTAGAGAGAGAAAGAGACACCGGAGTCCGAAGCCGCCGCCGGCGGAAGGGAGGCGGCGGAGGAGCAGCCGCGAGGGCTCTACGTCGTCGGAAGGAAAAGAGAGAGAAAGTCAGGGTCTGAGGAAGAGAAAGAATGTAAAGAAAGGGACGTGGAGGAAGCACAGCGACGAACACGATACACCGGAAGGAGAGGAGAGAGAAACAAAGGGGATGAAGAGGATGCCGCTCGTAGAGAGAGAAACTAAGGAGATCAAGAGGACGCCACTCATAGAGAGAGAAACCCACCAGAGCCCCAGATTGTTGCTACAAGGAACGCGGCGGAAGCAAAGGGACGAAGACTATACACCTGAGGGGCAGGAGAGAGACGCAAAGGGGATGAAGAGGATGCCGCTCGTAGAGAGAGAAACTAAGGAGATCAAGAGGACGACGCGGCTCGTAAAGAGAAAAACCCACCAGAGCTCTAGACTGTTGCTACAAGGGACGCGGCGGAAGCAAACGGACAAAGACTATACACCTGAGGGGCGGGAGAGAGAAACAAAGGAGATGAAGAGGATGCCCCTCGTAGAGAGAGAAACTAAGGGGATCAAGAGGACCTCGCTCGTAGAGAGAGAAACCCACCAGAGCCCCAGATTGTTGCAAAGAGGGACGCGGCGGAAGCACAGCGACGAAGAGTATATACCGGAAGGGGAGGAGAGAGAAACAAAGGTGATGAAAAGGATGCCCCCAGTAGAGAGAGAAACAAAGGGGATGAAGAAGATGCCCCTCGTAGATAGAGAACCCCACAGGAGCCCCATATTGTTGCAAAGAGGGACGCGGCGGAAGCACAGCGACGAAGAGTATATACCGGAGGGGGAGGAGAGAGAAACAAAGGTGATGAAGAGGATGCCCCTCTTAGAGAGAGAAACCCCGTGGAACCACAGAAAGGTGCACATAGTGACGGGGCGGAGAAGCAGTGGTGGCCGCCGAGCCCGGTCCATGAAGAAGGAAACAGCAGGCCCGTTCATTCTGTCCTCCTGGGGGAGAGATTTGGTGAGGGATAAGGAGAACGTGAGGGAGGAGTCGAACGAGGAAAATATGCCGCCTAAGAAGAGGTGGAAGAGCCGGTATTCTTGATGTTCTTTCCCTCATCTGATTTTTCCGTCGTCTCTGTAAGAGACGAGAGGGTTACAAGCTCAGATTCGGGTGCATTTCATGCACCGATGTGAACATTACTCTTTTCCCTCTCTTTTCGTCATTTAGACGAAGGGTTCTTGACAAAGTGCCTCTCTCTCTCTCTCGCTCGCTCTTTCTCCCTATTTATCTATCTTTCTATCTATCTCTCGATCTCTCTCTCTCTCTCGCTCTTTCTCTCTATTTATCTATCTTTATATTTATCTCTAGCTCGATCTCTCTCTCTTTCGCTCTCTCTCTGTTTATCTATTGCTTTCTCTTGTTCGCTCGCTCTCTCACTCCGTTCACGTCTCCCCCCCTCTCTTCCTGTCGCTCTCTCTCTCTATTTATCTTTCTATTATATCTATCTCTAACTTGCTCTTTCTCTCTCTCATTCTCTCACTCCACTCATGTCCCCCCTACTAAAGAAGATGCAGCCAACCAGAAGCCGTTCTTGAACCGTCGACCAATCACAGGACACATATCTCCGGAGGACACTGTCGGCGGACATGTAACCCCTCCCCCCCCCCCCCACCCTCTCACGTAAATATAGTAATACAGCTAAATGATAAAAAAGGCTACTAATTCTCCTATAAATGTAACCCAACTCCTATTTCACTTTATTCTCCAATCTCACACCTTCTCTCTAAGATTTCTACGAGCTTTCATGATATTAGATCCTATAGGCATGGCATGACGACTCCCACACCTTCTTCTTCTCACATTGTCCCAGTGATTGTGCCTTCCATCTCCATGGCTATTCCCACCGGCCTCACCATTTCCATCAAGTTCACTGGTGATAATCATCTGGTATGGAGAAACTCAATTGTCCCTATCCTGAATGGCTATGATCTCATGAAATTTATGGATCAAGATCCACCACCTACAACGTTGAATGATCAACTTAATCTTGAGTACCAACTCTGGGGGCGGTATGATCAGCAAGTTCTCAGCTTCATCTCCTCTTCTATTGCCAAATCTGTCCTCTTCAATTTAGGGCAGAAGACCACTGCAAAAGCCCTCTAGGATGCCATCATGAAGATATACTCTTCCAACAATCATTCCCCCACTATGGAACTCCATCGAAGCCTCCACAATACTTACAAAGGTGACACAGTTGAAGATTATATTAAAAACGAGGATCTGGCCACTGCAAGAAAACATGTTGATAAAGAATCTCTGATTTGTGCTTTCCTCAAAGGACTTGGCCCCCAATATTCACAATTTGACCTCGTCATTTAGGTCAATTTGAATCGCCTAAACTTTGAAGATATCATTTCTCAACTTTGCACACATGAACCCACATCAGTATATCACAAACAAATGTCTCAAACATCTACACCTAGATCGGTCAACATAGCTCTACAAGCCCATCTTTCTCAAGTGACTAGTAGTTCGGACAACTCCAAATCCAATTCCCAAACCACTGCCTCTCAACAACCCAATTGACAAGGGAATAAAGGTTCCAACAATTATAGAGACGAAAGAGGTTGCAACAATACTAATTGGCAACCCCATTGCCAATTATGTTCCTAATTTGGTCATTGAGCTTGAGTGTGTAAGGAAAGGTTTAATGTCTCCTTTCATGGTCATCCATCATTCTACCCTCCACCAAATTTGATACCTCAATTACCTCAATTAACTCATGTACCTCACTTCCCATCTACCACCCCTCAACCACAAGCCTACTTGGCCATGACTACATCTTTTCCTCTTGTCACACCAAATTGGTATCTTGATGGTAGTGTCACCCACCATATCACTGCTGACCCAACTCTCATTCAATATCCCACTACCTATCAAGGCTCAGATCAACTCTAAATCGGTAATGGCACTAGTATGAGTATTTCATCTATCAATTCATCATTCATTAAAACTCAATAGTTTTTCGCTTAAATTACAAAATATTCTTCATGTTCCTCACATAAAAAAAAATTGCTTTCGTTTAAGCAATTAACTACTGATAATAACATTTTTCTTGAGCTTCATGCTAACTACTATCTTGTGAAGGACGAGGAAACTCATCAAATCGTCCTCTGGGGAACCATTGAGGACGGTTTCTATCTCCTCCGACCTTACACTCGACCTCAAGCTTTCTTAGGAGCAAGGATCTGTCTTCCCACTTGGCACCATCACTTGGGGCATCCACACTTTAGAATTCTCAAAACTATTTTTGACAAATTTGGGCTCCCCTCTTTTCATTTACATGAACATCATGTTTGTGATGCTTGTAATATTTCCAAATTGCATAAACTCTCATTTAAGCTCACTAATCATCATGCCACTAAATCACTCAAGTTAATTCATTCTAATTTATGGGGCCCTCCCCAGTTACTTTATTTTTCAATTTTAATTATTATTTTATATTTAGTGATGGTTTTAGTAAGTTTACTTGTCTATATCCTCTTAAAATAAAAATTGAAGTTTTCCAAACATTTATGGATTTTCAAAAAAAAGGTCAAAAATTTATTTTCTTCTAAAATCATTTATTTTCAATTTGACTTGGGTGGTGATTTCAAGCTCTTAAAAAGCATTTTAAGGATCATGGCATTCATCATCAGGTCTCATGTCCCCATACTCCACATCAAAATGATATGACTAAAAGGAAACATAGGGATCTCATAGAAACTACCCTTAACCTCCTTAACCAAGTCTCTCTACCCATACAATATTGGGATGAAGCTGTTTCCACAGCCTCATACCTCATTAACTACATGCCCACCCCAATTCTTCACTTCAAATCACTTTTTGAAGTGCTCTATAATACCCCACCTAACTATGATTTTTTAAAATCTTTTAGGTGCCTCTATTACCCCTATACCATACCCTATTTCCAAACTAAATTAGATAACCAATATGAACCCTGTCTTTTTCTCAACTATGGTATCAATCACTTAGGCTATCAATATAAATCCCTCCTTACTGAAAAATTTTACATTTTCAAACGTAATTTTCTCTTAAACTATTTTTCCCCACTCCACACAACCTTACGATTCTACTCCCTCGACACCTACTCTACTTCCTACCTCCTTCAGTCAAAAAGATATTTTAGGGGCTTGTTCAGTTTACACTCCAACCCCTATCATCCCACCTCAGCCATGAATCTTCGTGGAAGAAGAAGAAGTGGTTCACCAGCCACTACATCTAGGGATCCCACAAAATTCTCATCCTCATCACCAAATTCAGCAGCTCCTCCTTCTCAATCTCCTCATGAATTCACACTTCTAATTCAACTCTTACTCATCCGGCCTTAGTTATTTCTGTCAATACCCCTAACCCAGATTCCTCAAAATCCTCCTAAGCTAGTATAGATAGCACTCCTCACCAACAATCCACCCAATCTCATTCCATACCTTTGACCCCTCCTGCCAAACTCTAAAGGATTAGATCAATTTATTGGAACACTGCATTCATTCCTCTTCCTAGTGCTTATCTAGTCACCCTATCTACCAAACATCCTATTCCTAGTTTTTTTTGCAACCCTGTCCATAACTGAACCTCTTAATTTCTCTATAGCATGGAAGAAATATGAATGGAGACAAGTCATGCAATTGAAACTTAATACCCTAGTTAAGAATAATACTTGGCCTCTAGTTCCCCAACAACCCAATCTTCATATTATTGGGTGCAAATGAGTCTATTAAATTAAACACAAATCTAATGATACCATTGATAGGTGCAAAGCTCATCTAGTAGCCAAAGGTTTCTCTCAACAAGAAAGCTTTGAATACGTTGACACCTTTTCACCAATAGTTAAGATCACCACCATTCGGATATTTCTCTCTCTTGCGATTAGTCTGAAATGAAATATCCATCAAATGGATGTTTCTAATACATTTCTTCATGATGATCTCGAAGAAAACATTTATATAGAGCAACCACAAGGTTTCGTTGACTCTCTGTGACTCCTGGTGCTCCAAGAGTTTGGTTTTCAAAATTATCCCATTTCTTACTTTCAATTGATTTTTTCAGATCCAAAACCAACACCTCTTTATTTTATTTTTCTAAAACCACTAAAATTATTTTATTCTGGTTTATGTCGATGACTTTCTCCTCATTGGCCCAAATCAAGCTTTTATTAGCTTCATTATCCAGCTACTTCACAATAATTTTGCTATTCTAAATCTATGCAAGGCTGAATTCTTTCTTGGTGTTGAATTTGTATCGAATTCTACTGATTTTGTCTGATCCCAATCTCAATATGTTGTAACTTTATTACATCGGGCCCAACTAGATCAATGTAAGCTACTATCCACTCCATGGCTCACTTCCACTAATAAATTTGACAAGGACTCTACTCCCCAAGATCCAACAATGTATAAAAATCTCTTAAGAGCAATTCAATATCATTACAAGACCAGATATTTGCTTTGCTGTCAACAAAGCATGTTAGAAGATGCACTCTCCTATGACTACAGATTGGGCCAACCTTAAACACCTTCTCGAGTACCTAAAAGGCGCCATTAAGTTCGGTCTCCAACTCCATCAAACTTTTTCAACCCAATTGATTGCCTATAGCGATGCTGATTGGGCTGGATCATAGGAGGACTGTCGGTCCACGGGAGGATACCTAATTTATCTCGAATGCAACCTTATCTCCTGGTCATCGAAGAAGTAATCAATGGTCGCCTACTCCAGCGCTGAATCTGAATACAAAGCCATCGCCAACACCGCTGCCAAAATCATTTAGATCAAGTCATTACTTCGAGAGCTCCGTATCTATCTTCATGAAACACCTATTCTTTTCTACGACAACATCAAAGTGACCTACCTTACCGCTAATCTTCTGTTTCATGCATGAATGAAGCACATCAAAATTAACTTTCATTTCGTGCATGAGCAAGTTGCCTACAAGCTTCTCCGAGTTTTATTCACGTGAAGCTCCCATCAACTTGTCGACATCCTGATAAAGCCCTTACTCAAATCCCGATTCTGCTGGCTATGAAATAAGCTTAGTGTAGTTCCTACACAGCTTGCGGAAAGATGTTAAAGAAGATGCAGCCAACCAAAAGCCGTTCTTAAACCGTCAACCAATCACAACACACATAACTCTGGAGGACACTGTCGGTGGACACCTCCCCTCTCTCCTGCTCCCACGACTAAATATAGTAATAGACCTAAAGATAGAAAAGCCTAACCCATTAGACAATCGGCACACTTACACATCACCTTGACACTTATAGCTCCAACGGCTCAATTCGAGTCTATAAATGTAACCTAACTCCTATCGAACAAGGTTAACGGGTTCCCTTTTCTCTCTCTTCCCGTTTCACTTTCTTCTCCAATCTCACACCTTCTCTCTAAGATTTCTATGACCTTTCACCCCCCCCCCCTCTCTCCTGCTCGCTCACTCTATCACTTGATTTATGACTCACCCCCTCTCATCTCTCTCTCTCTCTCTCTCTCTCTCTCTCTCTCTCTCTCTCTCTCTCTCTCTCTCTCTCTATCTATCTATCTATCTATCTATCTATCTATCTATATATATATCGCTCATTCTGTCACTTGGTTCATGTCTCGCCCCCCCCCCTTTCTCTCTCCCTCTCTTGCTCTTTCTTGCTTGCTCTCTCTCTCTCTCTCTCTATCGATCTATCTATCTGTCTATCTATGCATCTATCTATCTACCAACCATATGGATCCCTCCCTCAGTTCAGACACAGCAGTTACACCCTTCTACATTCCAGTCCGAGAGCGGGCGGCCATTAGTGGCAGAGCTGGGAGTTTAACGGCGATCCATCCCACCGCGCCCCGCCCTCCGCCACGTTCAACTCACCCTCCTCCTCTTCGCCGGCGAACTCCTCCGGCAACCAACCAACTCCCTCTCCGCCGCCGCCATGGACTTCTCCGACGATCCCTTTCTTTACCGACATCCAGCGACGGATCCTGCACCTCATCTTCGACGACGACGACGACGATGAGGAAGAATCGTCGGTGGCCGGCGAGAAGAGAAGCGCCGCCACCGAGCAGAAGGGTCCCCACCGCCGTGGGTCGACTCCTCCGGTGACTGTGGCCACTCCAGCCGGGCTGATCGGAGGGGAACGCCCCTCGCAGAGGCAGGGGACGGGGGTGTTCATCCCGGCAAGAAGAGCGGCGGAAGGACAGCGACGAAGACTATACGCCGGAGGGAGAAGAGAGAGAAACAAATAGGATGAAGAGGATGCCGCTCGTAGAGAGAGAAACACCGTGGAGCCCCAGAAAGGTTCAGACAGTGACAATGCGGAGCAGCAGCGGCGGCCGCCGAGGACGCTCAGATTCGGGTCCATTTCATGCACAGATGTGAACGTTGTTCTTTGCCCGTTCTTTTCGTCATTTACACGAAGGTTCTCTCTCTCTCGCTCTCTCGCTCTCGCTCTCTCTCTCTCTCTCTCGCTCTCTCTCTCTCTCTCCCTCTCGCTCTCTCTCTCTCTCTCCCTCTCGCTCTCTCTCTCTTTCTCGCTCTCTCTCTCTCGCTCTCTCTCTCTCTCTCTCTCTCTCTCTCTCCTCTCTCTCTCTCTCTCTCTCTCTCTCTCTCTCTCCCTCTCTCTCTCTCTCTCTCTCTCTCTCTCTCTCTCTCTCTCTCTCTCTCTCTCTCTCTCTCTCTCTCTCTCTCTCTCTCTCTCTCTCTCTCTCTCTCTCTCTCTCTCTCTCCCTCTCTCTCTCTCTCTCTCTCTCTCTCTCTCTCTCTCACTCTCTCTCTCTCTCGCTCTCTCTCTCTCTCGCTCTCTCTCTCTTTCTCTCTCTGCTCTCTCTCTCTCTCTCTCTCTCTCTCTCTCTCGCTCTCTCTCTCTCGCTCTCTCTCTCTCTCTCTCTCTCTCTCTCTCTCTCTCTCTCTCTCTCTCTCTCTCTCTCTCTCTCTCTCTCTCTCTCTCTCTCTCTCTCTCTCCCTCCCTCTCTCTCTCTCTCTCGGCTCATGTCTCCATACAAATCCTTCACTCAGTTCGAAGGGAGGGCACTTAACGCCCCTCAACAATCCAGTCCAAGAGCCGGCATCCATTAATGGCGGAGACGGGGAGATTAACAACGAACCATCCCTCCGCCAGGTTCAACTCACCTCCTCCCCCGACCTGCGCCTCCCTGCCTTCTCTACTCACCATATATACATCCCACCCTCCCTCCTGTTCTTCGCCGGCGACCAACCAACTCCCTCTCTGCCCCCACTGCCGCCGCTGCCGCCATGGACTTCTCCGACGATCCCTTCTTCGCCGACATCCAGTGGCGGATCCTGCGCCTCATCGCTGACGACGACGACGGGGAAGAACCATCGGCGGCTGGGGAGAAGAGAAGCGCCGCCACCGCCACCGCCACCGAGCAGAAGGGTCGCCGCCGCCGTGGGGTGTCTCCTCCGGCGAGGCTGATCGGGCCTGCGCCGCCGTCGAAGAGGGAGGGGACTGGGGTGTTTATCCCGGGAAGAAGTGTGCCACCTCCATGGAATAGATAAATAATTTTTTTATTTCAGTGAAGCCCTCTTAAAAAGTAAAAATTGCAAATCCATTCTCATTGCTTTGACTCTGGTGCTCCGCCTCTTGCTCCGTGGGCCGCAGGAAATTTTCACTAAATAACTGTTTTTAATTATTATCAACTGGTAATTTTTCAATGAAGTCCTCTTTTAAACGCTTCTCCCCCTTACGAACGCAGGAAATTCAGTAAATAAGTGTTTTTAATTATTATCACCTGGTAATTTTTCAATGAAATCCTCTTAAAAACAGAAAATGACAAATCTATCTTCATTGCGCCGCTTCTCCCCCTTACGGACTCAGGAAATTCAGTACATAGTGTTTGTAATTATTATCAACTGTACTTTTTCAATGAAGTCCTCTTAAAAACAAACAAAAAAAAGACAAATCCATCTTCGTTGACCGCTTGTTCATTTTTGGAAGCATGGAATTTTTTCACCATGTAATTTTCTTTTAAGCCCTTTAAAAATCGAAAATGACAAAACCAATCTCGTTGCCAAGTGTCCCTCTTCGGGAGAGTCGGCGCCACAGAAGAGAGCCTGAAGCTCCGCTCCTCGCTCTGTAGACCGTGAAATTTTCTTAAATAATTGTTTTTAATTATTATCACCGGATAATTGTCGTTAAATTCCTCTTGAAAATTAAATAAGACAGAATCACCTTACATAGTAGGTTTTTAAGAAAAAGTATCGGAAAAAAAACGTGGTTGCCATAGGAGATGCCACGTGAGCATCCAATTGGTCCTATATTCCGGGCTTATTGGGCCAACCCATTTCCAGCTCGGATAGGACCCGGCCCGTTGACTAGGAGATGTGATAACCTAGTGGTCGACTTACCTTCTCTTTCAGACTGGAGCATAGTCTTTTCGAGACCAGGAGCTTCCCTCCATTTCTTCGTTGCTTCTCAAGGAGGTTGCAGAGAGGGGGGAGGAAGGTCCAAGCAGAAGTGGAAAGTTGGTGGGAGGAGGAAGGGGGAGGAAGAAGATGTTCGGGACGCCGGCGATCACGCCGGCATTCGGCACGCCGTCGTCGGCGCCGGCGTTCGGAACGCCCTCAACGCCGGGATTTGCAACGCCGGCGACGGCGCCGGCTTTCGGCACGGCAGGTTTTGGTACTCCATCTTCGACGCCGGCCTTCGGTACGCCATCGACGCCGTCGTTCGCCACCACTGGCGGCGCGTTTGGCTCCACTCTCTTCCCGTCTCCCTCTCCCTTCTCCCAGACGCCACAGCAGTCCCCGTTTACTCCGTTCCAGCAGCAGCAGCAGCAACAGCAGCAGCCGCAGCAGCAGGCGTTCGGTTTTCAGCAGACCTCCCCGTCGCCATTTGCGAATGTTACGCCGCAGCTTACCACGCAGATGGCTCCCGTTGCCCCCCTCCCTCTCCCTCTCGCTGATCGGGACGTCCAGGTTCAAGCCAATTGCAAAACCCTATCTTCTCCTTCTCCAATTTAATCAGAAGGTGGTAAATAGGCAATTTTCTTTACCTTGAATTTCTTTTGCTAGGCTATCGTGGACGCCTATAGAGAGGACCCGGCGAACCCCAAATACTCTTTCAGGGTTGGTTTCTCTTATCCCCCTTTTCCTTCATAGGTTTCTAGTTAAAGGCTCTTCGTGAGTTCTTAGTTTCCGCTTTACGTTTCTGTAGCATTTACTCTTCAGCGTTACCGATCCTGCCGCAAGAGTGAAGCCTGTGGCCGTATCTGATGTAAGTTTTTTTTCAGTTGCTATATCGCAAACAATTCATGTTTCAATTCTCGTTTTTTTTTTTAATTTAATTATAATGCTTGCTACGGGTTTGCAGATCATGTGGGCAGAAGCAATGGGGAAGTTGGAGGGAATGGAGAGTGCTGATAGAGAGAGGTTATGGCCTCAGCTTGTTCAGGGTTTCAAGGAGCTCTCAGACCGACTTAAGGTATCTAAGCTGGGTTTTGTGTCTCTCAACGTTGTTCTGGTCAGTTGTGGTTGTACAGCTTTGCCTGTGTGAACCCTTCACTACTTTATTTTTCTTTTTCATCTCGCTGACACAGTTTTTTGGCCCATATTATCCCCCTTCCAAGGTTTCATCCCACTGAAGTGACTTGCTACAGTATTTCACCCCAAGACCTGCTTTTTAATGCTATAGATCCTATCAGTTAGCGATAAGATTTCCATGTGAAGCTTCATCTGCGAGAAAATTCGCCGGTCATAAGAAAGCGTTCAGAAGTTTTAAGTGACTGAATACCTAGGAAAATAATGTCAGATGTCATTATTGATATCATGACTAGCAATATCGACCTTCTTTCTGGCAGGTTCTGATTTCTTGGGATCAGCACAGTCTGTCATTACTTGGTTTTAGCCGTTTTTAAGTTTTTAGAGAGAGGCCGGCACTCAGTGTAAATTAAGGAATGAGAAATGTATGCCTCTATGATGCTAGTTTCTCAAATATCTTTTCTGAACTTCGTCAGAAAGCTAACGGACCATTCATTTAGAGGCATACATTTCTGTCATCTTCGGTCAATCGAAGGTGGGATACATAGCAATCGTTTTCCTAAGACTCTCAATCCCCTTTCTGAACTAGGTATGAAATGTTTACACACCCAAAGTTATCCCATTTCCTAAGACTCGTTGGCGTTTAATTTACAAGGTATCATGTCACAGATGTTTCTCTGTTTCATTTTACAAAGCATCCAAAACTTGTTGTCCGTATTATCTGTCCTTCCTGAGTTTCTAGTGTTTTATAACTGCTGCGAGGAATCCCCAAGCAACTCTCAACCCCCAGTGATCCCATGTTGTAGCACAGGTTCCTTCCCGTGCATATTGTTTAAAGCCTATTTCTATTGGTTGGTCATAAATGGTGAAAATCATACGTGGAATCCTTTAGCATGGCCGACGTTTCGAGGATGGAAAACCTGCGCTAGTGACAGGGTATCTACGTTTATCCATAACGAGTGGCCTTCTTAAACTGGACGTTGACTTCACCTCCTCATGTAAGTGGGGTTTTCTGAGAGTCAGAATCCATAACTTTTACGTAGCTTCATAATAGTTTTCTGGTGAAGCAATCTCCTTGAATGTTAGCATGTGTTCCCTCCTTGAATTTAATCTCTGTTCCATTCCCCACCTGCTTCCAGCTCCCTCCAAAACCACACAAATCACCTTTAATATATCTGCTCATTGTATGTGAGATGTTGTGGATCATGGCTGGATGGGGATTCTATACTTAGCTTATTATCACTGTGCTCTCATCCTCCACTGTGTCCTTCTTTACAGACCTCTCCACACTTGTCAGTATTCTGCTCATTCCATCCCTGCCAAGTGCATCAGCATATGATCATATTCATTCATTTTTCACGCTTAGCTGCATTCTGTCTCATTGACTTCCTTTTACATGCAACTTCTGACAACCTCTCTACTTTCTGAGCATAATCTTAACAAGAGCATACGCCATACTGCAGAATAATGGGCACTGTGCGATCCAGTCATTTGTGTGAACTAGTCATTCCTCTGTTGAATTTTAGCTTAATCTACTCTGATGTGTGAGACCCTTTGATATATATCCATGGCATATTTGTAGCTATGTTAGATTCCTTTTTTGGTAAGTAATGCACGTACCCTTGTGTCCACCTTTCTGAATTTTGAGTAAATTCCATTGATGAAACCAATATACTAATGTCACATCATACATTTCATCTTCTAATGTGTTTCTGTCCTCTTGATTTCCCCCCTTAAACGTGTTCCTGAACGGAAGACAGCCTCTTGGATGTAGGAACCTTAGGAAATTAAATGATTTTGAAAGGGAGATGAATGGAAAATGGTTACTTGAACAAAAGCATTCATGGGACTCCCATATGGTTTCGAATGATTTCACTCTTAGAAACACGATTTCATGTTTCAATCTCATGTTTGATATCCGTGATCTGGATTGAAGCAATCAACTTTTGCAGCTTCAAGATGAAGTTCTGGTTTCTGACGCGGAGAGATTGCAGATGACCCAAGCCAATGTGAAAATGGTCTGCATTCTCTACCTTTCTTTGCGGGAAATATCCTATCACGATCATACCCAACTATCACGATCATACCCAACGATAGATTGATGCCTTTGTGCAGCTTCAGAGGCATTTCCAGGTGGATACTCTTCCATGGATCCAGAGGATGAAGCTGAAAGAGCAAGAACTTCGACGGCGTCTACTAAGGGTGAGAGTCTGTTTTCTTGTCTCTTCAGAGTAGATCTCTTTTCTTCGTGGTAAGTTCTTCCGAGGATCTTTCTGCATTGATTTGCCTATTCTTTGTGGATGCCCTGTGAACAGGTAATGAGAATGGTAGAGGCACTGGAGAGCAAGGGATTTCGCGTGCCATTGATGAGAGATGAAGCTGAATTAGCCGAGAAACTGGCTAGGATTTCCAGACAGGTCTCTCTCTCTCTCTCTCTCTCTCTCTCTCTCTCTCTCTCTCTCTCTCTCTCTCTCTCTCTCTCTCTCTCTCTCTCTCTCTCTCTCTCTCTCTCTCTCTCCCCCTCTCTCTCTCTCTCTCTCTTCTCTCTCTCTCTCTCTACCACGCTCTCTCTCTCCCTCTCCCTCTCTCTCTCTCTCCCTCTCTCTCTGCCTCTCTCTCCCTCTCCCTCTCCCTCTCTCTCCCTCCCTCTCTCTCTCTCTCCCTCTCCCTCTCTCCCTCTCTCCCTCTCTCCCTCTCTCTGCCTCTCTCTCTCCCTCTCTCTGCCTCTCTCTCCCTCTCCTCTCTCCTCTCCTCTCCCTCTCTCCCTCTCTCTCTCCTCCCTCTCTCTCTCTCTACCCTCTCCTCTCTCCTTCCCCTCTCTTTCTCTCTCTACCTCTCTCCCCTCCCTCTCTCTCTTTCTCTCTCCTCTCCCTCCCTCCTCCCTCCTCTCTCTCTCTCCTCTCCTCTCTCCTCCCTCCTCTCTCTCTCTCTCTCTCTCTACCTCTCTCTCTCCCTCTCTCACCCTCTCCCTCCCTCTCTCTCTCTACATCTCTCTCCCTCTCCCCTCTCCCTCTCCCTTCCCTCCTCCCTCCCTCCTCCCTCTCCTCGCCCTCTCCCTCCCCTCTACATCTCTCTCCCTCTCCCCTCTCCCTCTCCTCTTTACTCTCCCTCTCTGCTCTCTGCCTCTCTCCTCTCCTCTCCTCCTCTTAAACCCTCCCTCTCCATCTCTCTCTCCTCTCCCCCTCTCTCTCTCTACCTCTTCTCTTCCTCTCCTCCTCTCTTCTCTCTCTCTCTCTCTCCCTCTCCTCTCCTCTCTCTGCCTCTCTCCATCTCCCCCCCCTCTCTCTCTCTCTCTCCCCCTCCCTCCCTCTCCCTCTCTCTCTCTCTCTCTCTCTCTCTCTTTCTTTGTCTTTCTCTCTCTCTCTCCTCATACCCGACAGCTGACCATCCTCGAGATATTAATGGGAGTGGAATTTCCAGCTCAAAAGGCCCGGAGCGGAGCTGCCTAGGAGAGTGCAAGGCCTCTTATCCATCTCGCGCACCCATGCCAACGCCGGCATCATCGGTGGCTCCATCTGCCTTCCCAACTCCATGAAGATCGAGGAACAGAGCCTCGCTGACCTGCAAGAGGTTGACCATCCGGGCCCCCACTTCAACCCCCTCAAATCCATCTTCTAGAACATTCTCCTCATCCCTTCTAGAACATTCTCTGCCCGTTTCACCATCAGGTCCTGCAGAGGCAAACTGGGGCGATTGCAAGGCTAGGCAACGTTCTGAAGCGGGACACCCGGGACGTGGAGATCATCATGTCCGAGGATTCAGCCATGGCCGAAGACGGCAGTAAGTAATGGCAGGGCGCAGTGAAGTGGGTGGCGAGCTCTCCGTCTTTCTGCTCTCGGCGCCTTCTTTTTTTGGTGGAATCTATCGGAGATAAGTCGAATATAAGGGAAACCAGTTACCATTTTTAGGTCTTTCCGCTGAAATATCATGATACTTGGTGTTGCTCCATGACCGCCCTGCTTAATTGCTCTGGGAAAACCAGGGGATCTGCAGGCTGGTTGCTCCCCTTCATCTTCCGACGAGGCAGACCAGGCAGGCACTCGGGGGGAGGACGAGCAATCAGGTTAGTGCCCAGCTTGCTCATTCCAAGATCTCCCTGGTGGGCATCTATTAATTTGCCATTTATAGCCTACTAATCAAAATAGATTTTATGTTCATTGTGTCGAGTAAGACGTAGAGCTAAGATACCTTCTTATTCCCAGGATCTAAAGTCAACCGAGAGGTAATTGGATTCTTGTTCATAGGAACTCAATGGGTCTAGTAGCTCTAAACTTTCAAGATATAGATATAGATATATATATAGTCAACTCATGTTCACAAGACAGGGAATTTGTTGACTTTCCGCACGACTGGTTTAATCGCCTGGGGAAGTCCGACGGCCCAATACTTGATCGTGCCCAAGATGGAAAGTCAAACTTTGAATTGAAATAAATATTTAATGGTGAAAGTCGTTTGAAGTCAACCATGTGGATCTCCTTCGTAGAAGAACGCACCGTTGAGTTGAATGCTCCAAGGTCAGGAAGGAAGATGGTAGTGTGAAGCTTTAGGTTTGGGAGATTTTGGCCCCAGTATGGCTGACTTTTTAGGCCGACCGGCCCAACACGTTTGGGCTGGAGTTGACTAATCCAAGTTGATCCTCCAATCCTGAGCCGGTCCACTGGGTCTTAGTCCTATGTTGGATTATTCTACGGCACTTCCGGCCCAAATGCGTTGACCTCGCTGATCTAGGGCAATATGTATATATATATATATAGAGATTAGCCTTAATTAGCAATCCATAATCTCACTGATTAAATAAGAAGACATGAAAAATAAATAGCAATAATCTGAGATCCCACACACGAAGAGAGTTTATGAAGCACAGAACCAGAAGAGCCACCTCCTTATATGCGGCTACTGACAAGGCTCTCTCCAAACTTTTACACTCATAAAGTATCAGCATCTGACCCTCTGCTGTACAGAGTTTTTGTGATCCCCCACCCCAAAAATGGAAAACTTTACAAACTGGGTCAGCGCCAAAAGCTCAGGATTATTCATTTACTTATTTATTCACGTATTTATATTTATTTTGCTTATCAGCTGTGGAGGCTTGGTCTGTAGCTGTGGACCAAACTGGGGAGGGGCAGAGCTCATGCCCTCCCCTCTCTCTCTCTCTCTCTCTCTCTCTCTCTCTCTCTCTCTCTCTGCCCATCTGGTGGTCATTGGAGACGGAACCTGGACCCAGGAAAAAAAGAAAAAAAAAAACCTCACTGGGACTTCTCTTTTGGTTTCTCCCTTTCCGGCTCCAACTTCACATGTTTGGTTTCATGGAGGAACTCGGCCAGCTTCTTCCTCGGAGAGGGCTCTGACTGGGTGTCTGACAGCCCATCAAAGCCAAGGGACCCCTCCAGCTTCGGCTTCATCGCCGAGCCCAATTGGTGGTTTGGAGTGCTGCCCTGGGATGGAGTGAAGTCTACAAGAGAGAAAGAGAACTTAGAGAGAGAGGGGGGAAGAGAGAGAGAGGAATCAGAGTATAGTGAATGAGGTTACCTCCATTGATGCTGAAGAAATCGTCTTCGCAGTCGGAGTCCAGCCAGGCCCGGGAATCGAAGAAGATCTCACCATTGCCCTCTGCAATTTAAAGTCAACATCCCAATTTCTTCATCAAAAGAAAAGAGAGGGAAGTCCCCTAGCATCGAAATACCCTCTTTGGGGAAATCTTTCAGTGGGGGGGGGGCTCCGTTGACCAGGAAAAAGACAAGAAATCAGGCCATGGTTCAGAAATAAGTCCAGAATTATTTCAAATGATCTAATTCAATGGATAAGATCAGTTTCCATCAAATTTTCGATAATTTCTTGAGCTGGGTCTGTAAAAAAAGTGGATTTTTTTCCCAAATTGTCTCCAAGAGATGAGACTTTTAAGGAAATATTCCCCAAACAAGAAACAAAAGCATCAATGAAGCAGACTCAATGAAGAAGAGAGAGAGAGGATTCAGCTAATTTCCCCAGGAACTGGTGAATTAATACAGTAGAAAAAGATTCAGAGGTCAATAGACACGGAGAGCATTCATTTCCTGGTGATTTGGGTGATTCAATGATCTGAAGCAGTGGAAGATCAGAGACGGATGAGGCTCTGGAAGAAGCTGATCGAGTAGATGGTGGGGAGTTACGAAGTCAAAGCCCTTGAATTAACGAGCAATAAACCAGATACAGAAGAATCCTGCGGCAGATCGAGCGAGAGCCCAACTCGCCCCCATAGACGGAGATTCCCCCATCCGAATCAACGGAGACGACCCAGATGAACAGAAAAAGTCAATCGCCATAAGAAGATGAACCAGATGACAGGAACTCGAAGCGGCACATGATTTCGTGTCTCGTATGGCGGCTGGCGATGCAGAGAAGTAGAGGAATCGGCGTCAATCAGTAGGTTTTTCTCTTCCTTCGGGATGATTCAGTAGCAGGGGAGAAGAAAGAGAAACAGGGGGGGATAAAGGAACCCACCGGCGGCATGGCCTGGCCCATTCGAGAGCTTCCCCATGGGAAGAGGCAAGGGGGCAGTCGCCTTACGGGAGGAGAGGCAGGAGCCCATGGCCGATGCTCCGCCTGTCAGAAGCCTTCGCCGCAAGCAAGAGAAAGCTCTGGCCGCTCTCTCTCCCTCGTTCTCCCTCTAACCTTTCCTTTCCATCGGCCTCCCTCTCCCCTTCTCTCTACTCACCTGCAGAGGGAGAAACTCGTATAAAAGGAGAAAGATGAGAGAGAAAGAGAAAACTGCTCTTGGGTTCAGAGATACAGAGGGTGCCTATCTACGTGTTATCACAGGAGAAACGGGTTCTAAGGAGACGTGTGAACGCAGAGGGTCACATAGAGAGAGAGAGAGAGAAAGAGTTAGAGAACGGGTCTTATACAATGGAGACCATGAAAGGAAGAGGACGATAAGAAGGTGAATTTCTCACTCATCTGAGCTCTGGGTACATATGATTCCCCCTCAATCTGCTGAAAGTTCTCATCTTTCCTGGCCCTTTCAGCATGACAAGCGCTGCTCCGGTGATCCCCACATAAGCTTTTACTCGATTTATTAACGAAAACGACATGGGTATAGGGTTGACCCTCTGTGGGGACGAATCCTCTGAGTTCCTGCTGCTGCCCGCGTGGCAGACCCTCTACCTCTTCAACGATCTGAACCGGGTCTCACCAGGGCTGACTGAAAGACTCGATCTTGGAGATGAAAAATAAAACGGATTTTTTGGGTAATTGCTCTTGCTTAGCTGTGATCTAATCAGCCGATGGTCCTCATCTATTGTTGGAGATGCCTTTCCAAAATAGTGGGGCCCATTTCTTTCTTGCCACGTGGCTGACAATGATCGCCCCACATGGCACTCCTTGTCTTGCTAGCGCCAGGTGGAGCCGAATTAATGAATATGCTTTGGGTGTGCCCTATACCACCTTTAAAATGTGCATTTATGCATTTAGTTTAAGACACCTCCATTGACCCATATCCAAACCAAATATAAAATAACACTTTTTTTTAATTTTCCCCCATGTAAACAATGTAATTCATTTTTATTTTTTTCATTAATTAAACTGAATATATATATATCAATATTAGTTTCGATTTTTTACCAAAATATATTAATGAGTTGACTAAACCATATCAAACTCCAGCCTTATTCTTTTTTAGTGTTGACTTTTAGAGTATTTGTTGAATTCATCGAATATTCTTGGGATAAATAATGTGGATTATGACCCAGATTGGAAATACCATGGGGATTCCAAAGTTCCAACTAGTTGATCCTAAACACATTCATGATTCAGACTTGTGAATCTCTAAAGCATTCAACTTGCTCTTAATTAGTGATAATCAACTTTTATTTAATAGTTTACTATAGATGGTCATTAGTATATTTTATATACCAAGAGAATCTCTAACGTTTATTACCTCAAAATTTCATAATTTTGCTTGCTTTCTCTCTCTCTCTCTCATTCATGGAAGGAAACCCCTCATAAATATTCTCCTATGGAAAATTATATTTGATAAGGTGGTCTATAGATTAATAGAGAGAGAGAGAGAGAGAGAGAGAGAGAGAGAGAGAGAGAGAGAGAGAGAGCTCAACATAGCTGGGTGTTAAGCAGTTATGATAAGGTTTGATGGAGGAATATTCAAGGAAATATATTGGGGATAAATAACATGTGCATTTCATAACGAAAATATTGTATTTATGGGTGATAATCTACAAGTTATTTCAATAATACCCTAAATTAATATCAACTTACATATTTTTAAAAATAAATTTATTAATTTAGCAAGGCATAGTAACACTATGTAAGATTGGAATTGAATATTTTTTGCTCAAATTGTTGACATTATAAGTAATTTAAAAATATATAGCCACAAATATAAAGTAATATTAGGTATCTTAGTTAAAATCGTACCCAAATATTGACTTTGGAAGAAATTAGGATGGCATAAATAATATGCCTTGGGGCTTGATTAAGTCATTAAACTTATTTGTCACAAATAATAATTTTTTCATTGTGAAAAATGAATTATTTTTTTATGGGAAGCTATACTATAACTTTTTTTACTTTTTTACCTTTTTTAATATTTTCCGAAATCTTTCATATTTATTTCTAAGATATAATAAAAATTCTTAAAATCGTAATGCATGCATGGTACTCCCATTTATCCGGGGTCTAAAAAATATTATTCATACTGACCGGCGGGTCACGGCAGATCTTCTTTTAATATCCTTCTTCTGCTGTCTCCTCTATCCCTTTCTCTCTCTAGCACCTCTGGCATGCCAGCTCGAAGAATATCTCAACTTGGCCAAGTGGGGTCGTTTTTCTTTCATCCACGTGTCAATCGGAGGGCCATCCCAACCCTCGGGAAAGAGGAGGAAATCTACGGACTGGGCTCTATATATTTTTTTCGGGCTTTTCTTCTGGTCCGGCACTGCGAATAAAGGCCTTAAAGGAAATTTCACTTTTCGGGCTTCTTTAGGCCCGCTTTCCCCTGACTCTTAAAAGCCCGCTGTCCTCCATCTTATCTAATGTATAATTTGACCCGTGCCTGGCCCTTTAGACCCCCATTCTTCACATAAAAAATTCAAAGAAAACTTACTTTTTACGCTGGGCCCGGCCTGTTGGACCCCCTATATTCGGGCCTCGCTAGTAGGCCCGCTGTCCCTCTCCCACCGGGCCAAGTTGGGCCCGAACTCTTAAAAAATAGGAAGAGTGGCGGACCAGAAAGTTTCACACGTGTGCACGTGCTACACATCCTCTTCGGTGGTAACGAACTGCTATTTAATCAGCCCCATGAAGAGAGAACGACCACTGAAAGCAGTGGGAGGGCGCCCCGATTTAGATAAGACGATAAAGTATAATATATTTTTAATTAAAAAGTAGTCTTATTAATTTCCTGAAAATTGACCGTAGAAAATTAGTAGAATACCAAGGGTCTTATTCATAATTTTTCATAAATTATTAGGCAAACATTGGTCATCGCTCATATAAAGTTCTAGGTTAATCATGCAAATAAGTTTATATAAACCCATAAAATATGGCATGATTTTTTTAACCCAATTCGGAAGCAACTTAGTTTGATCCAAAATATGGGCTTTAAACCCCAGATCATTTTAATAATGGGCCCGTAATTATCAGGCCCAGAATATATATTTATATTTATAATTTTATGGACGATTTTTTAAAATATTAAATAATAAATTTAAAATTATTAAGAAAAATGAGGTGAAAAATGAGCCCGTAATCAAAATTATTTAAAATTATCTTGCTGAAATATTGCGTATAATTAAATAATATTTTATAACTAGGCGGCGATTCCCGGCACGGCGGCGGCTGTTTGGTGAGGCGCGGCCGGTGACCGCGTATGATGACTCGCGGACACATTTTAATTAAGACGCATCGTTCGTTAAGGTCCTGGTGCTGCCATGTGAGTATTAGTCTTTGTGAGAGGATCAGAGGGGGAACGGCGGAGCATTTGAACAGAAGTTTTCCCTCCTTCCGGCCTTCCCCTTCTGTTCATGTTCTTCATTTCCGTCCCCGCTGTAGAAGAGAGGAGAGGGAGAGAGAGAGAGAGAGAGAGAGATGGCGGGCGTGAAGGCGAAGATCGCACCGTCCATGTTGTCCTCGGACTTTGCGAACCTGGCGTCGGAGGCGGAGCGGATGCTCAGCAGCGGGGCAGACTGGCTCCACATGGACATCATGGTGTGTTTATGCTGGAATTCTCTCCTCTTTGGGCGAGCTCCTTGAGCTTTTCTGGTTGTCTGTGACTGCATTCTGGTTGAAATTTTATGTTCACTATTCCGCCGAGAAAGTTTCTGTTGGTTTAGGGGGATGTTTGCCGGGGAGAAATAATGGTGGCCGTCTTTACCTGTTCTTGTTCAATTTAGCTGCTCGTGCCGGGTAGAATGGGTGGTACAATCGACAAGTCGCTGGATTCTTTCGATGGAGATAGAATACTTACCATGAAGTTTAATGCTCTGTTTTTCTCCGCATCAACCTTTAGATACGATACGGTCATTCAACTTTCCGTGATTATTCAAAGGGTCCGGCCTACTTAATTCGATAATTTCTAGAACCTTTAGTGTTTACTTTCAAATCAGGAGTTTTGGCTGTAATCTGTCACCGATGTGCCCGGCTCGGAATCATCTGTATCAAATATTTTGAAAAAATCTAGTTTGAAAGGATCCCTTGCCCCTATTGTGCTATCTTCTCGTACATCTCAAGTATTTCAGTTCCCAGAATGTTTTCAGAATGTTTCTTTTTTTTGCAAATCCTTGTCTTGTAAACAACCATATTTAGAAAAAAAAATCTCGAGTAAGAGGTTCAAAAAATGTGTATTGGTACGAATTTTATGAGCATGACTAAAATAATTTGTCCCTTCGAAAATCTTGAAGGAAGTGGGTAGACACTTGAGTTATATTTTTTAATTAACACAAAGTAGTGTAATATTTATTTAAATCATAGCGGAAGGCAACAGTTAAAAGAAAGAGCGGAGTCGTACGAAAACTTGATCATTGCCCAACTACTTCTCTGTCTTTTCTCTCTTTTCTGCCCCTACGATAAAAAACCACCTGTTTTTAGCTTACAACACATTTTAGAATGCTTATAATAATTTTTTCCCTTTTGCAGGATGGGTAAGTGATGGTGCTGGCCTGGCAACTTGTAATCCCATACCCTTTTCTATAAAAAAATTTATGCATTGTGTCTCATGGAGATGTATTCATTTACAAATATGCTTGTGTTGTCTTTCTAGTGTGCATAGTTGATGGTGAGTACCATACATATTTATCAGAACATGGAAATCGTAAGTTACTGCCTCTGGAACGTAAATGAAGTGCTACCCTTATGTTATGTTGTTTTTGAGAACACTATCGTAAAACTAATCAATTTCGAGTTGATATCACACCCTACAGAGATTGTTTTATAATTTAGGATAAATAATTTTGATGCACGTTTCTGGAAGTTGCCAATTATTTGAAGAAATTTTAAAAAATTATCATCTACTATGAAATGTATTAATCCTGTAGCTTCGACCTAATGCAGCCATCCATAACCTGTTCTTAGTGGAGTAATTGGATTTCGATTCATTCATTGCCTAGTATTTCTCCTAGATAAACATTTCAGCTGATCCCCAGGGATTCCTGACACTGTACCCATACATTCACTGTGCATTTAGTAGTAATCGTTGAACGATGTCAATACATTGTGACTTATCCAGGATTTTAGATTTCACATTTGGTATTACCGAGATCAGATTTATGTGTTAAGACTTGCAAAGTTGTATGATGATGAAGTCATTATGTTTAGCTGTTAAAATTTGTATAACAATGTCACAAAAGTTTTATTTGGACAATCAGTGATCTGTTTGACATTTGTGGTGTCTACAACCTCACAACCTCCTGATAAAATTGCGGAAAACTTAAATGCATTGACGGTGACGATGATGAAGAAAAACATGTAACGTTTACCTGCTGTCAAACATCTTTAGTTTGTTTTTTCTTCTTATCTGAAGGAAACCTTTATATGTTTGGCCTTTCACTTCATATTTCTCTACTCGAATAAATTTTATTTTTCCTCTTATCTTAAGGTAACCTTTGTATGCTTGACCTTTTCGTTAAGCATTTAGGTATTCTCTTCCTTCCAAAATGTCAATACTTAAAACTCAGAATTTATAATGACAGTCTAGGATCTCCCATTTTATGTCATATTTCTCTACTCGAATAAATGGAATTTTTGGGCTCGATGATATGGTTGATGTTCTGATGGATCATTTTTTTCCCCTTTATTTGCAGCCATTTTGTACCCAATTTAACGATTGGTGCTCCTGTGATTGAGAGTTTGAGGAAACATACGAAGTAATTTTCCATTCTGTGCCAATATATACAGGTTATATAAAATGCGACTGTTGGAATCTGACAGCGGTGTTTTTTTTCCTTCCCTGTCAGAGGATATCTAGATTGCCATCTTATGGTTACAAATCCTATAGACTATATTGATCCATTATCCAAAGCAGGTGCATCAGGATTTACATTTCACGTTGAGGTGGCCAAAGGTATATCTTAGTTTTTGTCTCCGTCATTTAACTGATTTTATTGCTTACCTTTCTTATATAAGACTGGATGCTGTTCCAGATAATTGGCAAGAACTTATTCAAAAGATTAAGTCTAAAGGAATGCATCCTGGTGTGGCATTGAAGCCTAATACTCCAGTGGAAGAGGTTTATCCTTTGGTATGATTTTCCCTAGTCTACAATATCTGATAATATATCCCTTTTGACAAATTTCTGAATGAATGGCGTGCCCAAACTTAGTACATTACGGTAGGCATTGACAATAAGCGATCTGATTTAATTTTATTTCTAATTTTTTCCGGGGAGCTGTTTTGGGTGGGGGGGAGGAGGAGAGGTTTTTGGTTCCTCCCGAATGACTTTATATGTTAATGATTCCCAAAAGTTTTGCCAGATCAGGTGACTTAAAAGGCTCAATTTCCCTGGAATCACTTATTTTTTTTAATCACCCAGAAATTGGCTGATCTATCTCTGATTGGCTAGTTTCCCTGACCGATTCAATATGGCTAGGCTGAACTAAATGGTTGGCTGAATAGGTCTTTTGAAGACTCACATTGGGCGATTTGACCAATCTGGATTGGATCAATTCCAATCGCCATATTATTACACAATTGTGAGTTTGATTGCATTGTGTTAACTGGTGGTTTTAAGGCCATGAAAATGGATGACCTCGTGCAACATTATGACTCTTGTCAAGTTTTGAAATAGTGGTTAAATGTGTCAATCTCTTTTTATATCTAAATGGCTTCTATAAATTTTCTAGTTCTACACTGCATAGTCTTCAGCAATGATTTCAAGGTCAGCGAATGTCTTAAGAAACTTGTGATTTGGAGTATGATGTAAGGATTTTGAAAGATATATCAAATGTTGTCAATTGTAGGTATAACATTAATGTTCCTTCCTAATAGAACGTAACTCCTTGTGCAGCTCTAATCCTGTCAATTCCCTCTTCAAAGACATCTATCTATAATATATTTTTACAGACGGATCTATCCGATAATATATCAAGAAAGGTCAGGATTTTGTTGCCTGATGTGGACAACGTTTCGAGAAAGAAAACTGATACTAGGTGATAGAAGTTATGTCCCACTTAATGCAACCAAATTACCGGTATTCTATCTCAATGGAACTATTTATCTTTTACTTGCCTGGATAACCTAACTTTATCCCATTTTTTCAGAGAATGGCAATTAGATTAAGGGAAATTGGGTACAACAAAAATCTGCGTAGTGTCAAATGGAAATCCTTGCAGAAAGATAAGATGAGAAAATAAGCAGAAAGATGTTAAATTTAGGTTTCACAGTGTACAGTGTCTTAAAACGTGATAGTGGGTAGTCAGAATTGGTGACTATCAAAAATGTCGCACAAGTGCCACGTCAGCTGTGGGCTCATATTTTGGCTGCCAAGTGAGCATGCTGCCATGTGGTAGGCAGCTCAACCAACTTTCCACGGATGGCTCCTTCCACTCGTGTTTTTGTTATGAGATCACATTGTTTTTTTTTTTAATTCCATCAGTACTAATCCACTTGTTGCAGCCTTTTATTCTTCTTTTTCAACTTTTTTCTTAGTTGAGTGCTTGATATGTGTTTTAAGGGCTTCCTGCCCCTAGACAAGGGGTAGTGCTGATAGCTGAAGGCAGTGGTTGGTAGCTCCACGCCTAAGCCGCCATGCTCTTTCCTTCTTTATTTTCTCAGTATAAAGAAACGAAGGGGCAAGGAGTTAAGCTCCAAAGAAGAAAGATGAGTACCGTAGGGAAGAAAGATATTTGGCATCTTTTGTTATAGCAGTCTTGCACACTGTCACCTGGGAAATGAATACATTCTTGGTCTGTCATGTTTGACTGGAGCTCTCTTGTATACTTGTCCAAATTTCAACCCAGAAGATTTTCTCTTTCTTCCTCTTTCCAATGCTCTTTATATCAATTTACTCCAACTGGTGGCGAATAGGAAACTTCATGACTGTACGCTGAACCCATTGGCAGAGACTTGTAGCTGACAATCTTGGAACAAACAGCCCATCGACTATGTTCTTCTTGATGATAGGAATCAAACAGACAAATGACCCTCAGTTTTGATGCTTCGGGGCCCTGATTTCAACAATGTGGAAAGGCCTTCACGACCCTCTTGGAGAAAGTTAAGAGTATAAATTTTCATTCGAAAGACCTCCTCTAGGAGAAAGAACTTCATAACCCTCTCGGCATCAGGTTTAGCCTGCTATTTATGGGAGGAGCACGCTATCTGATGGGCTGGAATTTCGGCCTCATATGCTCCTAGAAAGAGTAGAGAAAACGTTGGGATACCCTAGAATCTTAGATAGACCCTCTAAATGCTCCAAGAAATAGCCTAGATAGTCAAGTATGCGAAAATCAGCAGAAAAAAATTCAAAAACTATATTATTCACCAAGTCCAGTCATGTGCTCATTTCAATTGTGGGCCTTGACTGATGCATGATCGACTCCAATGTCCTCGTCAGTTTTATGACGATCTTAAATTATTACTATCTTTTGATCTGTAATCCGTAAGATGATCATGTTTTAATAAATATCACCCATATTCCAGGACCATACAAGCCTGTTACATGAAATGCACCAAAGCCAAAGCAAGCCACTCCTGAAAGAAATAAATGAATTCCAAAGATTTTGGGCAAATCCATCGCATTGAAAAACCCCATACGTTTATCTCTGACGACACCTGAGAATAGAATATTTATATAACGTAGAGCTTTGGTCTGTCAAATTCTTATTCGTCAGGTTCTTGCAGAGAGGTTTTGGAAGGCTCTTTCTTGACACAAGTTAATAGCAATTTTTAAATTCTAGCTGCTATTTTTTTTATATAGTTCCCTACAAAAAAAGGAAATTATAAATTGATTTCGATTTCATCCTTCACAGGTTGAACATGAAGATCCCGTGGAACTGGTGCTTGTCATGACCGTGGAACCTGGCTTTGGTGGCCAAAAGTTTATGCCAGAAATGATGGAGAAGGCATGATTCCAACTTCTCTCATTCATTTCCAGAGCACCCCTCATTGTTCTATGTTGTAGAACATTTCAATTGCTTAATTAAATATTTTTCTAATAAATGACGATTGTGCATATCTGAACAGGTACGCTCATTGAGAAATAAATACCCTACTCTCGATATAGAGGTAATTTTTTTTCTTCCCCTCTGCATTTTTCTTCTGAACCTGTATTCCAATCTTCAATCCAAATGCCATTATCCCTATTAACTAGCCTCTTCAGATCAAACAAGAGAAACACAAAGTAGAAATATTTTAACCTGAATAAATATTATATCACGCATTAAATTGCAGAATTGGATCGTTTTAAATCAAGAGACAAGATCCCCAACACTTTTCTTTGATGAGTTTGCGATTACCTTGAAATGAAGATCCCAATGTTGGGCATCAGTTTTAGGCAAAATATATGAACCAAATAATTATCTCCTCTGCATAACGTGCACATGATGCTTGTTTCTCCTCAGTATCTTAATTTCCGTCAGACATATATGATTAGTTTTAATTTGCTTCAAGGTTCTCCATTTTCCAGTGATGATACTATTTTATCCTTTCCTCATATGTTCCTTCCTTTCCCAACTTAGACCCTGAAGCCTGAAAACTTCTTCTGAATGCCCACCGTCGAAAGGCCTGGCCTGGTCTATCAATGACTCCACTTCCATTGATATGTACAGTGCTCATCCCTTTCAAATATCTGAACCTTCTCAGCTTCTGTTGTTCTTCGAATTGACTGCCCTTCCTCCACTCCAGCCCACCATTTGAGAACCTTACTAAAACCCTCAGGCTCTTCGCCAATGGAACTCCTCATTGAGACAATGAGCAATGCCCTCTTGGCTCGTTGTATGAGGGAGAAATAGTTACAGAATATCAATCACAGAAAGCTCTGTAGAAACATTCACAATCTTCACCTTCAAGCTGTTCTCCAGTGGAACTCCTCATGGAGACATTGAGCAATGCCCTCTTGGTGGCAGAGTATCAATCACAAAGGCTCCCCATTTTCTTCTTATGGAAAGCATGGAAAGCTCTGTAGAAACCCTCACAATCTTCACCCTCAGGCTGCTCTCCAGTGGAACTCCTCATGGAGACATTGAGCAATGCCTTCTTGGTTGCAGAATATCAATCAAAAAGGCTCCCCATTTTCTTCTTATGAAAAACAAGAAAAGCTCTGTAAAACCCCTCACAATCTTCACCCTCTCTTCTCATCTCCATGCCTAATTTTTGTAAAATGATGAAGGTCGACGGCGGATTGGGCCCTGCAACCATCGACGTGGCCGCATCAGCCGGAGCAAACTGCATAGTGGCCGGGAGCTCAGTGTTCGGTGCAGCAGTGCCGGCCCAGGTCATATCCACTCTGCGGAATAGCGTGGAAGCTGCCCAGCTGCCCAGCAGCTGAGGATACCCGGCCATGGCTCTGATACAATCTGAATCCCCTTAATTACTCAGTCTTTGCATTAATTTCTCAAGAGCTGGAGGAAGAAACGGAGAGATTGTTCCCTTTTTCGTGCATGTCATTAAATATATGGAGATCATAAAAAATAAAAAATAAAAAAGAAGCCAGGAGCCAAGGGATTGGAGCTCTTATCCGTTGACTCTGTTCATTCCTCAACCCAAGTTTTCACACACTTAGCTTGTGGAGGATTGAATCTCATGTAAGAAGAGGGTACATGGATTTTTGTATAAATGTCCTCCAGTCTGTGTAAACTATGATTAGAGTCAACCGGAGCATGGTGAGATATCCTGATGTTTTTGCCATTAAAGGTCATTAGGCCACCCAATTCAGGTAGCTGCTGGTGGCAGAGCTGAACCAGCCCACCGATCAGCTGATACTATAAGTTGTTGATATACATGTAGACACCTAATATATATTGGCTTTATATATTCACTCACAGTAGTAGTTGTCTACCAGAAACAACTTACCATGAACATCACTAATCTTGGCAAATTCTGCTGTAGAGTGAGCTCCAACATGATGACAATTTTAGGACTGTTTCAGCGTTGACTTCCTGAGGAAAACCCCAACACAGTCAAAATAACTAAAAATGGAAAAAACAGGAGTATAAGTATAGGTTACATTGATTCAACTTATCCGAAGATCTTCCCACCACTAGTGAGAGACGCTGGAACCCCTTCACCGGATGCATCAGTGTCAAAGCTCATACTCTCCCCAGCTTCGCTATTTACATAAATAGAAAGGCCAGCTGACACTAGGCCACAAGGGTTGACTGTATGTGGGCACCCCCATTGGTTCATACTTTAGTTTACTTTCTGACAAAGGGGACAAGCTGTAATTAGCTTTCACCAGTGGGTTCTTCTCTCCAAAGGATGGAGGGCCATCTAGGGTTTTCGCTGCACCTCCCGGAGTAGAATTTCTTCAATGGCGTCTGCAAAGTGGGGCAGATGGTGCCGAACTCGGGCGTCCAGCGAGTTGACTCGTTCCTGACAGGGAGGTAGCTCCGGTCACTATTGAAAAATGTATGGAAGGGGCATCCAACCACAGAAGCCTCCACCCACAAGAAGATACTTTAATGAAAATAAACCACCAAGAAGCTGCAAAGATCATAAGAAACCCCCACCTAAGGGGATACCTGGGTGCAAGAGTATGGAGAAGAAGATCATCGGATTGGGCCTAGCCTGGCCAGTTTCTATCTCTAGAATAGATTTCAAGGCCCAATACTGAGCAATGTTGGGCCGGAGTATTGAGCTTAGAACACCCATGCTATGGATATAGGCGTCGAATAGGGAGAAAACAGATCCAGTGGTTATTTTCTCTTGGTTTCCAAATCAGAACGCAATTCTATGAGCGAAGTGAAGGAATGGGTGAGGAACGGGACCGGATCGGGCTGGGTCTGGAGATTTTCTATTTCTAGACTTGTTTTCAAGGCCAAATAATAGCAAAACTGAGCCATGCTTGGCCGAACAATTGGGCTTCACAGGGCCATTGGCGTGCAAGCTGAGGATGCTAGAGTCGAACAGGACAGCAAGCAGCTACGGTGGTTCTCTTCTCTTAATTTCTAACTGAAAAACGTAATTAGATAAGCGAAATGAAGTAACTTTCACCTTGATCTTGTAGAGTGAAGCCAGTGAGATGCCCTTCGAATGAATATCCAGGCCTTTCATTGAGATCAAGTGCAATCCAGAGGGTGATATCGGCCACCCAAGAGAAATCTTAATGAAAGCGTCAATTCCCCCCACCAAATGAGCTATCACAGTCTCATCCTTGTCTGAGTACTCAAATGAATGCCTAAAATGGAAATACCATCGCTGCAAATTAAAAACATGAGAGAAAACAAAGTGGGCATATGTGGAAGGAAGATGCTAGATCAAAACATTTCCCAAGAACAAAAACAAAATTAAGTGGCTAAAAAACATATATTTCGGCTCATTATGAGTTGAACCTTCCGTGCCATTTACAAGTCCCACATTCTGCTCTTTTGCTCAGAGATGGTCACCACACAGTGCCACCATTAGATCATCTCTTTCTGACCCATGAAAAAAAAAAAGCTCATTTCAAATGTGTAGCCCTTCCAATTCTAGCAAAAATTGTTGCCATTCCTCCTCACCACTCCACTAATTTAAACGATTCAAATGTTCTCTTCTGTCCACTTCGTTGTCTCCATGTATGCTTTTTGGTGAGCTACTCTTCCATTTTTAGAATCCTTAATAATCTGGCAGCTAGACCAGCTATTACGCATTAGAATTCATTACTTTTCCGGTCCCTGTTGTTGAAGAGATTGGGCACTGGATCCAAGTGTGGTCGTGATGATGTCTCCTACTTTCCTCTTTGCACCCTTCTCTTTTCTCTGTAACAGGGATTCCTCCGTCCGCACTTCTCTCTCGTTTTTTGTTTCCCAACCTGCAATTTCCCCAACATAGTCGTGTCACGATTGTTCTTTGTTGTATTGTAACAAGACTCCAGCATCATATTTATAACAGCTACTTCTAGTTTGTCTAAGATTTTCTTGGTAGATTAAATCTCTATCCTCATGAAATATAGATAATTGATTGCCATTGTAAGAACAATTTTTTCAATCTAGGAATTATCCACTGATAAGTCCCTTCCTTCAGCAATCTAAAGAGCATTTCATGTCCTGTCTGTCCTTAGCCAATTTCCGGGGATGATTCTTACCATTTTTCTCCAAAAGCCCAACAAAAGAATGCCCAAGTAGCAGGAAGCCCTGTAATTATCAGTCCCCATCTTGAAATCCATACCCTGTCAACCCATCAAAGCCGGGTGATCCCTATCAAATTTTATAATTTGACCTACAAGGTTATAAGTGGCATCCAAACTGCAATATCAGTCAATGGGTAGAATTTGACCACCCGTGTTCCCATCTCAACCTTTCGCCATCATCACCCTGACTTCACATTACACCAACAACGTTTAAGATGTTCACAGAGATTGGTTTTCTCAAGCAACGACTTCTAAGAAAATTCTTCAATTAGTCAAGCACTATTCAAGTTATCGGCTGATCCAATATGCATCATTTGTTTGATTTTGTTAACAATTGATTTTTTGAAAGCACAAACCTATATCAGTACCTTCATTCTAAGGATTGCCACGTGTAAGACAGGGATTCTATCAACAAACACAAGAAAAGATAAGTGATATTCTGAAAACGAATGTGAAATAAACTATCCAGTTCCCAGGCGGATAACTGGCACACCAGCAGGAACTTGTGATTGTACAGCAGTGAGATTTTCATAATAACACTGAAACTGAAAATTCTTTGGACATTCTTCATGATATTCAAGTTTAAAAGTGGCATTGGACATCCAGTTAAGGAAAACGATGAGTTAAATTTGAAATAGAAGATAAACAGATAAAATATAGAGCATTTTTCTCCATGTAATGTTGACTTCTCGAATGTGCAGAGATGAGGAAGATGCCATTTCCACATAAGATAACATATAACTGCAGAAATAGGTCTAGCTAGGAAGTTGTTCGAACAAGATACACGAGCTCCATACATCAGTATGCACACCTAGAATATATTAGAGCACAAATGGAACATATGTTCAGCGTATCAAATATCTCACCTCGATTTGTTTGCATCCTTTACCACAATGCGTCGTACATTGCAAATAAAAATTTGCTGCCTAATTTTTCTAACCAACCATTCTAAAGACGACTTAATTGGTCGATCTGGGTACAAAGAAAATGTCTGTCTGCAGGAAAGAAAAAAGGTGAATCAATGACAGAATTAAACATCGACTCCATTCGCTAAGAAATTTATGGAAACACTGCGTCCAAAATTACAGGCCAAACAGGTAGAACCAGAAAAAACTGAGAGAAAGAGTCAACTAGTGAACAAAGTCGGCCTCCACAAGAAAAACATAGCAACCGTGAGGACGAGAGTACAAATTTCACACAGGACTCTCCCTTATTACAGTACTCAGTTACATGAATATCATCACCATTGGGCCCGGTAACACATACGAATGGAGGCTTGAGAATGGCAATAATCCAAGCAAGGTGTGGTGTGAACATTAAGTGGCCGAAAGACTTGACACTCTCTTTACTCCTACTCCGATTATACAATTGAGCAAATCTCTAGCAACTCCATGAAGCGTATCCCCAAAATCCCATCCCCAAATAGAGAAGACCAATACTTCGAGCAATTATTGTTCCCATTAATCGACTCTGTTTCCATAAAATAATCCTGCCAAGTGTAATTGAAGATTATCAAAACTGATTCACCCAAAAAAAATCATTGTATCAGCCAATTTGGATCAGTATTCAAGGTCCTCCACGCGGTTTGAAGGGATGAAACGAAGTTACACATTGAAAGAAAAAACAGCCAGAGACTAGACAATCTCCTTCGGATCAGCTGACAGTTCGACATCTAACAGAGTAGGGATAGGTTGATTCCAGGACAGATCACCAGGCCAAATCTCAGCCAACGGAAGAAACAATGAAGGGGAGGAAAACATCAGAAAAACAAAAGAAGAACGCAAGAAGAAGTGAGAAAACATCTCATTTTGATGTCGCCTACCCTTCATAGCCCATCACCTGTTGAGCCATGGCTATCTGCGCTGCCAGACCTCGTGGGAACAAGATTTTCTCTTTCCGTCCCTCTTCCACCAAGAAAGGGAGAGAAGGTCTTAAGAGGCGTTTCAGAGTAAAATAAGTACCTTAAGGATGCCTCCTTTTGTACAATTGTACTTTTTTTAATACCTTCAGTTAGAAATATATTTGCATTAGTCCTTTCATTTTTTTTTCTAAATTGTTACTCTTGTTTTTTAACCAAAGTCAGCATTCACCTTTAGATCAGCCAATGACCAATTTAGTAGAATTGGAAACATGAACTGGCCTGCATTATGTACACCTTATAGAGACCTTATGGATGTATTAATATCTGCTCATGGTCCTAAAATGCTCTTATCAAAAACCACAGGCAAAATATCCTCATCTTTAACAATGGCATGCAAAAGAGAATGTCACCAAATGAAACAACTCAAACATACTGCTTTTGTAGTACAATACAAACCCAAAAGACCAATACAATTATAAGCTATGAAAAGGTAATTACGATTTCTAGTTCGCACACATATAATTTCCCTTTCCAAATGCACCCCTCACAATCTAGATTCAGTAGACATTTCTGCCCTTTTCCAAGTATTTGGTACTATTTTTATCTTGCAGCTCAAATTCTCTTCATACGTTGCGGATTGTGTGAGTTACAACAATATATAGGGAATTTTTCAATAAATCTTTAACAGAAACGTACCTTGACGATTTGGCTGCAGTAATAACATTCTCCAAATATACATCATTTGGGAAAATCTGAAGAGACGAATGAAAAGAAGTAAGATAAAAGAAATAAAACTGGTACAGGTTAAAAAAATCTAAGGCCAATTTTACATTAGTCTCATTAAAGTTAAATATACACAACCAAACGAGGTTCAGAATACATAGAATCATTTAATCTACCAGCTACTGAGGCGACATATTTCTCCACAGGCATGCCTGCACAGTCCCTTGCACCTAAATAGGTTTGAGTTGCATGGGAAAGGCCGTGCTGTTGGACAATAGGATTCTAAAGATATTGGCAAAATTTTCTGAGCTATAAACAACTAGTGTAATGTTATTTATATTTTCTACAATTTCAAGATACCTAGTTGTTTTGAGATCAGCTGTCCTCCCACTCTTACATGCTAGCCCACGTTTTACCTCTCAGTTTTTTTTTTATTCATAAACAAGAACCTTGTTCTAGATGCAATGAGCTTTGTTGCTCTTAAATTGCCTTATTTCAGTACGATTCAATCAAGGATGGGATCCCACGGAAACTCTACATATGAGAAACCAAACGTCCTCAATTTCATCAAAGAGAATTTTAGAAGAGAATAATCAAAAGAATTGTCTCCATCTGACATGGAATTACAAAGATTGTCTCCATCTGACATGGCATTACAAATGTTGTCTCCATCTGACATGACATTACAAAGACTGTCTTATCTAGAAGTTAGCCTCAACGACACTCAATCACAAGAAATTGACAAGAATAAGCATGCATCCGCAACCATCGCAGACATATCAGCAATCACTCATATATTGGTCGATTTAATCACAACCTATTGCTTTGCTGTGCTTCCATGGATAGGCATAGTAATCATAGAAGTAGAGATGTAAACTCTCAAGATCCTACACTACAGAGGAATGCACTTAAGTAATGCTAACTCTTGTGGATATCCTAGTACTCTGATGCCGGAAATAGATACATTGAATGCTCAAACCACGTGCTTATATCATAATGACAATGAACACAGCAAAATCTTTGAGATCACTTGTTTGCCTGACTGTTTTTCTCTTTAAAGCTTACATACAGTAGCTACCTAGTATCGTGACTAGGATTACTTCGTTGGCATATCTAGCAAGCCACCATCTCATACGAACTTTCACATTTTTTCCTCATAAATACCCCATGAACGCCAGCCATAGGACCTTTTGATGCAGTACTTTCCACTGATTCACAACCCTCGCCATTCAAGCTGTAGCATGCGGGTCATTCATACAGAAAACTTTTTTTATACTTTTTGTACACGTCAGCATTTTGCACTCATTTTCATGCAAAATATTCATCGTGATACTTTGGCAGCTTTTATACTCATCCAGCATTTTCATCTGTGTTACTGAGTATCAATCACTCTCACATTTACAATTTCCCAGTCGACAGAGGTCCCAGTAACTTTTCCATCACAACAACATTAATTCAAGCTTTCTCTCAATTGGTACATCCTAGACTACATAACTTCACTAAGTACAGATGGAATTCCATACACTCTCAATCAACATTGTTGTCACATTTGCTTATTGTCATGTTTTTTGTTTCCCATTGTATGCTAGTTTGATCATCCAGGGTGCATCCTCATTTTTCTATATATTGGACGACAACAGTATCATGCCTTGACGGATTTTACTGATATCTTCTAGACATATATTACCCAAGTTAAGCTTTACGATCGTCTAAAAAGTGCATGAGCATGCAAATTCTATGTACTCAAGACATGCCTTCGTTTGTATGTTTAGAGCATAAGTGTAAGGCATGGTCTGTGGAATCGGACGATTAGGACAGTTGACATTTACAAGGAAGAAATCAAGAGAGAAAATCAACATCTATCAACCCCCAAACTGACTGGCCGCTATGTCCATCATTGACAACTAATATTGCCAAAAAAATCAAGGGAAAAAAGATGAGGAAGAAACAAACCAAAAAAAGGGTAAGAAAGGTGTAGCAGGTGAAGGGCAGAAAGAACAGCAGCAGGGTAAGAGATGAGAGAAGGCGAAGGACAAGGGAGATATGAGAAGGAAAAAGAAAATTTAAAAAAAATATAAATAACCGGTACTTTTGAAATGTTTTATAGTCAACACAGGATAAATAGGTCATCATGCCAATAAGAAAGCAACTTCTGAAGGTTATCCCCAAATATGTCTAAAGGTAAAAGCTTCTTCCTAATTAAAGTTTCAAATTTAGAACTTTCATATATTTTACCTATTTACTATACTTCTTTGCGCTTATTTATGTTTCATTCGTAAACCATATTTTCCTTTATCCTTGTTAACCAGATTGCCCAGGAACTTATAAGAGTCTAGATAGATGGTATGCCAGATCGCTTCACATGGTCCTTGAAAGAGTAAGGAAGGTTGATCAGCTCTAACACAGTTTAACTAAAGTTCTATTATGAAGTGTATGGCAAAACTAAGGTACAACTAATAGTTGTTCATTTGTTTTCTTAAGAATTTTTAAGTAATAAACTACAAAGTTCATTTAACATGCAACAGGAGAAAATACCTCAATTTTCTTTAGCTCCACTGTCTCATCTTCGACTTCTATTACTAATTCATGGTACACAACCAATGGCTCTATGACGCAGTCCAATTTTTGTCCTAGTAGAGAAACATCCGAACTAAAAATGGGTGTCCTTATGGACAGCCTAATACAATTCCCTTCGAATTCAATCGGCTTTACATCTTCAGACAACATGTCCAGAATTTGCCCAAGTGCTTCATTCCTGCAAAGTAAAATCAGCTGACATAAAGTGAACCAGACATGGCATATAATTGCATCACTTCTAATTTATTAACCACAGAGAGTCGGTGATCAACAAAAGTAAAAATTGGAAGTCTCAAATGGGAAAATAAATATTAGCACGTTAAACCATCTAAGATGATGGAATAGATTACCACTGCCTTAAAAATTGTCAAAAAAATATATTTTTGTAACACATAGGATTGCGAAGAGCTTAAACTCCCCCATCAAACAAAAAACGAGACATTCCTACCATCATGTAGTAACATAGGTAGAAGAAATTACTACAGTAGTCAAAGAGAAACAAAAGGAAGTGCTGAGGATTATGCAGAAATTTTTGGTGCAAATAAATATTAAAATATTAGACGTTGCTATGAATAGAACGAGCCAATTGACTACAACATTCCCCGATTAAATCAAAGAAAAACAAATGCTCTCAGCTTGTAAAGCCAAACATCCTATTCTAGGCCACTTTTTTTTCATACCAAGGACTATTCATTCAAAATGAAACGAAATTTTATCCTCAAAAAGCCAATCAAACCCCCATCAGCTAATTTGAGTAAATCAGCTTCTATGCGAGTGTAGTTCATTCCAGGTGCATTGCCAATAGTTCTGGCTAACATTGGTGTCATTAGGCCTATCAATCACTATAGAAGAGAGAAGAAAGAGGAAAGAGGGACAAAAGAAATTGAGCAAACAGACAAGAAAAGAGGAAGCAAAAACAAGGGAAACCAAGAAAGCAAACATCAAACTAAGGGAGAAAAAAAAAGAAGGGAGAAGGGGGAGAAGGATCCGCAGAAGGTAGTAGGTTCCTACATTTACCTCCATAGGAAGAAATAGATAATTTCCTTCATTCAACTCTTCTGTGTATCGATTAACACATAACCCAATGCTATTTAGGAAGGATTAAAAACAGATTTGGGAAACGTGAATTTCAGGTGGTGCAAAAGAGATTTTTTTTGCCTGATTCCAGTGATTAGAGAATTTTTTGCCTTCAATTGCATGCAGGAGTGCTACTTGATATTTTAGACCAGGGAAAGCCAACAAAGCATTTATTTCACGTATAATAAGCATATATGAGGATACCATTGGGAACATACGAAGACATTACCAATATATTTAAAAAGCAACTACCTCTTGAAAACAGAATCAAGCATCTGCAACTGAGTTAAGTAATGATTAGTCTTCTCAATCTGGTGGTCGAGCTGAAAAACCTGAAAGATGTATTTACAATCAAAAGTAAACGATAGAATATTTAAATGATAAGTAAAAAGCAAAAAAACGGAACAAAAATCGTAAAAATATCATAATAACGGAACAGCTGACATGTCGTGACTGAAGAAACAAGTCGAAGAGGAAAAAGTCAAAGTAAAACCCGTTTCAGAATATAAAATGTTTCGTGTAAGATTTCACAGAGGCAAAGCGGTGGCTTAGTCTATGGCAACAATTAACCTAATACAAGTTTTCTTCCCAAAGAGACTAACCAATCTTTATAGCGACCCTAATCTTGATTGATAGCAATCTTGTTTAAATAAACACAAAACAGCTTAGGAGAAACATGCAACATCTCTGAGAATGATGGAGGGCATTGAAAATGTAATAGGAACCTTGAGAAGATCACTTGAGCATGTATAAGTCTTTAACAGGATAAGCTTCGAGGTCTTGAACTTTGAAACCGTGGAATCCAATTAGATTCTCATATGATGGAGCTTACACTCTGGGTGGGGGAGTGGCCTATCCACTGCAAGAGAGTCAACTCCAAATGACTATGAAAAACAGATACTTTTCTACCTTTGCCTCCAACTTGTACAAGTTCCGATGACATGTCCCCATAGAATTGAAAGGCCAACTTTTGTCATATAGGCTTTATTTTTAGGTCCTTCTTACCATAAAACCTTTTTTTCTCTGCCAAAAACTCATCCACAAAATAGGTCCAAGTTCTTTCAATAAAATAGGGTTTCACAAACTTATGGAGTACAACTTGCACGATCCTATCAACTTACAAGAAAATCAAGGGCAATATTGATCATTACTAGGATCATTTGATCAAGTATGTTTCTGACTTTCATGATTGATGTTGATTTACTCACATATAATTCTTAAGAAAAATATCCACAATTAAATGAAGAGTAGCCTTTTAAACGGGGTCAAGCTACACACTTGAAATCCAAATTCTCCATGCCGAGTTTCTGAAGATGCGGAGATACTTCAGATACTGAAGTCATCAACTTCAGCACAAAGGTCTTAGGGAAGACCCAAATCCCCTCATAGCATATAAGTAATTACCATATTCTTGGAATGAATACCCTTGGCAATATAAGAGAGGTAACAGAAGTTAACACAAAATATTCTGACTTAAAAATTTGCAAGATAGTGAGCAACCAATGTTTACCTTAAACTTTTCCTCTTCACATGCATAGGTTGTGCTTTCTTGATGGTCAACACCCAGTGATCTGCAACTAAGCGTGGGACCTTGAGATTTGTCAACATCCTAAACAAGAGATCAAGAGCATTATGCACTGATGTCTTTAAGAAAAATACTCAAGCTATAAATTACAAAAAAATCATCACGTTCAGATGTTTGCAACAAGAATATACGAGTTAGAGAATAAAAAAACGCCATACATAGACGACATGAAAGTGCCTGAAAGTGGATTCTAGCATACAGCAGCTCTGTTATCTTCACATACAAAATTGCGTGGGTAAAGTGGTGACAACACAACGAGTGGAGGAAAGCAAAATAAAATACAAAATAAAGCCTAATTTACTTACAATGGGAAAAATTTACAGACAAATAGATAGCAAACGACAAATGAACAAAGTTTTTCTTTAGATACATAACAGCGAAATTGTATATTGATTTCCGATCTATCAACAAAACCTTAGGATGAATCGAGAATTTACGAGCACTTTAAAAATCAAATGTTTTCCTGCCCAAAACCTTGTGACAAAAAAGTCGATTTTCCAGTCCAACTCCCAAAAGTCAGCTTGCTTTCCAAGATAGCAAGTCAATCCAGTTCCAATAACTGCATTGATGAACAAGCCACACTTTGTGGAATAAACTTGGGTAAGAAAAATTCAAGCATCAAAATGACTCTCATTCAAACCACCATGAAATGATGTTCAAGCCTGGATCTGAAAGAAAAAACACTAGTTATACTAGGCTTAATTCTACTTCTTAATGCCGTTTTCCTTCCAATAAACGTTGGGAAAACAGTCAAATGTATAATAAACACTAAAATTGTGTAGAGTAGAACAAAGATGCAATCTGAGCTACTGAAATGCACAAAGGGGCAATACTGAGTACTAACCAGAATTTCACTGGTAATAATTATGTATATTGAAACCCTCACAGGAGCATCGAATGAGAGACCGTCCAAAGCATAAATCCCATATTCGTATAGGGTAGATGAGATGAAGCACATAATTTGCTTCCACTGTCCCAAGATTTACGAGACAACTAAGATTGCAAGATACACACCATAAATCATTAAATTATATGCAAGAAGTTCAACTTCATGATATCAAGGATAAAGTTCAGAAGCAAAGAACCCCTTACAACCCGTTGTACAACATAAAACTTTGCAATTGGATTCCAAGATTATGAAAAATGTGTGTTATAATAATATAAATACGTACCTCCGATTTTTTTGATTTAAATAACAAATCCAAAGCAACAAGATCACCATAGAGTTTAGCAGAATCTGCAGATAAGAAAATGATCACGATATATCATACAAACTAAACCGATAATGAAACAAAAAAAACTACTAACCTTCATTAACGGCTCTCATAACACCCGCTATTTTATCTTCAGTTTTTCTGTTTTCATCTTCTACTAATGTAAGCTCCCTCTTCAATTGCTCTAAAAATTTTCCTGTAATGGAGTGAACCAGATTATGTCATTCTGACTAACTTTAGTTCATGCATTATATTAAAATAATATTTTTCAAAAAGTTCAGAGAACCTGAAGAAAGCAACAGATTCTAACTCATCTAAAGTCAGACTAGTCATGACCAATGAGCCTTAGGAATAGAATAATGCAGAATGCTATCCTGCACACATTCTGTCAAGATTTAAGGTTAGTATGGTCGCTTAGTACCTTAATATATTTGTTTCTTTATTTTTATTCGAATTTCAATTTTTTTTCTTATGCACTTCAATTAAAATTAGGATAGTTTCGGTCAAATTGTCCAAGACATTTTCAAAATCCTGTCGTCCAAAATCCCATGGCGAAACATAAATTCGTGTATAACGTCAGCCCTGTTCTTAAAGCTACTCAGGAATCTCCCCCACGACAGAAAAAATAAATTAAGGGGCAATTTGAGGTGATTTATAGAGTCACGATCGGTAAATTTAGGTTAAATATCTGTTAAATACGTAAAAATCATATGGGCATTTGCAATGGAAAGTTTCAAACACTAAACAAGAGAATAATGCAGCCGCTAACTTACCTGAATCCTCACTGTCCAAGGAGGCAATGGTCTCGTCTTCTAAGTCGATTTCATTCCGCGCTCTCTAGCAGACAGACATTGTAGAAATATTTTAAAAAAAAATATTCAGCTACATATAAAGCCGAAAAAAGGGAAGATATGGACGGAAGGAAAAATATGCACGTATAGTACACAAGCATATACCAGGAGTTCGGCAATGCCATCTTCCAGAAAGCTCTCAAAATTCGAGCTTGCCTCATCATTGTCGAAGGTGTCTGCTCCCACGCTCTCAAACAACTCATTCAAACGGCTGGAACACGCAGCAAACAGGGAACATCCAAAAAACAGTCGCATGCATCAAGTCCGTCGAATGAAAACAGAGAAGGTATGAAAGATGAGGAGTGCGCAGCATCGACTTGCAGACCTGCGAAGCGTCTCAATGTCGACGGCTTCGTCGCCGTCCGGGGAAGAAGAAAGGGTTTCCGGCATTTTCGACTCTCACAATACTCTTCCCCGCGCCCGTCCCAGACTGTAGAACATTTAAAAACCAGCCCGTCTTTTTGCAGATACATCCTCAACACTATTTTTTTTATTGTTAACTCCTCCAAATCTTTAGGCCCATCTGAGAAGCCCATATTCCTGGCCAAAACTTGAACTAGCATTACAAATCATGAGCTCTACCTAAGTATCCTGGGTCTTCTTACCAATGTTTTCCAAGACATAGTGTCTTAGGGTTAGGCTAAGTGTGCCTTGCCCTCTTCACCCTATGCCAGCTTTAGTCACCCCTACTAGCACCCAAGCATCGTCTTCTCTGTGTAGGAGAATCTACTCACTTAAAAGGATGTGTATTCCACTTCTCAAAGTATCAATACACCAATCTACCTAAGTATCCTGAGTCTTCTTACCAAAGTTTCCCAAGATCTAGCATCATAGGGCTAGGGTAAGTGTGCTTTGCCCTCTTCACCCTATGCTAGGTTTAGTCACCTCACCTTGTGGCACCCAACCATCCTCTTTTCTCTGTGTAGGAGAATTGACTCACTTAAAAGGATGTGTATTCCACTTCCCAAAGTATTAATACACCAATTTGGGTAGGCTGGCCTACTTTTTGAAAATATCATCCTCTATTTATGAGGGAGAGCAGAGTCAAAGCTTTTCTTGATTTGACATTAGAAAAGGGGTTTCCCTATTGGGTGGAGTTGCTTGAGATGGCACCTTTTTCCTGGTAGGTTGTGGGCTCCACAAAGTGATATGAATGGCTTGCATGTTACCCCTTGTCATGTGTACACATGGATGATATGTAGTCATGGGCACATAGACATTTAATGCTGTGCAATGCATTGTACTGGATCTCAATATAGTCATGATGCATTGAGCAACTGTCATGCCACATCATGCCAATGTCATTTGAGGTTTGTGAAACACTTCCTCAAACCTATTTTGTGATGGTAGAATCGTTCTCTTGAGCTTTGCACATGCATGTGTGCTCTATGTGCAGCCACACATATGTTGTGCTATGTTAACATCATGTCACATTTGTGCTAGCGCCATGCATTGCCCACACACACTTCACCTAGGTGGTGTGGACCGCCCCAGTCATGTGTGCTCATGTGAGAGACACCATACTCATGCCTGCCTTGTCATGTTGTTGTGTGTTCCTTCACATGCATTGTATTTCCAAGTGTGCCATATTCCGACAATGTGCACCCACATGGATCTCATGCTGACAATGCAATTCTGCTCCTTAAACCTAGATTAATTGAGTTGGGTTTGTTGGCCTTAAGAACCTACATATGCATAATCAAATGATAAAATTACTATTCTTGATTAAAAAAGCATGGGAATTTAAAACTTGCATTGAAATTTATTATTATCACCCAAACACTCATGTTACAAGTATTAATTATATTATATGTGAAAAGATATTTATCATGTTTGAAGTGTGATATTTAACATTAATAATTTGATGTTTCTGAAAATATCTTAAAATAACCCAAAAGTATTATTTTATCTAGGCAACATATTGTTCAATCAAAATTATAGATGAGACCCATAGGTTAGAAATGATATTTTTTTTGTTATGAAAATGCTAGGATGAAGATGTGAACATAATATTATATTGTGAGAATTTAAAACTAAAGATAAATGTTAAAATTGTACTTAAAATCATTTTTTAGCTTTGAAGTTAATTTTCTTGATACCCACATTTGAAATAATGATTAAACATTTTAAGAAATCACAAATGAGTGGTGTAAAGTTTTGATAGGAAACTTCAATGGTGATATTCTATGATCAAACTTTCGGACACCCTTTGGGAAATGCTGCCCATATATTTCTTTTGTGATGATTTATGTTTTATTTTTATTTGAAAACTTTACTTTATTTCAAGTAATATTCACCGATTACCTTTATGAGTATGCATCCAAATTTGGGTTTTACCAGATTCATTATCACTAAATACATCCATTATGGTTTCAACGTTTTATTATTGGTTTATACGTGAAGACATATCCAAAAATATAACATTGGATATTTAAATTATATTTTTGATGTTCAAAGAAAGAACATTGAGGAGGTGGAAAACAAAGACAAATCAGATCAAAATTACATCTGTAAATTATGCATTTCTCATCTATTTTAAACAAATCTTGATTTTCTGGCCTATGATGCTTTTCATAGTAACATTTTGCATTATCTAATGCGAATAAGTTTGACTATAATTTGAAAGCTCAAGTCATAGTCATGGAGACCGAGAGGTTGGTATTACAAACCGATCAATAGAGCATTCCATCCTAATCACAAGTCAAGGAGAGGATCAAAAAGTCAAAAACAATTGGTCAACTTCATTTTCGAAATCCATCAACTCGTTGACATCCATTCTTTCTTAACTCACCAACCGTGGTAAAATATTTTATTATATTAATATTCTCGTGGATAAACCTGTGATAATTGTAGCTGATAACTTAAGGAAGCTGAACCCTTTAATCACATGTTGGGCATTCTTTAGCTGTGAATGAGAAACTTCATGGGAGCTGAAACTTTGTAATCAATAGTCAAACATTGAGTGATTAGTATAAATAACTCAATGATGTGATATCCTCAGAGTAAAATAAGTCAAGGATACCGAATCATTGTAAGATTCATTGTGTCATTCATTGATCATTTGAAAAACTAGGAAAGAGGAAGGGATGGATGAGAAGTGAGAGAAGATTGAACATATGAGATCCAATCAATTCACCCCCTCTGCCTCCTCCTTTATCCCCCCAACAACGGAGATTTCCTTTAGCCCAATATTGGACCCACCCGCTATTAAACACATGCTCTCTCTCTCTCTCTCTCTCTCTCTCTCTCTCTCTGTTTCTCTCTCTAAATATGAGTATAAACCATGTAGAAGAGCCCCGATGAAATACTCGGAAGAAGGGCCAGTCATGCCGAAGAGCCTGAGAAGACCGTGGGAAGGTAGATCCGGTGGATGTTCCTCATCGTGAGGGACTTCCTGCATGTGGGGCATCTCTTCTGCACACGGATGGCGGCCCCGATGCACTGCTTGCAGAAAACATGGCCGCAGGTGGTTGTGGTCTCTTCGGCCATTGGACCCCAGCAGATTGCGCACTTGAGTACGGCATGCATCGGCTGGTCCCTCTGCCATTTCACGAACCATCAAACAGTTAGAAAAAAATGATCTGGCTTGATATGACCAAGGATTTATTCATCATGAGAGAACTATCTACCTTGGGTCTGCGAATGTCCACCTCATCTCCGTCGTTCTCGTCAGCTAATGCCTGGTTGAGCGGACGCTTCTGTCCGTGCCGGCTCTTGGCAGTCGCTGGAACTGCTGGATGATCCGCAGCTGATCCTTTAGAAGGAAGGAGGGAAAAATGAAACCCATCATGGGATGGACTAGAAGGAAAACCAGACATTTCAACAGATGAGTGGACGAAAGAATGAAAGAGAAATATGGGGCTCTGTTTGATGTTCAGAGTAGAAATATGGTGCTCTGATGAAGATTATCCAAGAAAAAAGTGGGTGAGGAGAGGAGGAAACATGAGAAACCAGAAGAACTGTCGGTTCTTTAGCTAGATGCATGGTTCTCTGATCGAGATTATCCAAGAAAAAAGTGGGTAAGAAGAGGAGGAAACATGAGAAACCAGAAGTACTGCCGGTTCTTTAGCTAGAAACACGGCGCTCTGATGGAGATTATCTGAGAAAAAAGTGGGTGAGGAGAGGAAACATGAGTAACCAGAAGCTATCTGTTCTTTGACTTTAAGCACGGTGCTCTGACGAAGATTACTAAAGAAAAAGTGGATGAGAAAGAGAAACATGAGAACTTGGGCCGTAATGCAAATAAAAGATCTTTTCGGCTCCGCCTGACATCATTAATCTCCCTGATCGAAGGTTTATGCCTTCATGCTCCGGTACCCGATACAGGTTCTTAGTAGAAGAGCTTCAGAAAATCGGCATGAAGCTGAAGAGGTGACAATTGGGGGCAACTAGCGACCTCCGTCTAAAAATTTAACAAGAAGAGGTTTTTCAGACCCCAAGGCTTTCAGAGATGGATAATGCAGCGCACCTGAAGGCCCTGCGGGGAGATCAAGATCATCATCTAAGATTATAGTAACAGGATGCGCCCTCTGAGGCAGGGGTCTACCCTGCAAGATTGGAAAGAACAACTCGATGCAGTTAGAATCATCTATGAAATGACTGAAAATGTATCAAATCTTCAAGAAGTAACCGTCTATCATTGGTTTTTTGTTATTTTATAACTAGCTCCAATATTAGGGAGCGCCAATCATTAAAGGTAGATGAATATATGTCGCGAATTTCGAGGTATGAACCTGGCTGAAATCTCCCGAGGAAGACAGGACTTCCACGTCATCTTCAATTTCCACAACATCGATGAGTTGATTAGACCACAGCAGTAATTCTAGCAATTCGTCACGGCCATCGGTCGGTGGTATAGCTGGCTCCTGATGAATGACTCCTTGAGATCCATTGGAATCCCCAGTCTCATTCACATTCAATTCTATCTTCCCGAAGGTCCTGTTAGCTTCTAATGCCGGCCTCCTGAAAGACCGCTTAGATGACGCACAAGCGCTCATATTTCCTATAAAATGACCAAAAAAATCATTAGAACCCAAAAGATGAGACATAAATCAGAAGACAACAATAGTCAGCGAGCGATTGCTAATAGTAGCTCAAACGAATGAAAAACAGGTTAGGGAAAACAGGATCCAGCCGTCCAAAAGGGAAGAGGAAAGTGAAATCGAGTTTTCATTAAAAAGAAAAATTATCGTGATAATGGATCTCAATTTACAGTTCAGAAATCAGTTCCATAACACAAGGAAGCAGACACTTGGAATCATCCAAGGCAGGAAAATCCTAACGAGGAAGACCGCCACAACCGCTATTTACAAGGATCGAACACGATTGCGGGGGAAGAACAAGGAAGACATTAGCTAATCTGAGGGATCGAGATCACCACTCACCGAAGCAATTCGACGGCGGTCTGCGGGGCGGCAATAGATTTGTGCAGATGGCAGTGGCGTGATCCAAACGGCCGCTCCGACAAATCAACTGAATCCTCTCACTCAGAGCCGGCGGTGCCGACCTTCTCCTTCAGAGAAGATCTCGCTTCCGACTTGTACAGACCCTGGGGAAAAGGAAGATGGTGGAGGGGATGGGAGCAGCACGGAAACCACTTTATAGTTTCTCTTATGTCGGTTGTTCTCGTTTTGGCTGAGCCGCCGCGGCCGAAAAACCTACCCAATACACAGGGACGCGTTTTGGCGGGACCCATCCTTATGTCCAGATTACGTATGCAAGTACGTCATTCTCCATACACATATGGAAGGTTCAGCTGAATCATCTCGATCAAGGCCATTACATAGACTAGATTCAGGTCGCTGACTTTTTCCAAATTTAGTTTTCAAGTCAACATGAAAAAAAAGGAGAGAGAAAAGGAGGGAGTTGCAGCATAAATGTACTTAAAATAGTTTGTAAAATAAATTACATACTTTAAATACATCTTCATATATCTGATAATTTTTAGAACCCTCGGTTTAATCCATTTTTTATTTAATAATTTTAAAAAATCATACTAAGAATTAAAAAAACAGTATTTATCAGTAAAATCAGATAATTTAAATTATATCCTAAATTAAGCGTATCTTTGGTAACCAGTAGAGAACTAACTAGTCACTGCCGCAAACTTAGAAACTTCTAGATGGATCTAGAAACAATACGTCCAGATGAATAGCACCAATGTATATCATTAGAGATATATTTTTTGTGAGATGAAATATATGTCAAAATTTAATAAATATTTCAATTTTGTTGATGATTTGATCCTAACCTAACTTAGATTAAGTGGGTGTTGAATAAATAAATAAATAAATAGCTCTTAATATATTATATTTGCAGATTCATCAAATATCATATGGTAGATATTTGGGATTTTTTTATTTTACAGTAAAAATCCTACATAATGTTGCTGATCTCATTAACCCGTTTATTTCTCACATGTGGAGATCAAAAATTCATTTTTTATTAATTTATTATGCTTATATAATTATCAAATAAGTTTTAGGGGGGTATGTTATAAACACGTTATTTTTATTTATGCTTTTTTTTCGGAACTAGACAGATTTAAAGTCTGGTCTGATCCGAACTCAGTTCACATCGGGCGCACGCGATCCGATTTATCCGATTTTTCAGGAGGGGACTGTCACGTGCGACAGCGACCGTTAGCTATATAATAAGTAGCTCGGAAAGTGCGGGCCCCACCGATTTTAAAACTCGGACGATTTCGCTGACTCAGTTCAGGTCGGGCGCACCCACCGGGTCCGGTTCCGATTTATCAGATGGGCGTGAATGGCGGCGGTCTGACTAAGCAAGGACGGATAAGGGGATAAAGTGCGGGCCCCACCGATTTAGAACTCCGATCTTTTCTTTTTAATGATTTATCGAAACAGACGGGTGAATCAGGGTACCTACCTCCGCACGCCGGTTTCACACAAGGAAAGCGGATGAGGAGCGGTTGGTTGAGAACTGGTTGGGAAGGTAAGCTGACCGCACGTGAGAGTATTTGCGCTTTTTCTTCTCCATGCTGTAACCCTCCTACCTGTCAGAGAGGCTTCTGGTCTGGTAGATAGAGACTCTGAGCGCGACACCTTCCAGAGGAAGAGGATGGAGTGAAAGGTCGTCCATCCCCCAGGAAGATCCAAGCATGGGGAATTGGGGCAAGTGGCATTGAGGGGGATAGTTTTCCCGTCGTAGTCATCCCAGAGATGCCGGATATCTCTCGTCTTGCGAGAGAAGGTCACGCATGCCGGATATCTCCTGTGGAGGTGAGGAGGAAGAAGGGGGAAGGGATTTGGGGGAAGGATGGATTTGTGGCTCCTTGCACTCCTCCTGATGCTCGTCGGCTCGGGTTCGGCGAGGTTCTTCCAGCCGTTCAACGTGAGCTATGACCACCGGGCTCTGATCATCGATGGAAAGCGCCGGATGCTCATCTCAGCCGGGATTCACTATCCACGAGCGACGCCCGAGGTGTGACACCTTATACTTTCTTCTGCTTGTAACGACTTTGCATGGAGTCCAGTGTCCGACTTTGATCCGCACGAACCCGAACGATTGTATGTCAAAATTACCGCTGTCTTCTCTGTACCACGAGATATTTCTTGCCTCTTTATTTCCACTTTTTCACCAGATACAAAAATTTACTCCGTGTTCACTGTTTTCTCCAATACCATTTCCTCATATTCGTAATAGGAGAACAATTTTCTTTTTAAACATAAGTTTATCGTCCCGCCTTTCCCTTGTTGCTGTTTTTATTGTACGCGAGAGATTGAATAATCTTCTTGGCGTTTTCCTTTCCTCACTTGCCCTACAAGTTGACTGGAAATTCTGGGTCTTGAGATCTCACGTATAACAATGGTCGACAGATGTGGCCAGGGATAATCGCCAAAAGCAAGGAGGGAGGGGCAGATGTGATACAGACCTACGTATTCTGGAATGGGCATGAACCTAGCAGGGGCCAGGTATCAAGCATATTTTGGCCTATGTGAGTCCAGGTTTCTACCTGAATTCTAACGCTGCTTTATATTTTGTCTTGTTTCCTCAGTACAATTTTGAAGGAAGGTATGATCTTGTGAAGTTTACAAAGTTGGTTGCTTCAAGTGGCCTTTATCTTCATCTTCGGATCGGCCCATATGTGTGTGCGGAATGGAATTTCGGGTACTTTTCTTGTGTTGTGTTGTCATTTTGTCTTGAAAGCGTGGAAAGTATTCCTGTCTGTTCTGTGGCCAGGAAAAAAAACCCAAAAAAATTATATAATTAGTTCACAATAAACTTTTAATATCAGCAATGAAGATCTGTTTGTGTGATGTTAGTCATTTCTGAAACCAAGGATTATGTGTTTCTGAAACCATTCATGATTATAAGTAGGATGGTAGCTGTCATATTTGGTTATGAAAAATATTCAAGCGTGTGATCTGAAAACCACGTCTGTTTTCCATATGCATATCCATATAGGAAAATGTGCACTAAACGCCATGAAGAACATAGTTGAACAGACTGGCCCTCTTTTGACATATCACAGATGGTACCGCCTAGAGCAGACCCTTTTTTTTCAAAGATATAACCTGTAATCAAGTGTTTTTTGATTAAGTAGGAAACTGTGGAAAACTTAAATAATAGGTCGCAGTAAGCGCTGATGACCTCTTAGTGGTTCAGACATATCATCATCAATAATATTTCGTATGTTTTGAGTCCATCATGTAATTTTTCTGTTAGCTATAGATGCTGGAATATCTTCGCATTGAATTCAAACCACTACTGAGATACTGTTTTTCAAAATGAGCCATGGGAGTTGACCTACGGGTTTGATGCCTTCATTTTGTTTAAAATTATCATTACAGCCATTGATGACATTATAATCAGTTGATACTTCTGTCTGTTTTCAATTAATTATGGTTTCGCATTGGTACCCTTTCCACATATAATTCAGAGTATATATCATCTTTAGTAAGCTCCATGATTCATTATCTGTCCAAATTTTTACTCTCACACTTGCTGTCATAGAATGGAAAATAGTAAGATCACATGATTTGATTTATTGCATGAGTCCAGGCTTCTGATCCTATCGTTGCATGTAGATGGGGGTAATTACGCGTATTTACTGTGTTAAGAAAGCCATGCTAGGGAGCATGATCATTCATTTTCCTGAAGATCTGATTAAGGTCATGATTTAATGCTACCATACTCGCGTAATTAGTAATCCTATTGATTAATGTCATTTTTTTAATTCATCGTCGTTGATGGCAGGGGATTTCCAATTTGGTTGCGTGACATCCCTGGCATAAAATTTCGAACTAACAATGAGCAGTTCAAGGTATCTTGTTTCAAATTCAGGGAGTACATGGCGAAATCATAAATGGAAGTACATTGTATCAATAATTTTCTATAGTTTCTATTACTTGATTAATTTTTAGTCATCTTATGATGGTAATTTAAATGCCATTGGTCTGTTAGTATCACTATGCATTGGCTAATGGCTCATACTGGAAAGGCTTCAAAAGTACCACTGAGTTCGCATTTTGTGTCATCCTTTTCCTAGTCATTTCGTTGTGATGATTTTTTTGCTGAACAACCACCACAGAATTATATTTTGGGGTAGGATGGAAATCCACACATCGAATTTTAGGAATGATTTATTCACATAATAACTTTTTTGTGAAATGAATATCAATGCCAAATAAATCTGATGACATTTACCACAGACTGAAACAGGCGTCACCTTGTCAACGTTTCCAATTATATTTATGATATATCTTATACAAACATGTGAAAAATTCAGCATAATTTGCCACATGTTTGTATAAGATATATCATGAATATAATGCCTTTTTATACGTAATTTTTGAGATTTTTTGTGTTGAAAATCACGAAAAATGAATGATCTACTGCCGATCAGCATTACTTCTGCTCATTTTTTTATTTTTAAACACGCCAATACTATCCTTTCTTTGGCATTTGTTTTGCTCTCTTTGCATACATGAATGATTCAGGAGTTATGCATGAAAAGCAGCTCGGATTGGAAAATTGATGGGTGTTTGGTTGTTTTTGGTCCGATCATTTCTCTGTCTGCAGAAAGAAATGCAGAGGTTTGTTGAAAAGATTGTGGATTTGATGACGCAGGAAATGCTCTTTTCATGGCAAGGTGGTCCCATCATATTATTGCAGGTATATTGACAGTTTATTGGTACAGGTTTAAATATTATCAACCCTATCCGTTTATTTGACTCTACCGTATGAGTGCCAAATCAGATTGAACGTCATTAAAATCTTCCTTTTGTAATAATCTAATATCAGTTCATTCCAGAGATGGGTACAATGGGACTAAGTAGATAATATCCAAAAATAATCACAATGTATAATATTTTGGTCAATCGGGCTATATTTGTGTGATTCATTTATGGAGCCAAATATTATTTGATCAGTTTTAAAAAAATCTGTCCAGGAGATTGAGTCTTAAATAATAATATCTTAGAAATTGAAAATATCAGGAAAGCCGTTTGGTTTATGGGATCCGAAACAAGTTATTCTCATACAAGGAAATAGTTTTCTTGTACAACAGTTGCTGACGTATTATAGCTCGATAACTGTGTTTTATTCATCTGGTAGAACCATTTCTTCCATAAATCATTAGGAAGACTTAGTTACCATTTCATGTGTTAGCCAGGAAACTGACATAGTCAACTGGCCAGGCATGGTAATATGTCAAGTCTTCGACAATTTGAGCGAAAAATTGTAAACTCTATCCTGACATGTTCTTTTTTATATCCCCAACATCCAAAACTAAGAAAATGTCTGACCTCGCTAGATTTTCATGTAAGGAATTTAAGTGCATTTTTCTGAGAATTTTTATATTTTCTAGTGCTGAATTTTTGGGAGCACATTTGTATCTTGCCATTTCAGTTGATCACTCAAATTTTTATTGATACAAAATTTTAAATAACTGTCGACTGTATTCTTTGAATAAAAAATAGGAACCTGATATAATATTGACATTTTGAATTGTTGAACAGATTGAGAATGAATATGGCAACATTGAGAGTTCTTTTGGAAATGATGGAAAGCAGTATATTAAATGGGCAGCGAGCATGGCACTTAGCCTAAATGCTGGTGTTCCATGGGTCATGTGCAGGCAAACCGATGCTCCTGAGAACATTGTAATGCCGAGATACTGTTAAATATCTATGGTTGTTGTAATGTCTCTGATAGGAGTATTTATCTATTTCGAGAGTATGTGAGATGGGGTATCTCCATTTTGTTAAATTAAGTCGTGCTACTGATTCCAATCATTTTTTTCACAGATAGATACCTGCAATGCATTTTATTGTGATGGCTTTAGGCCAAATTCTTATAGAAAGCCAGCAATGTGGACCGAGGATTGGAATGGATGGTAAGAATGTAGGGTTTATTTTTATGTTCTCCTTTCTTGAAACGTCCAACATAAATTATCTATGACCGTCGGTACTTTAATTTTAAGTTTCAACATGACTGAGGCTTCACCATCGTTTCTCTTGTAAATCCATTTTTTTTGTTCGTCTGATAATAAATCTAGGAGGGGAAGCTCTCGGTGGTGAAAATGCCAGTTTCTCTTGAAGTTGAGATTTCATGGAAAAACATATTTATGTTTTTCAAAAGGTTATATTCATCAAAAGGTTCATAACCTGTATGCCTCATTTGAGTTGTCTACTTAGTCAAGATATCAAAAGGTCAGCATTCACGTTAGGGGGAGATGTACTAAAGTAGCAAAAGTTATATTGAAGGGGGACGGTCAAATATTCTGATTAAATGCCTGACTTCTCCCCTAGTTAATCACTTTTTGAGTAAAAGGCCGATTCTATTTAGTTATATTGAAATAAATATAATAGGAATTCAAATGCAGCAAAAAAAAGTTCTACTTTGAATCTCGAGCTGATGAAAATTGATGAAAATTCTGTGAAAAATTATTTTTCCAAAGAGTATTCTTGCTCATTTCGTAAGGTAACCAGAGTTGATAATTTTTCAGAAAATATATAGTTACTTCCTATTAATGTTCTGTGGATTTATTTTTTTACTTCCATTGTGAATCCCATGGTCCTTCTGCCATAAAGAACTTTATAACCAGAGGTTTTTAAAAGTTTCCATTTTTTTGAGGCACCCCAAGAATTTCAAACGATTTAGAATTTTCGCGACAATGTGCTTATAATAAAAAAACGAATTTTTACTTTACACAGAAGTTTCTATTAGCATTTTTTCTACTTCTCTGAATTTCTCGCCGAATTGATTTTTTTTATTTGAAATAATGCACGTATGTGTCTCCAGAGTTTTATCTATATTTAGGTGGATAGTCATAAAACTGAAAAAATGACTATTATATGCCTGATCTTGAGCTTACATCTTGAGCTTATTTCCATAGAGCTGTTGCATGGTTTTCTGTTACTCCCTTTTTATGAAATCCTTGTGCTTTTAGTCGTTAAGTTTTAACATTCTTGTATTTACAATAGTACGCTTCTGTTTTTTAAGGTATGCCTCGTGGGGTGGTAGACTGCCTCACCGGCCTGTTGAAGACAATGCCTTTGCTGTAGCCCGATTCTTCCAACGTGGGGGAAGTTTTCATAATTATTATATGGTAAGAGATGAAGTTACCATTTACGAATTTTTAATCAGTTGAGAGCTGAGTTTCAGATTCCGTCTTATTTGAGAGGAATTAACTTCCTGTAAGACAATTTTTTTTCTATAAAGTGAATGATGGAGTCTTTATATATATTTGTTTATAATTTGCATAGCTCCAGCTCCATAAATGAGAAGGAAAAACTAATATTAAGAATAATTTGAATGTTTGAAGATGCTGATCGAGGAAATTGAACGGTGTTTATTTAAAGCATAAGCTTTCTGTCGTTGGAATATCGCTCTAATTACCCGGGAAATGGATGACAACTAATTACATCTCTTTGTGGCTTCATTCTTACGCCTAAAATTTATATTATTTTTTTAACTAATGATTTTTATTTAACGTATACATAGTTTGTTTGTGTTCCTATAATGGTTTTTAATGGGGAACGTCTGTATAAATAGATAACTTTTTTACTGGCGTAAAATTCCAGTTTTTTGGAGGAACAAACTTTGGCCGGACAGCAGGTGGCCCTCTCCAAATAACTAGTTATGATTATGATGCGCCCATTGACGAATATGGTATGTGCACCGTTAACACCTGTACTGTTTAATGGTTTCCGACTGAAGTAAACTCCTAGCCATTCGGATGTCATATTCTTGATTATTTTCTTTTGAAGTGCTAATTTACTGGTCAGCCTGTATTCTTACATTGTTTTAGGCCTGCTAAGCTTTCCAAAATGGGGACACTTGAAGGATCTTCATGCAGCTATTAAGCTCTGTGAGCCAGCTCTTGTTGCTGTTGATGATGGACCCCAGTATGCAAAGTTGGGACCGATGCAAGAGGTGAGGCCCTGTATGATCAGATCTGGAAGGTTCCAAGGCATTGGTCTGATGACTCATAAGTGGCATATTATCTCCCTGGCGTAAATATTAAGATAGATTTCTTTCTGCACCATGTCTCTTTTATGTAGGCGTATATCAAATCGATAAATTTAGCATCATTCGGCATCTTTCCCATTCCCATTCCATTTTTCAGCCTATCTACCAAGATAATGTGATGTCGATGAATTAAAATATGAATTAAAATATGTGAAATTACAAATAATATAAAAATAAAAGTAACTAATATTTAAAAAACTAGACAAAAGTTCACATGCCCTAAGTTTGAGATCAGTTTGCTGCAGTGCCCTTAATTGCTTACACAGTTTTCTTTTTAGTGGATTTTCGTGAATAAGATGATTCTGTTGAATTAATTTTACTAAAAAAAATTTTCACTGTTTGAAGATTTGTATCCCCAGATTTCTCGCATAGAGGAAGGTTCCTCAATTTTCAAAATAAGTCTATGTCCGTAAGAATAGTATTTGGTCATCTTCCTTATTACCTCGGTTTATATTTTCATACAAAAATGTTTTTTTAATATAAAAAACTGACTTCGAATCAGTCCTTACACAGTCATTCAATACGAAGGACTAAATTAATTCATAGTTTTCTGGATAAATTAATTTGAAAGGGACTCAAAGGAGAAGCCATTTAGTTTTGCCTCACGTCTATTTATCACATCCAAGTGACTGTTGAGGGAAAATACATTAGTGGAAAATATTTATTGGCACTTTTTCATCAACTTGATTTTCTAGAAAGTGATAACGTTCTCACTGACGCTTTATTTATGTTCGAGATTCATTGGATCAAAATGTACGTGGGTGCAGGTTCATGTATATTCGAGCAGTCGAATAGATCTTAACTCAAGTATCTTAGAAGACATCAAATGTTCTGCATTTCTCGCGAATATTGATGAACACAAGACAGTGAACGTGAAATTTCTGGGCCAAAAGTACGCTTTACCACCCTGGTCAGTGAGTGTATTACCGGACTGTAAGCATGTGGCCTTCAACACAGCCCAGGTAAAGTTCTGATTTTTTTTGCCTTCGATCAGACAGAATGGACAGCTGGCAATAATGTATGGCATGAATCATCTGATATCATTCTTTGTGTCCCTTCTAGACCCGGACCCAGATGGCCTTTGTGAAAAATGCACATTTTTATTCAGATTCTGTTATTCCTGCCTGAAATTGAATGAGACTCTGGCAACTTGTAAGCCTTACATAATTTTATCCTTGCGTGTTTGCTGGCCTCTTTTGAATTTCCAGCTTCTCTCATCGCCTTCAACATGTATCAGTGATCTCATTAGCACTGTATGGCGTGTATTTCCATAAATCCTCCCTGGCAATGATGTCCACCCACGTTCCCTGGTCCCCCTTTCCATATACATCTGTTGGCTTATGTCCTTCAACTTGTCCGCCCATAAGTATGGGTGAATTAAATGATTTTCTTTTTTCCTTTGCATTGAGTCAACCATGATTTCTTTGCGAAAATTTCTTTGTGGTTACGCCATTTTTTTCTCCTATTTTATTAAATGATAGTTCTCTAATGATTTTGTCTTGAGAATTCTACCACATAAGGAACTAAAATGAGCCTCGAATCCCCTCAGTATTATCAAATTTATCTTTTCATATATTGACAGACTTCTCTGCTGTGTGATATGATTGGTTGACTGCTTCCTCACAATGAGTTTGATTGACATGGCATCCGCAGAAATGCCCAATGATATAGACAATTTTATAATCAGCTAGTCTGTCAATGCTGTCATCTCTGTTTTTCAAGGTCATCAAGATCCTCTGCTCTCATGTGTGCTCTTATGTGGACATGGGTACAACCACTCGTAATGAATAATTCTGTTTAAGATCCTACCCCACTTGTTTCTCTTGGTAACTAGGTGCTGACCGTCCAGGGTTTATTTTGGTATACTATGGAAAAGACACAGAACTTCCCAAAATTCTGTGTTTTCTTGAGAAGATGTTTGCATTTGGTTTCTTTTAGAAAGTATCCTACCGGTTTTATTGCGGTTCTTGAAATCTTACCTACCGGGAAAAACACCAAAATTTCACGCAATCAACACAGCCTCAAAATATTTTATCTAATGTGTAATTTATTTATGATCCTCTTCTATGGTTTATGTGCAAGTGGGGTTAAATGAGAATTTATGTTTTATTTTGTTCTTTAATACATTAATCTTGATCTATTCTCTTGTGTCCATTTACAGCTCACATCGCAGGCTTCAATCAAAACAACTAAACATGTTTCTAAAAGTTTTTCAAACATACTAAAGGCGGGAGACATGTTACCACAAGAAAACTCTGTATCAAATAGTTGGGTGTCTTTCAGAGAACCCATTGGTGCGTGGGAGGGGAACAGTTTCACTGCTGAAGGCATATTAGAGCATCTAAATGTGACAAAAGATATCTCTGATTATCTTTGGTATGTTACAAGGTACGTATTCAGATCATTTTGCCATTTTTACCCCACCCAACTGCGAAGTTACTGCTCTAGTTAAAGTCTACATGATTGTATGGGATGGATTCCTTTTGGTAGCACTAAAACTGAATAAGCCTTTTTACCCTTAGCCCTAGTTTTAGTGATGACGATTAATCATATTTTCTTTGTTAGGGGTCTTTTTCTGTTGTCCAAATGCTTTATCCTATTTTAATTTCCGTTCGGTTTCCGGGATCTTAGCTTTCCTTTTTACCCCATTATTTGAGCTTCTAAGGTATCAATAACACCCGAGTATAATTAAGAATAGACTAAAATATTATGACTGTACGAGATAGTCTGGAAGAAATTTCTCTTTAGTGACCACTATAGCTAAATCATGCTGCTTTTCTGATAAACTTTTGGCTTCTACACTTCTCTGTCCACATGCAGTTTGACATCTTCGTATTTATGCTTTTCAAACTAAATGCGTTCAGAATTAATATTTCTGCGGAGGATATTTCATTTTGGGAGGCCACTCATACGCTTCCCTCAATTTTTATCGACCAAGTACGTGATGTGGCTCGAATCTTCGTAAATGGACAGCTTGCAGGTGCTGACTTAGCTTTCACTCTTTGCCAATTCGATTTTATTCAATTGAATTAAATTTTTTGTATATATTAATATTGCATTTAATTTTTCATAAATATTCTAAAAGATATATTGGGTTTTCTTTTGTGTCTAAGAAATATGATTTCGACAGTCATTTCGATAGTCATTTCGATTTAAATCTTTGTTTAAAACTTACACATGATAATTTTTTCCTCTTATGAAATTTAGGCAGTAAAGTTGGGAACTGGGTTCGCCTGGAGCAACCTATTCATTTAATTCAAGGAGTCAATGATATAGCTGTAGTATCTGAAACAGTGGGCTTGAAGGTATGTCCATATTGTATATTATTTTCCATGTAAGCGTACGATAACAAACACAAAATATGCTCTTCGTATTTGGTCGATATCTTGGACAAAAATGAGCACATTTTACATTCTGGTAAACCATTATTGATTTATTTATTTTTGGATCTGCAAGCCAGGATCAATCGTGCTGATGTTATTCTAATAACGTTATAAACATGGTGCTACTGAAAATTAAAAGGGCGGAACGAAGTTCGAGAATTCTTATAGTATGGTTAATAGAGTAACCCAGAAACTTTCAAATTGAGCCAAATAGATTGAAGATGTGTAATATAGGGCTATTTAATGTTTTTCTTGTTCAATGGCTGTGGGGAATGGGAATAAAAAGGGGTATTACGGAGAAAAAATTGAAGGTTGTTATTGAAAAAGGATGTCAACTTTGATCATGTCTGCAATCAGCTGTGTTTCTTTGAGGAGCCTAGGTGTTCTTTTCACACCCTTATTTTCCTCACGAGAGGGAAAAACTACTGATTTTCCCATTTCTTGAATTTATCGTTTCTCCAAGAACTTAGCTGTTTATCTGTGTGTGATTGTTTCTTGGCGGTTTCTGGTTATTTGTAACTTATATATGAAAATTTGATTTTGATTCATTCGGATTTTAGAACTATGGTGCCTTCCTTGAGAAAGATGGAGCTGGGTTGAGGGGACGTATAAAGTTGTCTGGCCTAAAAGGTGGGGAAATGGATCTGTCAAATTCAATCTGGACATATCAGGTATTTTTTTGACCTTCCTGGTTTGGAAGTCCTGAATTTAGTTGCTTTGCATCCCGATGACGTAGGAGGTTTTTTTCCAAACGGGAAAAATTTCTATTTTTTAGAAATTCCGAAAGGTCTATATCCCATGACCCATGATCTCTCTCTCTCTCTCTCTCTCTGTATTATCATGTTATCCTTTTGTATTAGAACTTGCTTAGTCACTGGTTTGGTTGAATAAATAATTCCTTTTTAATTTTCAATGCTTTCAGGTGGGACTTAAGGGGGAGTTCAAGAAAATTTATTCCTTGAATAATCACGAAAGTGTGGATTGGGTTAACTTGACTGCGAACTCCATTCCATCCACATTCACATGGTATAAAGTGAGTCAGATACATCTACTCTTCATAGTTCTTTCCTTATGTTTGATTCCAATGTCATTTGGGTACACTTAATTTGTCTAATTCGTGAGGCAACATAGAATCAAGTAGTAAAAATGGTAAACCACGTTGTATCGTGCAAAATTTATATGGCTTGAAATGTTCGGTTCATGATGTGATTTTTCATCATTTTTGGCTAATGACGTGGGCAAGTTCATCCTGTCATTTTATGTTTACGTAAGGTGTTTGATAATGGATCAAGTTCCCTGATTAATGAATCCATTTCATTACATCAAATCTGGGAGCTGGGATCCTCATCCTCATTTCTCCCTATATTCACTTGGATGCACCATGTCGCTTCCTCTGTCATGTTATGGCATGCTCCATTGATAGACTCTTTCTCTAAATGGTTGTATCAGGTTTTCTAGTGATATCTCTAAAAAATATCAATTATTTATTTATTTGTATTTATATATCTTGAATATTTAGCTCCTGTTCTCTTGCTAGTCATGAAGATGGATAAATGTTTAAAAGAAAAAGAACTTGTATACATGCTGCTAATCTGGATTTTCATATCCTGTCAGACCTTTTTTGATGCCCCTGTAGGCAATGATCCTGTTGCAATTTATCTGGGAAGCATGGGGAAGGGCCAGGCGTGGATTAATGGCCATGGAATAGGAAGATATTGGTCCCTGGTTGCCCCAAAACAGGGATGTCCTAAAACCTGCAATTACCGTGGAGCATACAGTGATGGCAAGTGCATGACGAACTGCGGGAAACCGACTCAGGACAGGTGATAATTTGCATTGTAGAGTCGTAAGAAGTTTTAAAATAATGAAAAGTTTTGCTTGATCACATGCATTGAGATCTTGCTTGAATGGATTGGTTCTGGATTGAAGTCAGTAAATAGTATTAGACGCATAATTTTCAAAATCACCTAAAATATTTAATAGAAAATGATCTCTGTAACAACCGAGCTGTAGAACTCAAAATTAATTGATAAATAGTGTGTTAGTGCACCTATTTAGATCAAAGTATTTAAATGTTTAGTTTCAGTTTTTTTATTTTTCTATTAGTGTGTAAAACTGATTCTCTCTCTCTCTCTCTCTCTCTCTCTCTCTCCCCCCCCCCCTCTTTTGTTGTGAGTTAGTGCCATAATGGGCAAAGATTCTTTTGGTGTGAACATCTTTTTTTTTTCCTGATATTTAACCCATTACTTTGAACACCATTTAATAAATATAAGACCAGAAATTTATATGTGTCTATGGGCAGGGGACTTCCCAAGCCCAGCCTGAGGCCAGGCACGTTTTATAAGGCCCAGATCTGGCCATGGCTCAGAGAAAACCCCAGATATTTGGTGTTGCACTTACAGATTGTTAAAAAACTATGTCCAGCACCTCTTCTTTGGTCACCCAATTTCCTCTGAACTGATGGGACATTGCTTTTCTTTGTGAAATTCATGGATTAAGACTGGAGATAACTTACTCACCAACAGATCAAAACCATACTTTGTCCCATTCCACAGGTTCCTCATAATCCCACTAAACACATGCCACATTAAGAAATTTTCTGTATCCTATTTCCCATTTCCAGGAATCATATCACTGTCTACCATATTTACATGTATTTAATTTAAATAATATACTCATTAAAACGTTGGAAAAAAAAAGTTCAGGTACCATATTCCAAGGTCATGGTTGAAGCCGTCCAGCAATCTACTGGTCATCTTTGAGGAAACTGGGGGAGACCCATTGAAGATACAGCTCAAATTACATGCTACTGGCACGATCTGCAGCAAAGTATCAGAGACCAGCCACCCCCCTCTTACCATCTGGTCCAGTTCGGATGTCACAAGTGGCAAGACCTCAATTGCTGATGTGGCACCAGAATTGCACTTGCATTGTGATGATGGGCAAATGATCTCAAGAGTAACATTCGCCAGCTTCGGAAACCCTACTGGAAGCTGTCAACACTTCTCTCTTGGCAAATGCCATGCACAAAGTTCTCTCTCAATTGTTTCCAAGGTAAGAAAGAAAAATGAAAAATAAAATAATATATATATATATAGATATATTTATTTTTATTATGTTAAGCTTGCTCAGGCTTAAATAGTTTCTTATGTTGCTAATTCGAACTCTTAATCAGGCTTGCCAAGGAAGAAACAGCTGCAAGATTAGTGTTTCAAGAACCACTTTTGGGGAAGACCCATGCCGTGGTGTTGTGAAGACTCTGGCTGTAGAGGCAGAATGCACGTCATCCTTAGCCGTGACAAGTGTATAGTCCTGGCCAATTCACAGTGAATCTTCTTCAACACCAGAAATGGGCTGCGTTGATCTTCTGCTTTGCCCTGTAACACTTTTCTCTCTCCTCGCCACCCCCTCATCTCTCTAGACATTTGTGATCAGTGGACCCACATCTCCGATTGCTGTTGATAAAATGGAAGTAACAATGTATTGGAGGAAGAGGTCCCTTTTTCTTGTGGAGATGTAGATTATGCGAACCCATGCTACTTGGCCCTGAGGGTTAAGGTAGCTGGTATTGGATCCACATGCCAGATTAGACATGGTTGATTCCGTTCTTGATTAGGGTCATGATCCGATCAGCAGAATCTAAAAATTGATCCTTTAAATATCCAAACCAGATCCATATTTAGAAAAGAACCATGCCCACCTACATTCCAAATTTGATCTCTCTCTCTCTCTCTCTCTCTCTCTCTGAACATTTCGGGTCAAATTTCCTAGATCATCTACATACAGGGAAAACTCTAAAAAAAATTCCATATATTTTTGTTGATTTAGATCCTTGATTTTCAGTGCTTGTATATTGTAACTATCATTCAACTAAAATCATGTGAAAATTATGAATATCCATAGAAAGTTTCCATCGTTCGGAGGAAATTATGCTGCTTGCTCTCATATTCTTTTTTACACTTATTTTGTGACAAACTATCATTTCAAGAGAGATTAATGCCATTTTTATTATCTATATATATATATATATAAACTACCAATTTTAGGAACCTAAATTACTTGGATTTTTGTGGAGTGACTACGGGTAAACCTCTAGGAATAGTAATATTTGTTAAACTGGGCAGTGACAATCTCAACAAAAAATGTGTGGAGTTTTGGGAGGATAAGTTCCCAAGAAGCACATATTTGACCATTTGGGAAACAAGGGTTGACCTTATCGAATGAAAGGGCAGTTTGAAGCCCTCCTCCCCCCCCTCTTTCTTAAGAATCCGAACTAAAAAAGCCCATGACAATCACTCTCTTAACCCACCATAAATGCTCCTAGAATTGGCGGAAGCCTCTCCTCAACAACAGCCATAAACACTCCAAGAAGCATATTAGAATTATACATGGGCTACACAAGATCTCCTTAGTCAATGTCCAGGGACTCATACTTATTAGCCTTAAACAAAATGAGGGACTATTGCAGTAATAAGCAACAGTAAGTGATTTTTTTAATTTTTTTTTATTGCCTAACAATGGCAGTTACTAGCTACAATACATCCCCAGTCCAGTGAATGTCCATGGTCGAGTATGGCTTATTGGGCCAAGTTTAGATGGGTGATTGGGTACATCGGCCCAGTAAACATATCTTATTTATTTATTTTTTTAATTGTGCTATTACTGTCCATCGGCCCAAATTCTTCTTATATGGGGAGTTGGGAGGAGGTAAATATCTTTTCCGTGTAAACCCTGATTGACTAATCAAGAAGCCGAGGAAGAGAGGCGGTTGTAAGAGAGGATTAACTCACAAGTTCATACGCCATCTCTCTCATAAGTGGCTGTTCTACTCTTTAGTCTTCTTCTAGTAGGGTTATTTTCTATCCTAGACATCAGAATCATGACCAAATCTTTCTGGGGAAAAGACGAATCGTGCTGGGCCATGAAATGATGTCGAAACACAAGCAAGTAGTCTGCAATTGAACTATTGAATGATTTTAATCACCATATATAGCAGGTGTTTACACCACCAAATACCCCTTCCTAGTACAGCTTCAATTCTTCCTTAGAACAGTATATCTCAGGCATTTTGGGAAAAAAAAAAACATGAAAAACATTAACCTTTATTAGGATGTCGATCAAGAGAAACCCTTTCCTAGTACAGCTTCAGTTCTTCCTAAGAACAGCATATTTCAGGCATTTTGGGGGAAAAAAAACATGAAAATCATTGACCTTTATGAGGATGTCGATCAAGGGAAACCCTTTCCTAGTACAGCTTCAATTCTTCCTTAGAACAGCATATTTCAGGCATTTTGGGGGAAAAAAACATGAAAATCATTAACCTTTATGAGGATGTCGATCAAGAAAAACCTGGTAAGCAAATCGATTCCCTGTAACAGCTGATATTTTATACAAAAAGGAGTGACTGAAAAACCCGCCAAAACTAAGACCTTGAACTGTGTATCTTAGGCATCAGGGGATGACAAGAAGAAGAGCGAAGGACTCTATCAGGCACTGAAACTATCTTCTTTCGTTGTATATAAAAGCAAGACAAAGTTACTCTTTAGTACGCACTCTCTTGAACCAGCAACCGTAAGATCATGCTCTGTAGAGTCAGTCAACCTTTTGCAGATCAGAAGCCACAATCACTTCAACACTAAATTAGAAAAGGGGAAGCAATGATCTCCCTTCAAGGGTGCAATGATGCGAATAACCTTCTCTGAGGGCATTTACAGATCCAAGCTTTCAGTATGAGCGCAGAGCTTGAACAGGTGCTATTTCCCAAACCAACCGAAGCATGAGCATCTCTAGAGCGCCAAAAAAGTGAAAAAAAACGGAATATGATAAGAAACCATCACTGCTTTGAAGAAAAATCATAATCTGACCAGCCCAGAGGGGTCTTCTTCCTAAATTTTATGATATTTATAGCCAGAGCGACTGAACAACCGTCCTTCCACTGGAGAGAGATCTCAGCGGGCTCAGCTGTAAGCTAATAGATCCATGCCAGGACACCTAATAACGGGGCATCCGATGACTAATGCACTGTGATTACTGAAAATGTATAAGATTTTAAATATATAAAGATGCTTATTATTTGCAGAAAAAACGGATTATAATCAAGGTGAAGTGGGTCATCATGGAAGGGGGGGGGAGGGAAGAGAGAGATATTCTCTATGCTGAAAGACTGTATTTTTAGCTTCAAGGGGGGAGAACCAGCTCACCGGGTATTTGGCCTTGGCTTTGGCTGGTTTGTCCTCCGTTTGCTGGGGAGTAGCATTCGGAAGGGTTGACTTCTTTTCTCTCCTCAAGTTCTCAAAGATGCCCGAGTAATTATTGTCCATTGAGGGATCTTTCTCGTTCCACTTGCCAAATACCGGCACTGCTGGACCCTGCCCCATGACCACATGCCACATCATCTTCAAAAAGTGGGACCCACACTTTTATGGATAATTCTACTAAGACTTGTGCCATTACCTCAGCGTTCCAATGAAGAGGAATGTTGGCAGGGCCAAGGCCCCTTTCAGCGACCAGCTGGTTGGGTCTCCTACCTGGATCAATGGAACTTGTCTGGTCTCCAGGCATCCGTCGTGGGGACTCCTGCCTGAACCTATGTCTATCTGCCACGTGGCGCATTGGGATAAAAGCAGCCTGATGGAGGTATTCCTCATCACTGGTGAATCGTTGCTTAGGCCTCTGACTTGTGGGCTCCACAGCTGGTGGGGCCGTTCTGAGAGAAGGAGCCTTGGCGAAAGCATTTGGGTCTTCCTGTAGATCAGTGGTGCTGAGTCTCTTGCCCTGATCCTTCTTCTTCCTCGCATTCTCGAAGTACAATGTGTAAGGAACGTCATTGCCTCCCCACTCCCCAAACTTGGGAGCACTAGCGCTACTCTCTTCCTGAGAGAGAATGAAGTAGAAGTTACTCTAATAATATGAATAGAATGAGCCCCATTGCTTCATAAGAAATAAATATCTCTATCCATGGAACTGGGTTGGCCCATTTAAGGAAATATTTTATTTTTCATTTTTATTTTTGAAGTGGGTTTTTCTAGTTAGAACCTCGAATGCAATGGATGGAATGAGCCTGGTCGCTTCAAAATATAGAAACCGTTCCATATCCATAGAGCCAGATTGGGTCGTCTAAGGTAATATCTTGCTTTTGTTTTTCCTATGAAAAAATAGTAGGATAATGCTATGAACTCACAAGAACAATTCTCCCAGAGGAAAAGGACACAACACTGCCGATTATATTTCTGGTTCATTAGGAAACGAATTGAATGAGGTTCTTCTTATCAGACAGTAGCCTTTGCTTTGATCCACACAGTAAAATAAAACTGAATATGATCTAAAATAAGAGAAAAATGGTGATCTGACTAAAAAAAATTCAATATGAAATTCAATAGTAGTAAAAAATAAAATGGTGGGTGAAATAACAGATTTCTCTGATAAATTCTACCAATTATGTGTCTGAATCAATGAGTAGCGCCTTTAACACCAAAAATGGAAAGGGAGGGACCCATCACTGGTGGACAGGTCTGAGACACGCTTACTCTTCCTAATCAATTGTTTTGTTTTTTTATAATGTTATTAAAAATCACGTATTACGTCTGTGAACAGGTGATTTCATCAAAAGAGGCAGAATACAGGAGAAAATCAAACCCATTGTTCTGATCAAATCAATAATGGCCCAAGTTATGTTCCGTTTTGCATTATTAATCTTTGACTGTTTGAGGAGAATTCCAGATAAATCATTCCTCTCTGTGGGACAGAAGAGTGGGATTCCTCAAAACCTTAAGAAAAAGGTCGCGTTGACAATAAAACTTGTACAAATGGAAAGAGATGTTTCACTTTGGTTTTGGAAATGAACTGCTATCATGTGAGAATTCTAGTTGCGTATAAACTTGAGAGAATATAAACTGCAAGGGGACCACATACAAAGAGCCCATTGCATTTCTTCCGGTTTTATATCTGAAAATTCAATCGTGGGCTTAGATTTATAAGTTAAGACATCTTAAGATACTAATGAGAGTCAAACTTTCGGGAGCCAAAAAGTGATTGAGCAGTGATTAACTCATCTGGATTCCTCCACCATCAACATGGATAGAACTTAATGTCAAAAACGTTTCCATAAACTGGGAAAAGTCTACAAAAAAAGAAAAATACTCAATCAAAACTTTATGGGGTGATTATGCACTTCATAAAGACCAAAGTCTCAAGATTTTGTGTGGTTGGCTACTGCGAACCCAAATTCTCCATTATGACTCTTCTAGTCATGAAGCTCGAAAATACTTAACTGACTGCACAGAATGTAAAACTGATGAAGCTATGATCTTGTCTGCGGAATAAGTCCCATCCAGTTTCACAATAATGAATATATTTTAATGGTAGATTCCTAGCAATGTTTATCAATCACATCAATTGTTCATTCTATCTTTCACATTATGTTAGGATCCCCTTTTACTTGATGTGAAACATATCTTAATTCTATGCTCGATCTAGGCCATCATTGGTAAATAATGCAAATGAAAAAAAGAAAGAACGTCTGCGTGCTGATGAGGATCAGAACCCCAAAGTGGGGACAAGTGCTCCATAAACCGACTATGCTTAGGATGAGTGGTCGTACTGTGCAATGAAGAATGGAAACTAGGAGATGATTGATGCTAGAGTGGTCTATCCGCGAAGGTAGCATAGCAAGTCTGTCAGATATGGGTCAACAAGATGGGTCAGATAGACATTGTTATATTGCCCATTTCACAGGAGGGTTATATAGGTATAATAAATACTTATTTTTATTTATGTCGTAGTGTTTCCATATTACATTGATTTTGATGTTGTAGGGTTCTAATATCACCTTCTCAGTTTTTTTTTAATTTTAAATTACTTCGCATTTTCGTCAATCCTTTAGTCAATTTTTTGGTCAGCCTATGAGCTGTACGGTTCATACATCTGGGTTTGACCCCAGAAAAGTCAGATAAGACAAAATGGAAACTTTTGTACAAGACATATGAAAAATAGAATTCAATTCTCGTTTTGGGTTTCCATTTTTCTCAGATCAAATATTCCAATGAGAAATTTTGAAAAACAAGCCCAAGTGTTTATCGACTTCCATATCATTCTGATTTCTATATTTTTCAACTCCAGATCATAAATAAAAATTAAAATCTATAGTTTCCGAATCATCGACATGAGTTCTTAAATGAAAACACCCTGAACGCACACCGTATCAATCATGTTCCCCCCAAAAAACAGCAAAATAAAAGGCATCCAATCGTAAATAAATAAAGTGATCGAAGGGAAGTATGAATAATCTGGAAGTGTTCAACCCAAAAACAGGTTTCCAATCGGGACAACTCACTTCGGAAAAACAACGAGAAATCATCTGTCTATTGCACAGATGGGTTCAAATCGCAAAATTCTCTATACCCCGCATAGTTGGGGCATCATGAACCCCCATCGGAACTAGTACAGCCAACCGCGAATTGAAATACACCAAGAAACTCACCGACATTCGCGGCAGATAGGAGTGCTGATGACGCCTCTAATCCTTCCGCCCCCGTCTGCTTGTTCTCTCCCCACCCAGCCAATCACCCACCAAACCAGTTCTCTCTCCTCGGACAGAGCAGAGGCAGGCAGGCAGGCAGGCAGCCAGGCAGCCAGGCAGGCAGGCAGGCAGGCAGGCAGGCAGCAGATAAGCGACTTTGAGGATCACGATATAAGAAAGAGTAACGAAGGGGAAGGGAATGGGAGAACACGATTGACTTTGAGGAATCATTAAAGTCAACCGTCAACGTCCCCACCTGCCTCTCTCTCTCTCTCTCTCTCTCTCTCTCCCTCACCGACCTGACAGTTGAATTCGCAATCAGGGAGCTCTGACAGGTCGAGTCAGGGCTAACTTTTTCCTCCAAAACCCAAAACTTATATAAAATTTATTTTCAACTCTTATATATATAATATTGGTTTTAGACCTCCTATGCCCGCTTCCCTTTTTTTAAAGCCCAAAATTCATAAAATTTGAGATAAATAAGTATCTAACCCTTTTTGCACCCTTTATGTTAATAATTTTAAATATATATATATTATGGAGAGGATCAAATCAGTGATGATGATATCAGATCGACATGGCACTGACCTGCAAACTAAGCCCCAAGTCCATGATTTCTTGAGATTTTACGTGATTGCCATCCCATGATTTCTTTTCTAAGAAATAAAATTAGATCAATCGATCCTATTTACTTGCCAAATATTTTGACTTTTTAACTCCAAGTCAACATCCAATCAGATGTAACGAAGGCAAGATAGCATAAGAGGATGCAGACAAGGAAAATATAGAAAATATAATAATACATATATCTAACATTGTCAACGGCAACATATGTTGGTTTACATGGGTATTTTTCTTGTGAGATCAGCAGCTAGAAGTCAACGGATATAAGAAATTTCCTTTTCAGGTACTCATAGCAAGCCAAAATCGGTAATCTTGGCATGGCCATGAACAAGCAGATAACTAAGAGAGAGAATCATACACAGCTAAACCAAACATTCTATAGAACAGATAATGATAATATATATTACTAATATTGTCAACGGCAACATATTTGCTTTAGATGGGTACTTTTCTCGTGTGATCAGGACGCTAGAAGTCAACGGATACAAGAAATTTCCCTTTCAGGTACTCATGGGAAAGCCAAAATCGGTAATCTAGGCATTTCCATGAACAAGAAGATAACCAAGAGAGAGAATCACACAAACGGCCAGCCCCTCCTTGTATTATCATACACAGCTGAACCATACGTACTCCACTCAGATGTTCTATCAAGACAGAGTCAACCTTCATGGCAGATTCTAAAATTCATGTGGAATCAAACCCACTGGTGAGGGGGGGGGGGAGGGGAGGTGTGGAATTCATATGAATGAATGAGCAGAATTCTCCAAGGGTGGATGAGATCCTCGAGGAGACTTTGACCAGCATCATTTCCCCAGCCAGCTGAAGCACGAGCACCGCTGCATCAGGAAGAGGATTTTTTTTATTAGAACGATGGTGAACAAGCTGTCAAAATGGTGATAAACTAAAGACATTGCCAAACAGGGAAATTGTTTTCTTCCCAAAATAAGAAGATTTCTTCCAACTATGCACAAAGTTGGAGTCCGATCATGCCATGCCATCTCATTCTTAGATGCATATTGGCAGATGGGCAGGAGGCCTTGCCACTGGATCCTCCTTTTGTATTTGATTTCCGAAGTGGGTCCCGAATAATTGGTGAATAAATCAAGGGAAATAATGAATGAAATCTAGGGTTTCTTCTATTTATTGGAGTTCTTGGGGGGGGGAGAGAGATCTTCGTTGTGTTCATACAAACACTGAGCAGATCATTCTTCTGCTGGTTTGGTGATTGGGGGAGGGAAGAGAGGTAAAAAAGTTGATAAAAACAGTAGATGGATTCCGATTTTCTATGACGACAACACAAGATGAGAAATCTAGAAACCCAATAAAAAAAAAAAAAATCTGCGGCACAAAGTTAAATAACACAAGGAGTCACTCCCCCACTCAACGCTGATAATCCAAGCATAGAATCCGAGAGTCTCAATGATCAGATTTGTGCCAGAAATCAAGAACCAGAAGAGACATTCCACTTGGGGCAAGCTACCCACCAGCATACTGATGATTGGCATCTACCTCAAGAACATGCGATAAGGTGGTCAAAACTGGATGCTATCGACACCCGATAAAACTTTCATATGAGCAGAGGATTATCGGTTTTTTGAACTCACATATCCAAGAATCAGCTCACTAAGATACCACAGATGCCAACTAGGGATAAAAGCCTAAATAGGGAAAGAAAATAACAACTCCAATCCCCAACCCCAGGGGACCCCAACTCACCGGAGCTTTGTTCCTGGAATCGGCTGGGGCAGGTCTCACATGTGACTCAGTGGTAGCATTTGGGGCTTTCTTCTCAGTCCTCACTTTTTCGAAGACCACCGTGTAGCCAGCAGCCGATGAAGGGTCGTTTTCATTCCACCCACCAAACTTGGGCACCGATGAAGCCTGCAGCGGTGATTTTTGTGAATAAATAATAATGATGATCATAGAAGTTTCATGGACCCTCGTGAGCAGGATGAAGTCTCTGTAAAATCTGGGAAATTTCTAGTCCTTGGAGTCAATTGTGGTGCTAGTTGGCCAGGCGATGCCAAATCTGGCAAGAATATGGGCATCTTTATAACACTTAGAGTTTGCAAGAGTAGCCAAAATGGTATCTTGGCAGGGCCCATATGAAGTAGAGAGAGAGAGAGAGAGAGAGAGAGAGAGAGAGATGACCCGGATTGTGGGGACAAAATGGTTTTATATATCTTTTATCTTGATAATTAGAGAAAAATTATGGGCAGACAAGAGAATCAAAATGTACAGAAAATTTATTAGAAATGAACACAATGAGACTGATGAAATCTAATTAATCCAACTGTATATTTTATGAAACTGACTACTCTGAGAGACTCGCCAATCCAGATATTACTTTTAAGCAGTGTTATTCCTTCTCCTCCTTTCTGATTAGAAATCTTTCCTACCTGGGAAAAATTCAAACCTAGGGCATGTTCCATGAGTCAGTCAGATTGAGCAACGAGGCCAAAAAAAAAGAAATATAGAAAATTTACAAATTCGCTCAAATCATCATATGATCCGTGAATTGATCAAGCACCCAATGCTTCGTCCCACAAACAAATTCTAACCAAGGAGAAAGCCCAATGGATGTCAAGAAAAATGGGCCATCATTAGATACGCCTCTCATTCCTACAAGCGCTTGTTTTAAGTGGTATTGGACTTTCACTCATCTCTTCAGAATGCCAGGTGCACTGTGAGTGCATACATCAGGTTCTGACGGTCAACCAAAGAGCACCTGAATGGATCAGAGAGATATGAAAAAACGTTTTGGATCCAGGCAATTCCTTGAACCACCCCATAACTCTTCCCACAAGAAAGTCTAATGAGACGAGGGGCACTCAAAAAAATTCAAATCAAAATCTAGAGATAAGAGGATTATATAGCGGCTCATTTGAGAATCTTTGAGTTGCTCCTTCGTTTCTTCAGAATTCCAATGATTTGGTCAACTCGTAAACTGTTTGGCTCCAACATCTTGGTTTTTGATCGCAGAAAAACTCAATCAATGAACAGCTGGATGACTTCGAAAAAAAGTTGGAGGGGCAAAATCTAGCGCCCATAGACTTTCTGCTTTTGGAGACCTGAATGATTATTGTTCAGGAGTTGATTATGTGATATTAGTGCCATAGATTGAGGATTCTGGCTTTTTTTTGGTCTGAAATTGCGTACATATATTCTGACCATGGGAAAATTCAGGCAAGAAACAGCTAAATGAATCATAAAACATGTGATACCAGTTGAGGAATGGGAAATCGGCATGCTAATATGCGAGGATTTCATCATCCTTTTCGTTTTGCTGGGCTCCATATCATACGAAAGTATCAAAATCCTGAACGAATGGCATGAACGCTAATGATCAACTCCCGGATGATCGTTGTTCATGCCTAAAAAAATGGAAAAATAATAAAACTAAAAATAAAAATACAAACTTAAAAGTACACACTCGGCTAGAAAAATCAAAGGAGAGAGATGAAATAATTTCCAAACTGCTGTATAGGTATCCAGTAAGAAATCCTTCATAAGAGAACCGATAATTCTCACTCTGGAATCCCTAGAAAACAATCCACAACTGCCCCGTCTTCTGTAGAGAGAGAGAAACAGCTCTGCGCCCGGAATCTGAGAGGCTGACAACCCAAGATAACAAGATTTTTTTATGCCCAGAATTGATCAATCAACAAGGCGACTAAAACCCACAATGAAACTAGTCCGGCTCATGCAAATACAGATACTAGACTAGCAAAAGCTACTCACCATTCTTCAATAAGGGAATCGCCGAGCAAGCTTTAATACTTGCACTCTCTTTCCCCTTCTTCTTCTCCTCGCCCGCCCTTTCCGAGGTTTCTCTTCTCGGACACAGAACAAAGAACGGGATGCAGCGGCAGCTCCTCAGAGGTACATATAATTGCGCGGATGAAGGAAACGGTCTTCCCTTCTCTCTCTCTCTCTCTCTCTCTCATCATTAGAGTGACAGGGATGAAGAGGACGGCGGTGGTTCGTCATTGTCTAAAATTCTTCCCCCAAAAGATGTAGAATTTAGTTTATACCACGTAATTATAATTTGTAATATTTTTACTCTATTATACGCAACACAGAGAGAATTGATTCTCCCTTTAAGTTCTCAAAATGGTCCGATATCTTCATGGAAAGAGGGTATAAGTTTAATTACAAAGAGATAAGAGTTGTATGCATTTTCTCAAAGAATAGAGGGAATAAATAAACATAATCCCACCGAGCATAGGCATTAAAGTCTACGCCATCGGCGTGCGTCGAGCTAAATAGTTGGCTCAATCAGACCGTCCGATTTGTCCGTTCCGAATCGGTCGTATGGGCGCCACGGACAATTTTGGAAGGACCCGGGAAACTCTATCGTTCGGCCACCTTTGACTTTGAGATTTTCTGTTCTGCCTCCTGAGAAGCAGGAAAAAACGGCGGACAGAAGAAGCACCTGTCGCCCTTCCTAGGAGATCAACGTTGACGCGGCACGAAGTGGGAGGAGTTGGTAAACACAAGGCGATGTTGTTTATCCATGCACATCACGTTCTATTCGTGGCATTGTGGACTTTTTCTCCTCGTTGATATTATAGTTGACTTCCCTTGCTCATCTTTCCATCTTACCTGGATCCCTACGACTTAGTTGCCAACCTAATTGATTCCATAGTAGTTTCCAGCGTGAGGTCATGACCTGATGATCCTCTCATGGGGTGTGCATTGAGCTGTAATATTATAAAAAATAAATGTAATTTTGATTTTTTTTTCAAGTAAAATGCCTAAAGATAATGACGATAAATTACTCTATAGTTGAAGATAAATGGAGGATGACTCTAGCAGCATTAAGGAAATAATAAAAATATACCCCCTATCATAATTAAAAAATGATAACTATTAGCAAATGAGATACCAATGTTGTGGGTTCCATGGGGTTGGTACAACAAATGCCAAATGTGTTACAAATTGGTGTGGCCACTATTTGACTTTATTTCATTTGAATAAATGTGATACCCTCCCATTGGGGAAATCAATGTTGACCAACTCCTCATAGAGTTCTAAAAATCTGATAACATACACATATTATATTATTATTATTCTTATTTAAATTTAAACTTTAATTTCAAGTGTCATTAAATAAATTATCAATTGTTTTGTGTTATAAATTTTGGTTGGCTCAAAACCCACATCATTGCAACCCACATTTTTGATCCAATAAGTTTCAACAACGTCCAAGTATTTATTGAAAAATGAGATCTAGGGAGGGTGGTTCACTAAAGGGGAAGTAGGGGAGGGATATTGGGGGCAGTAGTATGGGGCCCAATTCAGCCTGTGGCTTCTGAGTAGTTCTCCATAGACATGATTTTATATGTATAGTATGTAAATATAGAATATGGTTGTCCTAACACCAATAACATGCAAACTATAGATATCTCAAAGGGCCCTTAATTATGATGGTAGCTAAGACTAGGTGTGAATGGGGATGAGGGAAACCATGTTAGACAAGAGGAAGGACCATGTGTGAGGGAGTATTTGGGTGGAACCTGTTGGTTCATTAATGGGAGAGGGTGCAACACAATAATTTATCATTATAGATGCATTGAACTCCCAATGACAATCATTGTATTGTCTTTGGGTGCCCTATTTCATTTACCATCTAAAGATTACTGTATTGGGCCTTAAAATCATGTAGTTACAATTAAGCATATCTAAAGTCCTCTTTAGAATATTTGAAGTATTTAGATGCCAATATTCATATTTTGGCATGCTTAAATTTTGCACCTAAATTAAGATGAATATTTAAGGACACTATATTTTATACTTGAAAGGAAAAATTTTAGAACATTAGCTCTAATGGTGAAACATGCATCTCAAAAATTAGCTCTTCTATATTTTACACGGGAATTTGATGGGATTTATTGATGCATATTGAAAGATAATTTTTTTAAAATTATTGAGACACGTTCAAAGGGACATTGAAATAAACAAATGTGCCTTTAGAACATGGAACATGTGCAATTATTGATGCATATTGAAAGAAAAAAATTAAAATTATTAAAGCACATTCAAAGGGGAATTGGAATAAATCAATGTAAAGAATTCCCTTGTGTTACTCCCTCAAGAGCTTTATCAATAGCTCTACCTTTTGGGTGTATGTGACGCTTGGTATCCATTCATGGACCAGATTTTTACTTTATTTTTATTTTATTCAAATGTTTAACTATATTGATTTGCTTTAAAGGGCCCTATTGTGGCCCTTTGATCCTCTTTTAGCATTGATGTGGGCTCAACATCTCTCTACAATTTGTATGTCTCTCATGAATAAACATAAGAAGGGATTCCACTACAAATGCCTCTTTCTTTGATTCTTCATGAACCAAGAGAGAATTTCACAAACTAGGGGATAAATAGGCAAATCATGTAATGAAACAAAAGGGGTAAACTTCTATTTCAATTCTTAGTCCAACACATTCTTTGTGCACTTATAATATTGTAGTCTTTTTTATGCCCATTTAACCCCTGTTTTTTATTATTGGCACTTTATTTGCAATTCATAGGACTATTCAAACCCCATCCTTGTTCAAAAATATTTATGAACATAGAATTGTGATATAGTATATGTGCATATATTTATTGACTTACACATCAAGATAGAATTGTGATATAGTATATGTGCATATATTTATTGACTTACACATCAAGATAGAATTGTGATATAGTATATGTGCATATATTTATCGACTTACACATCAAGATAGAATTGTGATATAGTATATGTGCATATATTTATCGACTTACACATCAAGATTGACTTTGATAGACTTTGTAGTTTGATGTTGACAAAACGTCTACCACCAAATTTATGATACATGGTTAGAAACATGTTGACACAAATGTTTTTTAACTCTTACTGAAGTCCCATGTGATTATGGGACTATTTTGAAAACCCATTTTATTGATTCCTACTTCTTTAAAGTTGAGAATTAACTGTTGATAGGATGAGTTTTTACACTTATACTGGGGAAGATGCCATGTCCGCACATAACTATAATTTTATATTTATCATTATAGTTGCGACATTTTAGTAATTAACATTATCACAGTTTAAACCCATGAAAAAGTTCATCATGTGTTTGTAATTCATTACTTGCTAAGTTTTTGGTTTCACATGCTCATATGAAGTGATGTACCAACTTAGTAAGATGAAGCTTAACACTCACTTAAGTTTGTCATTAGGCAAGACAAGTCCCAACACATAGTAAACAAGATACAACATAAGGACATAATAATAATTTTACATCACAAACATAATTACATCTTAGTGTAATCCCTAAATCTATTGAAAAAATCAATTATTTATCTCTCAAGTCAAACATAATAAAAATTAGATTTGAGAACTATTCTTCCAAAGCTCTTATCATATTAGACTTGTCTTATGAACTTCTTGGATTTTATTGATGAGCGAGAGCTTTAAAAAACCAAGTGAAAAATAGATTTATGTCCCCCCACTTTATTCCAACCATAGTCACCTAAGGGATCCACATTAAGAAACCCATGAGAGTAACCAAGAGGGCAAGATGATTTTTTTTTCCAAATTTAAATTAATTCATTATTTTTTATAACTATGAAAACTAAGAGAATTAGTGGTTTACCATGCTGGGCCTACTACCAACACTCATCAGTACAAAATGATGAACATTAAGACTTCAATTAACATCCACTATATTTCATTGCTCTAGCCAACCTGAGTATCCATAAAAATACTTCTTCTAGATTCATTAGGGCCAAATTGGTTGATGCTCAACTAATATTTGAAAAACAGATGACACTAGGTGACATAGTGAGATTAGTGCCCAACAAATATCTTAGAGACTCACTACTTGAAGTCAACTAAACCAAATTAGCACTCAAATAATATTTTATATGTTTAGCATTATTCATTGAAAAATTAAAATTTCAAGAATCATGCCTCTAGGTTGACCAAAGTATATGAAGAAAAACTGTCAAATGATAGAGAAAATAATTCTTGCAATTATGGCATATACTTTTCTTTTGTATTGATGCATATACCTAGATGTGTGGAAGCCTTTTTTGGGTAGAGCCACTTTGAATGTTTCAGAATGATATGTTTTTTTTATGAAGTTTTGAATCACAACATATATGTGATAGTGTAACACTTATTCTTTCCTATTTTCTATCATGTGGTGATAAATTTTATGGTATGATAATAGTCTTGATATTATGTCAATTGACACCTGTCAACTCACTTCCTATTAGGAAAGAGAAAATACTAAATTTATGAGGCCTAAGTACCCAAGAGATTTTATCAAATATTATAATAAAGTATCACAAGGATTTAGAATAATGCGACCAACTCATTCTTGCATCCACTTCCTAAGGATTTCCCCATTGGGTATCATTATTCAATCCCTTTGTATATAGTTGACAAGACCTAGATCAACAACCCACCTACAATATAGATTCTACGAGTCTACACCATTCAGCTAGAATCGAAGGTTATAACAACCTTTTCTCAAACCCCATTACAGGCATGTCATATTGCACCTCAGTGTAAAAGGAAAAGTTAATACAACTAAATGATTGCAAGGACGATTAATGTCACCTTCATGAGTTGGTGAGGGTGTGTGTGTGTGTTGGAAGCTGATCAGAAGACAAGATACTTGAGATTTATCATGAATGAGTAAGTTCTAATGCTTTGATATTCAATCAATTATTTTTCCAAGTGCAAGGATGAGGCAAAGAATGAAAAAATTGTTGAATGTCATCTGCCCTTGATTTCTCATTTTGATTTCATGCCCTAAGGAGAAACATCCCTTTGTATATTTGGGTTTCACATGACAACTTGTCTTGCTAATGGCTCTCTAGTAATTGGGCCTGCAGCAACTTGACCCTCAATGGCTATTTGATATCAAGCTAGTCCTTTGGGGCTTAATGGTCACATGTTACTAGACCGTGCCCCTAACCTAGATCAAGCTGCACCTAATTGGGCTGCATGTTTGAGCTCTGATGGACTGCACATGTTCAAGCCATGGCTAAAATTCATATCAAATCAGAACCTCAATTTTCTGATGATCTATTTCAACGAACACATGTGAGCAATTATCTGCAATTTAAATCATGTCACAGAGGTTATCTTCATAATATGAAATAATGGAAATTACCAATATTTATCAATTCAATTAAACTCAATAGACCAATCATAATATGGAGCCTGATGTTTGTTTCATAAGTGACTTTTTAATGATTGATTTGATCATCAAGGTAGTGTTGCCAATTTCATAATTTTACTTTATTTGAATTCACTAAACTGCACTTTCATATCATCAAAATTATTTAATATCTTAAACATGAAACTTCAAAGCTACATAACGTGCAAACTAGTTTTTGTATTTGTGAAATATTTATTTTATTTTAAGGAAAATTATTTGAAATATGTGATTTTTGGCATCTAAATATATATTAATTTAAAATATTTATTAGTAAAACTGGACAAATACAAATTATCGTGTTCATTAAATAATCATTTCTAGTGCATTGAAATTTCCCATTGCTAGTTTTTTTTAAGGGTGAATGATTTGGAAGGGTATTTTGAAAGAATAGTTCGTCAAAGTCATCAAAAACATTTAAATAGTATTTTAGATAATTATATTATAATTTTAACTCCTCATATTATTCCACTTATTTAACCTTCTTACAATTTCAAGCCCCATATTTGTCTTTCTTGGGACCAGTGGATCTTGGAGTCTATCTGATCTTGTGTACCCTTTGTGGGGAGAGTAGAAGACATCCTGGCATCTAGATGGGAGTGTTGTTCTTCTCAGGTTCTTGTCCTAGTTAGATTAAGTGAACCAATTGTATTCAAACAATAGCCTGAGCACATCATATAAGCTGTAGTTTTTTTTATATTCAGACAATATTGTTAATTGTCTAATAACACATAATATAATTAAATTTAACTTTTTTTGGTGCTGATTTCTGAAAAAAAACGGGGACCCATCGTAGGAGGAGAAGGTAGGCCCTCTGTCTTCTTTCTTTCTCTCTCTCTCTCTCTCTCTCTCTGGATCCTGCCACATGACATGTGACGTCATTGAACTTGCGCGAACGTGCGCTGACCTTCCTCTCTCCGTTCCCTATGCGACGGGGGACTTGCCCAGAACCGTTCCATTCCTCTCTCCGCGTTGTGTGTGTGTGTGTGAGAGAGAGAGAGAAATAGATAGATAGATATATAAATGGATAGAGAGAGAGAGAGAGAGAAGAGAGGTAATGGGGGGGTCAACAGGGTCAATGGTCTCTCAGCGAATGGTGGTCGTGGTGGGGAGGGAGTTACGGCAGTTAAGGGGAGGCGGAGAGAAGAGGCCTTCCGACCTCCCTCTTCTCTCCTTTCAAATCCCAGCAATGATAAAGGGCGGGCTGAGAGCCCAATTTTTTTTACCCTTCTCCATCTTCCCTCCTCTGGAACGAACGAGAGAGAGAGAGAGAGAAAGAGAAAGATGACACTGATGGTAAGATATTGCTTCTTTCTGGGCATCACCTGGTGCCTTTTTGCGGCCGTCACGGAGGGCGGTGGGCAGCAGAGCTCCGCCCGCCGCTACTTCGACGTTAAGAATTTTGGCGCTCGGGCTAACGGGAAGACCGACGATAGCAAGGTTGGTCGATTCTCACCGCCTCTCTCTCTCTCTCTCTCTCTCTCTCTCTCTCTCTCTCTCTCTCTCTCTCTCCATCTAGCTATCTATCTCTCTCTACCTCTCTCTCTCCGTGGTTCGGCTTCAGCTTCCGTATCTTATTTCTTCCTGTCTATTTCGAGGTTCTCGCTCTAGATATTGCGTGTCCACCAGCTGGGCAGCTGGTAATCACTTTCAAACGAACAAAGATGTCAGACTTGGGAAATGGGTATTGCCCAATTCAACTCGACCAGTATCTCCCTCTCTTGGTTATCTCTCTTGTAGCTAGAGAGGGAGCGGGTGGGGGGCAGCGCGGTGTTTGCCCAAGTCTTCGTACTTTACGGTTCGGACATTCTCCCGTCCACGGAGTCAGCTCAAGACCCAGCAATTCCGAGAGAGAGAGAGAGAGAATACGAACCTTGACTCAGAGGACGTTTGCCGATTCTCTGATGATATCACCGCGCATGCAGGCGTTCATGGCGGCGTGGGCGGCAGCCTGTCATTCCACTGGCAACGTGAGGCTGGTCGTCTCCAAAGGCACCTACCTTCTCGGCCCCGTCAGCTTCAGAGGCCCCTGCCGCTTTGTCTCCTCCTTGACATTCCAAGTTAAGGCAAGTGTTGCCTCCTAAATCATCCAGATTGCTACAGACAGTCCGAAATAGATCGGTTGCATATATATATATATATATAGCGAGAGAGAGAGAGAGGTGACTGGAGAGAAGGGTTATGAGTGAGGATTGTGGATGCAGGGGTACCTGAAGGCGACGACGAACCTGGGAAGTTACAGGGACTCGTGGGTGGAATTCGGATGGGTGAACCGCCTGATCCTTACCGGCGGCATCTTCGACGGCCAGGGGGCGTCGGCTTGGCCCCACAACACCTGCCCCAAGAACTGGAACTGCAAGCTTCTCCCTACCGTCAGCTCTCGCCCACCCCCGCTTCTCTCTCTCTCTATCTAAATTCTTCTTGATTCTGCGTAAACTTCTCCTTTCTGGTTCACTCAGTCGATCAAATTCGTATCGATGACGAACACGACGGTGAAGGGGATAACGTCGCTAAACAGCAAGTTCTTCCACGTCGCGCTGGTGGGTTGCAAGGGCTTCCGCGGCAGTGGGATAAGGATCTCGGCGCCGGCGAACAGCCCCAACACCGACGGCATCCACATCGAGCAGTCCCAGGACGTCACCATCCAGCAGTCCTCCGTCTCCACCGGCGACGACTGCATCTCCATCGGTCAGGGTAACTCCCGCATCACCATCTCCGGCATCACCTGCGGCCCCGGCCACGGCATCAGGTCCCTCTCTCTCTCTCTCTCTCTCTCTCTCTCTCTCTCTCTCTCTCTCTCTCTCTCTCTCTCTCTCTCTCTGGCGAAAGCTTACAGTCGTCGCCGACGAGCAGCGTGGGGAGCTTGGGAAAGTACGCCTACGAGAAGGACGTTCGTGGGCTAGTGGTGAGGAACAGCATCCTCTCCGGGACGGCCAACGGGGTACGGATAAAGACCTGGGCAAACTCACCGGGGGCCATCGTCGCCGCGAACATGACGTTCGAGAACATCGTCATGAACAACGTGGCCAACCCCATCATCATCGACCAGCTCTACTGCCCCTACGCCTCCTGCGCCTCCTCCGTGCCCTCGCTGGTCCGCATCAGCGACATCTCCTTCAAGAACATCCGGGGAACTTCTGCTACGCCCGTCGCCGTCATGCTCAGATGTAGCCACGGGACGCCATGCAAGAACGTCCGCCTGCAAGACGTCCACCTCGACCACCCAGGGAGGCTTCGCTCCTCCTCCACCTGCATGAATATCAAGGCCATATACAGCGGTACTCAGATCCCCCCTCCCTGTAGCGTTTAGGGAGAGAAACTGCGAGGGAGCAGGGCGACGATGGTGCTCGGCAGAGCATGGAAGCCATCTCCTGCTCGGGCGCGGCTTTCCGCCCGCCTTTTGTGTCTTCTCTTTGACTGCTGTTTACGGCTTTCTCTCTCGGAAATGAGTAGAGTATGAAGCCTTGTTGGCTTATTTTGAGACAGTCCTTGTGCTCGTTTCCCTCATCTCCACACCGAGAGTGAGAGAGAGTGAGAGAGGCTGACTTTCCACTCTACCTTCATTTCTCCTCTCTCTCTCTCTCTCTCTCTCTCTCTCTCTCTCTCTCTCTCTCTCATGAGTTGTGATTTGTTCATACGATGGCAGGAGGGATCGCCATCCTTGACTGAAGAGAGAGAGAGAGTAGACACTTAATGTAAGACCAAAGGACTGAGTGGAGGTGAAAATTCCAATAAGACGATCGGAGATCCCGCGGTGACACTGGAGAACGATCACACTAAAGAAGAACAAGAGAGAGAGAGAGAGACGACAATCCCACTCTCTATACAGAATAATTCGAGATGGTTAGCCTCATATTACCTCACTCAAAGGTTAGTCTATATCTTCCTCACTCCCCTCTTATAGGCTATTGCCACAGCTTTATTGACCTAAAGGCTGATAATTAGATGAATTGACCCTCTTTGATAATTGTGATCATCTACCTCCTTTCCCTTTGTTAGCTTTCCTAACAATGGCTGTTCACATGGCTCTCAGGTCCTTTTCTAACATAGATGGGAATGACATGAGAGTTTTTCATGGATACTCTTCCCTGAGACTTTCACCTTCTCCACAAAGAGAAATTCTAAAAATTGATATTGGATGCTTATGGTGGATTCTCATGTGTTCTTTGAATCAAGAGGGTGCTTACATTTGAACCAAGACTCGATACCATGTGGGCTCTGTCTGATGTCAAGGACATATGATGACTCTAGAATACATGTAAGGTCATCATCTATTGTCAAGACCTGGGTTGGTGCTGTTGACATGTGAAAAATTGGATGAATACTTGCAATTGGTAGAAGTGTTAGCCAATAAACTACAAGCCCAATTCACTCTTGAATCTCAAATGGTCAAAGAATCATTACCCCAGTTTCTTGTAAGGTCAATGGGCAAGAGACTTTAGTAGATAAAGTTGAAGCCTAAGGTATACATGATCGCTACTATCAACTTGATATCCTAACAACTCTAGTCAACGTAAGACTTCATTCATGCTTGAGTGCATGCTAAGAGGGCTTTCAATTGATCTAGAGTGACATCATGTTCTTATGGTAGTTGCTCCATGGCATCTGATTGCACCAACTATAATTGATAACAGAAAAGAACTAGGGGTATTATTTGGTAAATGATGTTGAAGGGCTCAATACTTTTAGAAGATTGCAAATTTGTGTTGTACCAATGTTTCACCTAGACCAACCATTTACACTGTTAACAAAAATGGTTGTCAACAAAGTTATGGAGGTAAGCTTCAATTCCTCATACCAACTACTTATGATTGGACATTCATTCAAGGATGATATATAATGTGACTTAGTCATTGATTAAATCATATAAATTTAAAATTGATAAAACTATAAAGCATTTGTTTAGATTTTTAGAAGTATTTCTAAAAGTATATATTAATTTTAAATTGATAAAGAGGTCCAAAAATAGTGAGAAAATTTCAAGTTGATCACTATACTGTATAATAATAGCAAGTGAAATTTTATTTTTTTTCAATTAAAATATTTTCAGATTATTTTTAAAATTAAAGAAAAATACAAATTATGATGATGATGTCAAGTAGACATTAACATTGCTTGAATAGTAATTTGGGTGAAAATAAAGTACCACTTAGTGGTTATTACATAAGTGATTTTAGAAGCTTCAATCAATGAAATCGAGATCTTAAGTGTTAAATGAATTGTAATCTACTAAAGAAGAGTTTCAAATTTTTATTTTAATTAAAATTATCACTAATTTAAATATTAAATGAGTTTAAACAAAGAAAATAGAGTTCTATCATCATGATGGTGATTACCAAAATTTTATAAGTTCGGAAGATCTTCAAAGTGTGTCCATGACCTTCAAGACTCTTATGAGACATATATGGTGTTAGTCTCTTGAATCATGTGCGAAGTCTAGAGGGTGAAGAATGGTGTTAGTGAAGTGTCTCCAACAACTATCTCCTAATGGAGTAGAAATTTGACAAAAATGATGCTTTAGTAGTTGTCACCCATCGAAGCTAAGATTGATGAATGTGGAGTGTGCCTTATGGAACTTCATCTTCAAGTTCCTCATAGTAAGAAAAAACTCTTTATTGTGTTTATAACACTTTGAAGAGATTATGAAAAAAATCTTGGTGGATTTCTTTACCACCCTTAATGACAACTTGTTCGTTGTCTAACAAGAAATGTTATTTTCTTCCAAAGTTCCCATTGTTATTTCAAAATTCTCTATCATATGCAGATTTCATTGACGATTGATCATTTTTTTTCCATTGAATGTTTACTTGAAGAAAAATTATAGAGTTGAATTCAAAGAAAATAAATTTTGGCACAAGTGTGAACCTTGTATTAATATATGATATTTTTTATATTAATTTAGTTGACAAAAGTTGTTGGTGGTTTTATCCCACATCAGTTATTTTGGGGAGTTTAAGATGGATATAAGTCTAGGCCATCTAATGTTTTTGATATCTTCTCGTGAAAACAAAATGACCATAACAACCTGAGGAGAAGATATACTAGGTGGTCCACCCCCACACAACACACATGATGAGATCGTACTTTGTGCCACACACAAGTTCCCTCTAGAGACATGGAAGAGTGGTGTGTATGTGTCTATGGGTCCTTAGCCACTAGAGCCCAACTCATAGTTTAATGTAGTAAGGGTTTACTTGCCCAAGTGGACACTCTCCAAGTTGATTGTCGAGTGTTGGTTGGCCAATGGATTCCCTATGTTTTCATTATTTTTATTATTTCTATTTTTTTCATTTCAACTTAAAAAATATGAATATAAAAATTATATAAAATTACAAGATTAATTATAAATTCTTATTATTCTTGTAAAAACTAAATTTAAGGTAAATATAAGATCAAAGCCACAACGTATGAATGATTTCTGTTATCCTAAATTGATACATGAGTGAAGAGTAGTGTGCTTCATTAACTAGTTTATCACACTAGTTCATCATTAGATGAAGGTCATTATATCATCCCTTTTTTTCCCAAACGGGTAATGGTTGAAGAAGATTAACTAGTGTGAGAGACCTTAATGTACTTTATTTCTCTAACAAGTAAAAAAGACCTTAATGTACTTTACATCATTCTTTATATTAAACTAATAGATTTTCTACTTAATATGCTTACAAGTTTGTAAGAACTTAGATTGTCCCCTATTTTTTAAGTAATGAAATTCTCAAAGAATTTATATATCATTTTTGAATCTCTAGAGAAAATTAGGCATCCATTGTGAAAGAGGCATCCTTTGTTAAGCAAAGAGTTAGGCCACATTTTGGGGAGTAGTAGCAGCAGCTTATCTTTGATAAGCATGTGCTAAACATTGACTTGATACTCTTACATAATTAAGTCCACATCCAATAGTTCTTGAAAGGAGAGATTCAAAGTATATGAAACAATCTAGAAGAGTTGAAGTTAATAATTAGCGGCATGTGATCAAACAATCAAAGTTAACAAAACCTTAAAACAAGATTTGTTCTTAGAGAGTGGAAGTAAAAAGTGACCCAAATTACTGTAAAATTTCTTAATCTTATGTTCATTAGTCTAAGAAAATTATGAGGATCAAAAAGTCAAAGAAAAGATCAATTTAGTGAAAGAAATCTTATCTTGGGGATGAGTAGAAACATATCAATTTAATCACTCTCACTCCCCTTTCTTGATATTAATGCAACCTAAAACATAACATTGAGAACATTTGCCTCCTTTTTGTCAATTGACTTCGGTAAGGATGGTTGTCCACGTGACTATTAGATCCCTCTTTGACATGAACGAGATTGGGTTTAGAGTATCTCATTACATGCTCCAATGCAGCTGTGGGACATCTTGTAAGAATGTCCACTAATAGGACACCTTGTGTTTGTATCCCTCATTCCCACACCTAGAGAGAGAGAGGTTGACTTTTTCTTCTATGTTCATCTCTACTCTCTCTCTCTCTCTCTCTCATGAGTCTTGTTTTGTTTATATGATGGCAGCAGGGATAACCATGGGTTTTGGCTGGATGCATTTTCATCCATTTTATGTAAATTTTGAAAGGAACTTCAAGTAATCTTACTAAAGATGCCTTTCTAGTTACAAGTTTAATTTTTTTCCAAAAAGGACTTATTTATAAATAATATTATTGGGCAAGATAAGATTATTTTGATTGGTAAATGAAAATTTATTCCCTTACTCTCTATTAAATTTCTTGCGACAAATACTGCCACTTCTCATTAAACAAATTAATTCTAAGGAAGCATAAGAGTGACAGGGGATGACAATGAAGGTCGTCAACTAGCCAGATTGACAATAAGTTATCACAAATCGTCAATGTGGACCAACCTCTCTCTCGATTCTCTCCTGTTGTGTACAATTACGTATCCTATAGGGGTTTTATGCAATAAACCAACAAAGAGAGAGGACATAGTGTTGTTTACTACAGGTACCTTTTAGTGAAACATATCGAAATGTTAATCACACCGCCGAGGGTTTTCTTCCTCAGTAGGGAACAATGGGTAAATAACAAACCACGAAATTCACACATGATCGGATCCAAACCTTTGAAAACCGATTGTGATGAGGTGAGAAGACTATTCCATTCCTCGATCAAGGGCAAAATGACTGACTTAGGTCACTATGATAAAACAAAGCTCCACGTTTCAAAATCTTAGTCAGCCTCCAAATAAGGAAATCACAGCCCACTTGGCTGATCTCAAGCCTACACGACTAAATCCAATGGTGGTGAAAACACATATGAGGAATGAGGGGATGAAATCAAAACACTCGACCACCAGAGAG